GTAAACTCAAACTACAAACGTGAATCATTGTTCTTGCTGTTGAGATAGTATTGGATAGTCTGACAAGGGTGGATCGCTAATTCCACCAATGAGAAAAGCTACCCTTCTCGTCGAAGTATTATATTCCAAGAAATACCATTGTAAGTTGTAACACAAAGTCCAAATTAAGTATGTTCATTCCCGGCGCTCGCTAGTACCTTCAACTTACAGCTATTTGCAAATGGTGGCCCTGTGTAATGTAACGTTCCCCATGCATTAAAATCTATAGTATAGGTTGTCATCGTCATCGCTGTCATCCTCCCCATCCGAGTCTGACTCTTCAGGCTCATCAACGTCCTCGGTACTACTGTTACTATCCTCGCTGACATCACTTTCGTCGTCATCTTCTTCAACATCATCTTCCTCAACATCGCCTTCCTCAACATCGCCTTCCTCCATGTTATTTTCCTCAATGACATCTCCCTCAGCATCTCCATCCTCGATGGCATCTTCCTCGTCGGATGATTCGTCTCCGCAACTGAAAGCGTCATCCCAATATTTGTTGGAATGTTGCTTGATTGCTGAGGAGGTGTACTGAACCTCGTGTCCAACACCAATCCCAGCAAATCGCGCAAACATATCTCGATCTGCAAAACTACAAAGCAAGGTGAGTGTAGGCTGTAGCGTGATGAGGGCCATTTCTCCTTACATATTTACATAAAAGAACTCCCAGTCGTCAGTTTCATGCTGAAGCCTTGCGAGAGAAGGACCGTGTCTGAGGAGAGTATTTGAACGCCCCTCTGAAAACGCTGGAATGAGATGGCAACCACGGATAACGAGTGACGGGTCGAGGAAGCCAAAAGCATTGTCATCAGTCTCAGGGACAAATCCAACTTTAGGTAGGCGAGCTTCTTTAAGGCCCCAGCGATAAGTAGGATCCACCCCAAGCCATCGAACCCAAAGAACTTCTACACTTTGAGACGAACGATTTCGAGCTTGCGATCCAGTATGCAACACCTGTATGCGAAAGGCACGTAATACCTGCGCGTACCAGAAAGGGTGTGCATTCTCGCCCTCTTCCCTCGATAGTGTCATGACCGTGCAATTATGTCCCGGTCGCATGGAGTCTTGGTCACGCCGGACATCGTAGGTAGTGTAGTTGACTTGAAAACGACGTGGTTGCTGGACTCGAGACAGGTTATTGATGAAACGCAGCTCATTCCTCTCGGAATCAGAAAACTGATGCTCATCGCCATCATATTCGAGATCCAGCAAGCGAGATAGAATATGGTTTTTGAGTTTGAGAACGAAGTCCTAGTATATATCTGTATCAGTATCTGTCAAATGAGGTGCGCAAGGGACAAACTCTGACTTTGACTGCCGGATCAGATGAATGGTCACGAAGGAATGTTGCAAGGTTGATGACGTTGACACATGAATCCGATAGGTGGTGGTGAAGTTCTGGAAATGTCTCGACAGGTTCCTCCGAGTCTATTTCAAGGTCCTGCTGCTGCCGCCTGATATGTGTGTGCCGCCTTTCATGTTTTGCTAGTTGCTTCGGAACATCCTGTTTGTTGGTCATTCGGTAAAACTTCTTGATAAGGCGATGTGCGACTTCTCCCTGCGTCCAAAATGAGCTATAATTCACGGATATACACAGTTGAAAATTGTGCTGACCAGTTGGGTACTGTATGAATCGGTGGTGCCAAACGCTCGTATCGATTGCACATAGTCACCGAGAGCATGTAACTTATACGTAAATAGGTTGAATGACTTCGGTCGAGGTCCTGTTCGGTCAGCCGCGTTTGGTCTGGACTGAGATTCAAACCCATCATGTTGTCTCCTGTGACGTGCAGACACCTCACTCGGAAGTTCCATAGTGCGAAAGGCTGAGCAAGTAAATTTGCTGAACCTTCGAAGCTGAGTTCCCAGTCTTCGAAGGGACTGGCCAAACAATTTCAGGGTGTCGTCAGAATGAAGGCGCATCTTCGCAAGGGCATGCCATTCTGCCATGCGAAACAGGAGAACCCTGATGACGTTGTCGTGCTCTTCTGGAAAAAGCCCCTCAAAAGCTGGTATTGCACACTGGAATGAATAAATCGGTCAGAATACATCTGAGTTGTGTGTGAGATGATAGAGACTTACCTGCAGCATATCTTCAAAATGTCGAGCTGCTCGCTGTTTCATTGACGAAACATTCTTGGGGAACCGTCGAATGGAACCTTTCCCAAAGGAAGGTATTAACCGAAACCTGGTGTGCGAAGGCATCAAAGATGAGAATCAATCAGAACCAAAAGAACACCGTACCTTTCATTGAGGATGACAATCTTCCGCGGGTCAACTGCAAAGAGTAGCCGCATCAAATGTGTCATTACCGCTTTCAATATTCCGAGTTCAAATTCATGCAGCAAATCAACCACAAGGGTGGGAAAAAGATTAAAACCAAATGGTGAGAGGCGATCTACAAAGCTATTCTAGAGAAATGTCAGTTCCACATTGCGAGAGCAAGCATCAAACTTACAACAGTAGGCACCAATGAAAGATCTTTTAGAATACTCTCAACTAAGGCTCCCTTGATGGGAGCACCACACATATATATCGCATCACGGGCTTTGGCCACTTTATTGGTAACATATGTGCGTAGCTGGTTCATTCTTTGTGAGACGTCACGCAAAAATCCAACACGGTTGAACATTGACTTTGGAGTCAGACAGCGAGGGCATGGCCGATTCCCTTTATCACGTATGGTTGCTATAAGGACTCTACAAGTATCAACACCCAGTCAGTGTCAAAAAAGAGACGAGGATGAGAGTAGATGTACTTCTCTGGATAGTCTGCTGAATACGTGAATATCCTAGGGAAAACACGCCGATACACCCCATCATAGCACTTAACCACGATGCCGTTCTCATAAGCATGGACAAACTCATCATCCAGGAGGATACGCCACACTGCATGGAACAGCTCCCGCTTGCAATGTGTAAGTATATCGTCGTAGTTCTTCCTCAGCGAAAAGGTGGATATGAAGCTTGTAATTGACTCTGGTAGCTACATGAGATACAAATCAATAACACGTCACTGGTTGACAGACATCTAGAAAGCTTACAGTGGGAATAAAAGCTATTGGGTGGCAAGCACCAGAGTTAGGATCCGAACGAACATATTTTGATAGATTCCCAAAAAAGAGATATATTGGCCATGCTGATGCACGCCCAAACTGAGTTAGGTGGGTGGCATCGGACCAGAACATAAGGCCTGCAATAACTCTCTCCAGTTTGCAACCATCATCCCTTCTTTGTTTCTGTAACTCGTCGTGAGCCTGAAGCCATGCGTCCAAGGTGTAAAGCTCATCGTAAAGTCGTTGCTCTTGCCCTGTGACTGGTGATTTCCAAATACGCTTGAAAGGCGTCAGATGGAACCATTTCGAAGACTGCTCCGAGAATGCAGCTTGTATAACTGCAGTGAGTGGCCGGTAGAAGAGCCCAGAAACTGAGAATACACGCCCATTCCCTCTAGGATTTTTCTCCTTTGACGGCACCATAATCTCCACGTCTGTCTGCTTCCAACCATCTCATTGCAGAATGTCCAAGGTGTCGGCGTGATCTATAGATGTATCAAAATTCTTCATCTGAGTGTTGGGGTCGAAGTGCTCGAAATCATTGACATTGAAATCCTCCGCTTTTATCACGTCATCGACCAGACGTTTGGCCTCTGTCATCGACTTCCGATCGCTTCCTGTCACCAGCCACGACATCAGCCTCCAGACTGACATGTTTTTCCAAGGCCAAGGTGGTGCCGGTGGACGTGAAGGGTCACCTGAGGGCACCTCACCATCCCGTATGCTGCGGTCACTAGTATGGGATTCAGCAGGACGTATGTTGGAGAGTTCATCTGCCGATACAAATGCATCTGGATCATATGAAGGGCGATGACGATATTGGCGGGCAATGCCAAACTTATTGAATAATGTGCAGATAGAGTCGAAAACATGAAGAATTATGCGGGTAGGACGCGAGGTTGGCTGATCCTGAGCAAAAGGTAGTGGTGCTTCTGGAAGTTCATCCCTATATCGCAGTGGGAGTCTCTGCATGCGCCTTGGGCGTGAATTATGATCACAGTCCAGAGTGGTGGAAGGGTCTGGGGGAGGAGAACTAGTCGGATTGTGGCCAATTGAATTGTTGGTGGATGGGGAAGGAGCGATGCTGTTGGATTGATCCAGTATCTGGAAAGTATGGTTGATTGTTGACTGCTCTAAATCGATGCCTGAGGATGAAGCCACTAAGGTCTTGGATACTAATTAGTCTGTTACCCATGGACGATAAAATAAGTATCACGTACCTGGTCTTCATCCGCTATGGAGGGTTTCATTTTCTTAAACACCTTAACGTGCCGGGGGTCTTCACGAGCTCGACGTTTGAAATTCTGGGCTTGTAAATCCACGCGGTGCTTGTAATGGTTGCAAGTCCTACGATGTCGACCGAGCCCCGTGTAGTCAGAGAACTTGCCTGGACAGGGCGGCCCACATTCCCAGCGGTGATGGTCCATCGTCAGAAGACACAAAGTCAGACACAGAAGTATGCAGAGGGTAGATCTAGTAATGTTCATTTCAGGTCGATCATTTCCCAGCAGTTGACCGTCAGGTCAGCAGTGAAGTGGTCAATAATCAAGAACTGTAGGTGTAGTACTAGCAGCACTGCCACTCTATGTAATAGCTCCACTTCTGTAGCGCGTCACTGCAACGTGATATCGACCTCAAATACTATATGTCTACGTACGTCATGTAAAACTCGCAAAGAATGAACTCAGAGTTGTGTCTTGTGTCGATGCCAAAGGCAAAAGGGCTAATACAACTATTGTATCAATTCAAGAAAGCATCGCACACGAGTGCAATGTGATGGTACATCGGGTATCTGAAAATGGTGTGCTAGAGTACAAGATGACGATGAATGCTAATGGTAGGACTGAGTGACAATGAGTATCAAGGTGGGTTTAGCAGCAGGCATCTACCTGTGGGTACTATATTATGGTAAGCTCTGGCCCCGGACAAGTGCAGCAGTGCGAGCACGCGTGCGTGAACGTGTGTTGTTGGCTGGCCCTGCATCAAATGCTTCCTCTGCCGTGCGCTTGGCTGTCCTACTGCGTGCCATCACACTATGCCAATGCTTATAACGATCATGAGCCATTGTCAGACTTGCGAGGGCAAGCTTAGAAAGCATCCCATCCCATCCAAAGGGGAGAGTGACAGGCGCGGCCAGCAAGGCCGAAACGTCAACATTTGGGCTGACCTGTTGGGACAGCTGTGCATACTGTTCCCTCATCCGGGACAGTCCCCTCTCCATCATGAGTGTGACATTGTCCATTGATTTGTTCGGAAATAATTCCTGTTGTAAGTATGGTCAGTCACGAATCGCTTAGTGCCGGTGGGACTTACGCCACATGCTGTGAGATTTTGGTTCTGCGTGTCTATGTCAATTCGCCCATTGACGTCTTGCACCCAGACCTGGAAATGCACGCTTGACATTGCATGCCAGACGTGCCCTTCAACTTCAATTTCAGCAGGTACATCGAGTGATCTTGGTCCAGTGCGGTTGGAAAGGAAGGTGGTGCGGGAGCGAGCATTCTCATCCTTTTGTAGCTTTCGCCACGCATTGCTCATATGCTTGGGTTGGCTGTAGGTGACGCGTTCATTGATCTCGGCCATGAAGAGCAGGATGATATCTGGGAATGCCTCGACCCTGTCCCTGAGCCTCTGCAGTAGATCAGCTCTGGACTGCAATACAGCCACCTCGCCCATGACAGGAGTGCTTAGGATGGGGGGGTCGGTGAGGGCAGTAACCACGTGGAGAACATCAGGGACACATTTCACCGAGTTCCCGTCAATGGTCAAGTTAGTATGGGTGTCTGAGGACAGTAAATTCTTGACCATGAGATCCTGCAAATAATCGTCTAGACGTTCCAATCCTTTGCCGATAACCTTGATTATAGCCTTGTGTACGGGGGATGGCATTTCAATGACAAGGGTATGGGTATTGCAGTTGTATTCCAACCTAGAAGAATTGTATGTTATAACTCGAAAGAAATTATTGGAATATGTTTACCTTGGTCTTGCAGGGTAGTCTTCGATTTTGCAAGATATATAATTGTAGTCCGCTTGAGTGATATTTTGAAATACCTGGCAACGTAATGATTAAGTAAATGATATGTTGAAGCGCACAGACATACCTCGCAATCTGCCTCACCATTCGATTGTGAGACAAATTTAAGCACCTTGTGTCGTGCAGTAATGGGAGCCTTGGTCAAATTTGGATTGACTTCACGGAGGGTGGCTTGAGATGTAGAAGTGTCCTTGGTCGCCGGCTTTCTCCCCCAGCTCGTTGCTAACCTGGTTGGAGGCTGCTTGTATCGTTCGATAACTTTCACTTTGCAAGTAGGCCTGCCCTGGCTGTTGTTTTTAGGGCTATGGGATTGTGAGGAATGACTCCTGATAGTGATTGTGCTGGTCGTGGACATGACGATTGCGATTGGGCTGAAGGCCTATTCAATTACTGGCAGGTAAAGGTGCGTGCGATTATCTAATTGATCTCCATTAGTCAACAAACAAAAACTCCAATCATGACACAACGACGCAGTGCCAATCGGCCAAGACCCGTGGAGTTTGGATCACTTGAATACCCCAGAACCTAGTGATGACTCAGATCAAACTGGTGAGGCTAATACATGACCATATATTGCAGCTTCTTAGTTTACATTAAGCTTAGCGTGAACCATGCGTAAGTTGATCGGAGTTCACTGAGTCGCATTGAGTCCGAGTCACTGCCAAGTCGCATCATGTTGCGCCCTAGGATCGGAGCTTGTAGCATCCTTGGAGCTTGTAGTACCCTAAGCTCTGTTATAAAGATGCCATGGTGAGTACAGCCGCGCATTAAAGTCTGAATCCAAGTCATTGTTCCTCTATAATCACGACCCCATGTCAGTAACTACTATCACTTCAAGCATACTCATCGATGTGGAGATTGAAACCGACCCATCAATTCCATATCCCACTTTGGAAGCTTTTATGGAGCAGCTCAGTAATGATGAGCCGGCGCGGCAATGGCCAGAGTTATTCCTCACCCCTTTGAAACTGATGGGAGTGAAGACTCTAGATGATATGTGCATCGTCTCTCCAGAAAGCCTTCATATATTTTACAACCTGTGCCCTCTGATGATCATGAATTTCTATGTTCATGTCATCGACACAATAAATGCGCTGCAGCCAGAGCCCACATAGAAAGACTCAGAAGGTAAAAAAAGTTCATGCAGGAACTTCGACAAACACTAACCACTCCACGATCACACAGATCAGAGCATAAGACACTGTATATTAAACTGACAGTGCTGCAGGCGGCGGATACTAGTACAGAATGGGTAGATTAGTGCATTCCCAAATGAAATGTATGAAATTATGGTATGGCACGTTCGTGGTGATCAATTGCAGTAGTGTTGCGAGTTGGAATCAGAGATCTAAGATGCGCGAGAGCATCTGGTCCAGAAACATATCTTCAAGCACAGATCCAGGATGGCTGGACGATCGCCCGCAAAAGCTAAGGAAGACGGGCTCTGAACTGGAGTGTGAGAGAGGTGCTTCCAGATTCGAAGAGGAACAAGAAATTCGTTGGGCGTATGAAGGGGGCGACTGCGGTAGATGATGTGCCCCAGCCACTGACGCCAACAGCAGGCGAAATTGTAAGGTCATGGGACGCCAGAGCAAGGGATTCGAGCTTGTTTAGCGAATGAACAGGAAGTTTGTAGATGAAGTGCTTAAGGGGAAGGAATGGATTCTCGTCAGTGTATTCAGGAGGAGGCACGAAGTGGGTCTCTGCATCATGTTCGAACATGATGTACCCGTGGCTGATCTTCTCCGATCGCTCACCTCTGACAGTGCGATACACGAGGACAGACATTACCCAGAACATGCGAAGCAAAACACCGATTCCTGCAACCTTTCAAGCACATCAGAGATAATTTAGCGATACAATACAAGTACTCACCAAGAACGAACGCGACAGCGCGACCCGAGTCCCATAGGCCGAGGGCCATAATGGTGCAGTGAACACGCCCGAGGAGAAATCCTGCTTTCTTGTGCTCCATGTCATGGTTATGGTGGTGAGGTTCAACTTCATGGTGGCGATATATCTGCACCACAGATCAAGACTGAACGCAGACTGTGGAGGACTGATGCTTAAAGGCTAAATCTGTTAGTCATGACTCAACACTTGAGCTTACTAAGCCCAACTTGTCTCAAGATGTAGGTGCACGAATGATATCAAGGGTTAATTAGGTCACTGGGACACTGCTTCAAATACACGTGCTAGGAGAGCAGTTTGCTCTTGGAGTATCATAACGATTTCTTTTCCTAACCCAGCGAGTCTCTCTTTGTCCCCGTTATCGGTGGTACGCCGCTTCTTTGCAGGTGGAAGTTCTACTTGTGAGGAGTTTGTGATATCGCGAGCAAAGTCCCGGCGACTCTGAGCCTTTTCATGCTGAGGTTGATTAGTACTATGCGATAATTTGAGACAAGACCTCAGATGAGACTCACTTGCAGCCTGTTAGATTTGCAGCCAAGTCTCGAGTCGCTTGACAAGGCACGTTTCAAAATTGTCCGTGGAATATTGACAGGAAAATTTTCATGCTGGTAACAAGAACGCTCATGAGTTATTTCGTCACATGGTATTAGGAAATATTACCTCCTGCTCAGCATCTTCTCTCGTGTTGTGCGTTGGTGATTGTGACCTTTGGGAATCCAATGTCTCCTGAGCATCGAGACCTGGTTTCGCTCTTGATTGAGAGCAGGCTTGACTGTATATGTAGTTTCCTTGCAAATCAGCTGATGCTCCTTGACCATTTGCGGGGAAATGCCATCTTTCAGAATCTGGTGAGTCTCTGACTCCGAGGATTTGTGAAGCACTGTCATTGCGACTAGAGCCTCGAGAGCTATGTTCAGAGCTTTTATCAGGATCATAAGGCATTGTGAAAGATATCTGACAATTGATCGCTACCTCATCCTCCAAGTCAGGCTAGTAGTACCTCTTACCACCCTAATGATATCATTCGTGGAGCATCAATTACATTTCCAAGCACATGATTCACGGCGACCTGACTAGCGTAAGTTTTGCATATGCTGTATGGGGAAGAGACGAACAGGTGGTACTCAGGTGGAGCGCGAACGCGAGGTGGACGCGAATTGGTTCTGCGTGATCAGACGTTCTGTTCTTACATATTAGATTTTCCGAACGTGGTAAGCTGTACGTCAACCGTACTCGGATTTGATGAAGTGACACCAAGGCCAACGGGCCCCAGATCGGCCTGAGGATCGTGTCAGACAGTGGCACCTTTCTAACTTGAAATTCCAAACCTGTAACTCGGTCTTGAACACTGCACTGATAATATGCTCCGTTTGCCACACGAGATCGAAAGGACAGTCTTTCAACTTGCAGCAGGCGTCCATCCTGCAAACGATGTGCACTCGTATTTATTGGTCGCCCCCAGAGTTCATGACTGGTAGGCAAAAGTCCTGAGATATGCTGGATTCAGTTGCGACTTACAAGATGGTAATAGGATTGAAGGATTGATGTATCGAACCGTTGTCCTTGCCAGTGAGGCACGAGCATGCCTTTTTGTTGATTCACTTCGTTCTCGACCAGTGTTTGCTTCTGTGAATGTCAAATCTCTCTGTATTCGCGGTATGGTGCAACTCACCACTGCGGTAGAGGTCATACAACTGTGCAGTGGTATTGTTGACCTCGCCCTCTGGATTCTGCCAGAGGGGGATCATGACATGCTGGATCACCTATTGGATGCATTAAACAAGCTACCTTTATCACGGCTGTCTATCCACTTATCGACCGTCTTCCGTAGAACTGACATGCCATTCCTACCATCCATCTCTCTATTCAGCAAAGTCACCCACCTTGACTTGTTGGAAGGTTGGGTGCTTTGGGGCTCCCCAATCGGCATACATTGCCTAACGCAACTTACACATATTTCCCTTCGACTGTTCACTGATCGGACAGCACCAGCCTTGCTGCAAATGATCCTTGCAGATTGCATTCACCTGAAGGTATTGGTTTTGCGTGTAACAGAGGAAGTTGGCAGGGTAGAAAAATGGTTGCAGGAGCACGACGGTCTCGATGATCATCGTATTGTTGTGACGGCCAAGAGCTCTCGTGATACCTGGAATTGCAGAACAAGTGATGGTATGAGTTTGTGGCAGTATGGAGATTATATTGCAAAGTGTCGAGACGCGATACATGAATGTACAATTTAGGCCGAGAATATCTGCAAGGTATATGATCATATGGCATCATATGGTTGACGTTGTACATTTGATTCGTACATATCCCGATTTGGCTGAGGTTTATGACATCTCCGGCATTTGCCGGAATGGTGCACGCAGACGGTGTTCATGGTCACTCCGAGTCCGAGTCGTGAGTCCCCAATAGGCTGTTGCACATTTGACTTGCGTTTTTTCAACTCTAGCTCCTTTTCAAGTATGATCTAACCCACCCTTTGAACAAGTCCACCATACCCCTCGCGCGCAACTCCCTCCGCAAGCTACGCACCATATGACATCCAGACGTACTTAGATACATCGATGTCGTAGAATCCGACTCAGCCATTTGCGTCACGACTGAAAGGGTTCGCCCTCTACCCCTTGCGCTATCCCAATCATCCTCCAATGTTCCACGCGAGCGAGAGGACTGGCTGATTTGGGGGTTACACTGAATTTCAGTCAGAATTGTTCTTCCCGTCTGCGTTCAGGCCTTAATTGCTGACCTTCTGAGCTAGGTTGCTCTTGCTTTTCTCAACGATTCCGCTTCCTCGACCCACGGAAACGTTCGTCCAAATGCTATATTCATCACTCCTTCCCGTAGCAGCTCCTGCACTCGATAGGATAAAGACATTGGCGCAGTCTACTCAACATTGGGATGAAGTCGTTAGGAATGACACAGATGATTGTCACCGAAGAGTTCAAGAAAGGTGAGTGTCCTCCTCGTAATTCTGTCTTTTGTGGTATTCTCAAGATCACATAGGAGCAGACATCGTGGACAATGTTATTGTCGGGACAGCAAGTTGGTCAGAACTTTTCCAGAAAACCGACTTCTTCCATAAGTATCGATAAAACCTTCAAGTTATCGCATCAACTGGCACTGCAGATCTGCAGATCAATTGGTAAGAGTTCCTTCCGATGTACGGCAAGTCTGCAAGTCCGAACGTCCAGGGCAGGAACCGTCGAGTCTCGGATACGGCAGCTGGTCATGAAACTTGAATACGTCGACTCGCATCCTCCTGCATTCTAGACGTGTTCTGCACTGCTATTGCAAACGTGTATCGGACATGCTCTTCAAGTTGTCCCTCACCATCAAGCAGGCTTATACTCTTATACTAGTGTTTATTTCACAGTTGCTCCGCGCTTCAGGCTGGGAATGCCTGACAAATTGGCAACAAAAGGTATAACAGATGTGAGTCTTGCTTCCGATTCGCTCCATCGTTCTGATATTGTTTGCTGCTAGTTGACTTTGTCTCGTTATTGCCCACGACCACCTTTGATGTCAGTGATGAGCCTTTGCATGGACCCACCATGACATTACAATGACGCTACAAGTTCCGCAATGAGATCCAACTCAGAGTTTCGCTTGCGCTCAATACCCCTTTGCTCTGACACCACATTTCCGTTCTTTTCGGAAACGCCACAAGGGTCCATATAACGATATCATGGTCTGCTCCATTCAAACAGAGTGGAGCATTTTATTAATTATTTGACTTTAGTCCCCGCGCGTATCGTAATCTGGCCATGGTTCCATTGCAGTCCTTCCCGTTAGCGGCTCTGATGAGCGTAAATCTTGTTCTACATCCGTAAATCTTGCTCCACATCAATTTCAAATATTGGTGCTTGAAAAGCTTTCATCTTGGGTACGTCAATCACCCTCGTTTTTTCCTTCAAGTTCCTATTACCCATGTCGCAGTCTCCGAGTCCTTCTGACAACAATTCACCTAATGCAACCCATAACGCTCTCAAACGGCGCATTGCTGCTCTAGAAGAGCAAAATGCTGAGCTGCAGGGAGAAAGCCATCGCAACAAAAGGTGTTGTACTAACATGGATTGCTATATGTATCTGACGCAGCTGATGTCCAATAGCCATGGTGATATATATGTCCCCGCTGGCCGAGCCATCCGGCGCCTCGTGAGCTTAACTGACAGGGTTGAGGACCTTATCGGAGAGCACGATCGAAGGAGCGCTCTATGTGATGAAGATGACCAACACACGGAAGAGTGGGTATTATGCTCGAGTACTTCAGTCGGTTGGTTTGATCCTGTTTTCAATATTCTAGGGAGGAACGAACCTATCAGTCATTTCAACAGCTACTTCGCTGGGTTCCATGTGTCCGCAGCCTTATCAACTCTCAAAGTGACGGATATCAGCTCAACGTTGCTTATCAAAAGGTAAGTTGTCCGTCATGCAAGTAGTCACATCAATGTTTAAACCCAATTGAATTCAGCTCAATAAAGGTGCCGATTCAGCACGGGGCGATGATGCTAGTTCTTTGAAGAAAACAGTGGCTTCGTGGCTCAATGAGAGCCGTCCTACCCCCAACCCACCAATCTCTTCAGTCGACAAGTCCGGACGTGGATTTTATCATGATGCGACCGGGGAACTTCTATGTCCTGTGGATTTCCATTGGGCCAATCCAAGGTATGACCTCACTAACCGGCTTACTACACCTCATACTGATTATAGCCATAGAACGAAGGAAGGGATACGAAACTACGAACCTGACTTCCAAGTCACTGCTCATTCATGGCCGGCATTTTTGTATAGTAACGGCAAATATGACCCTGACGACCCAACGAAAGGGCTGTTCAAAAGTGTTTGGCTCGTCAGGGTGGGTATTAGTATCTGCTTTCAAGGTATTGTACTCACCTATTGGCACAGACTTTCAAACATATTTTTACATCCCCCAGCTCTGCTGGGGAGATACGACCTGACGAAGAAGAACCCCTGGGCTACCAGGAATCATCGCACAAGCGGTCTAGGACCTCAGGTGAACGGCGCACCCGGTCCAACATTGCGACAATATTAGGAATGCGCTCAGTTCAACCGCGAGCCATCGCCTATTCAGCAGTCCAAGTAAGTTTAATAAATTTCTTAGACACGATGATAACTGAAGGGACCTGGAATCCCAGTTACGATTTGCCTTATCAAGCTGTGGTGCCTGGCATATCGTTGATGATGAGTTTGATCATCGTCAGTTTTATATCTACATCATCGACTACTTCGAGCATCCACCTACATCTGCCGCCAAAGCTTCCATCGACTCTCTTCTTGTTTGGTGGAACAGGTGAGTGTGTTGTAAGCTTTCTGTTGTTCGTACATTTCTTACACTTTGTAGAAAGGTCTTTGGGGCTCGCAATGTATCTACTTACTTGCCTCAGAATGTAGCGCAATACTCTGTTGCTAACACTTCTGCCAGACGCTGCCAGTGATACGTTTTACTAATGCATGTACTACCTATCTGTATTATCTATGTACACAATAATTTACATTGTGGGATCAGTATAATGGATGCGCAGCTATTCTAAAATAATCAAAATTGAACAGAAACGCAAATGAATGGCATGGATTTAGAGTGACAAACGAAGCTGGAATTGTCACACACGGCACATTGCTGCCATAGCATCGTGTATCCCCCATGTAGACCTAATTGTGTAACATGGCGAGGCTACACAATTGAGACATTGAATGACAGCCAATACATATACCCTGGAGGTGTCTGGGAAACCTTTACTTTTCATCACTGTTTATGAAATATATGTGATTACTGCCTGAGATTGAAATCGTGCATCAGAACGAAGTAAGTGCAAGAGATGCGCCACAGTAAAAATAGTTTGAAACATATATTGAGAGGGCATAAGTTTGGCTACTGATCTATGGTTACTACAGCTTGACTCATGTGACAGATTGCAACAAACGGGCCATCACATTTAGGATTATAATGTAGTATCTATTATCAAATGAATAGACTAGGTGTATCTAATTGCCGCCATATGATATCCACTGCTCCAACAAATGACATACGAAGTCAAAAGTACCGATTCACAGCGAGATGCTACTTACTGGTGAGTCATAACTTTTGGACGTTATACCATAATTGTGTCATATCGAAGACGCCTGTGGCCAAGTTGTGGCTTTACGGATCTGTAGCCAAAATGATATTGCACAGAAGTAAGTCGCTAGTTTCAATATGAATGAAAGGGAAGCTAAATCATCCTCATCACCCTAGTCATTGGCCACAGGACTTAAACGTATAATACTATTTATGAGTTTACAGACTGACGTGCCGTGATTTTACTAATTGTAGGTGTTAGACAGTTTGTAAGGTGAGTATAAGAGTTGGTCGTAAAATTTATGTTTAAGTGGTGGTTATCAACAGTCGACTCATTAGCTAGAACACTTAGCCTGTGGTGTTATTCCTTGTTTTGACCTAATCAAACTCGTCGAAATCAAAAGCATCTCCTGGAGCACTTCAACTTCACCAATGCTCTGAACTTCTTCAGTGCTCTTCATCTTTTCGAGAGCCACAAATTCAGCAGCAACGTCGTCAGCCAGAGATACTTTCTGGACGAGAAAGAAGGCTATTTACATCACGAATCTTGGTCGAGAGCGGAGGTGTGCACGCGAAGGATGCTTCAAGATTCCGTGCAGTCTCAACAACAATGCCGAACTCTTCATGAGTATGCATGTGAGCATGTCTACGGTAGGTGGACTCCCCAGCCTCCACGGTTTTTACGACGCTGTCTTGTCGAAGGTTTGCAGAAATTTGGCCGAGTATTTCAAATGTGTTCAGTCCCAGTAATGGCAGGTTGTGATATCAGGGTCGTAAGCAATTGAACACGCTATTGGCCCCAGGTTCTACCGAAATTTCCGCCATCTTACAGCAATAACGTTTCTGCCAAATCGATCAGAATCGTGCCCAGCATACGCAGGATATAAAAGCTGGCCGTTGTCCTACGGTGTTCCACTATTCTCAGAGATATCATTCGAGATCGCCCTCAGAAGATTCCATATCACCTCGCACAGAAAATGCGTTTCTCCTTCCTCGCCGTTGTTGTTGCTTTGACAACATCTATGTCTGTTGGTGGCAGCGCATGTAGTTCAACAACTTGCAAAGTAGATGATGATTGCTGCGATTTCATGGTTTGCGAAGATAATTACGTGAGTGTGTACAGGTCGCTGTGCAACCAGGATTCAAGCACATGATTGACCTGTGCGCCTTAGCATGGAGGCAAGGACTGCATGTAGGTTCAAATTTGAGCCAGCGACCCGAGCGGCACATCGCGATAGTGAGTCATGTTTCTACTTTCGCTTTGGTATCATTGTTGATGGTGCAATACATAGTTCGGAGTCAATCAGTACAATTGTTTCTGGACAAAGTGGATGTTTGAACTTGTATGAAAGCGACCGTGCCTAGTCTTGCTCGTCGCCCACTAAGCTTGAGTTCGAGAGGCTGTCAAAACAAGCGATCATTGTTGTTAAGATTAATACTATCGGGAGGTCATACGAAGATGGAACGCACTGCGCAGACAATCTTGAATCTGTTCGTCTAACGTTGGCCTCGAGGACTAGCTCATGGCCTCTCTTTGTGTGTGTGATGGAGCCAACGAGACGTCACTTTGTTGCCGATCGTGATTCGTGACAGATCTGGTATATAGTCGACCCCCAAGGTCATATGGGAGCGCGTGTCATGGATGATGAAAAAAGTGCAAAAAGGGGGCAACATTGGGGCAACAAAGATAAAGATAAAGAGGTTTAATATTACTGCAATGTGCATGTGCGGTACTTTCCATCAAGGGGAGAGTGATTCTCTTCATCGAGCGAGTGTTGGATGGAGTGCAAGTGAAAGGACACAACTGAGAGACTGCACCGTCGCGTAGATTGTGTTGTGCTGGGATTGTTTCACCTGCAATTGACTCAGAGGATCGTCACAGCAAAGACCTTGAGTAGGTAGATCTCAGAATTGATTAAAACAGCGACACAAAGCATCCTTCAGGCTCCAGCGTACACCATCTTATTTTAGGGACGTCGTTTTTCATGTTCTAATGAATTCAAATTGTGTTATAAGATCTAAATGATATCTCTGCGAGTCTCGGCTGGATACCCTGGAGTTCTGTCAGGTTCTTCCATCCTCCCTCCGTGTGAGTTCTGCCGTGGACCAGGCACAACCGAGCAAAATGAACGGAGGAAATAGATTCTGCCTAAACATTCGCTGGCAGTTGCCCAAGATCACACGTACGCAAGACAAACCTGTTCTACCAAGTCTATAACACTGAGCGTCAACTATCACGATAGTATATAGCAAGAGTTTGGTGAGGTCAGTTCTGGCCTGCCACACTGACAATGGATTGAATGCGATGACGTGCTTCTGCAGCACTACGTTTTCGAAAAAGCATTCCAGCGGCAGATACCTTCAGCTGAAACAATGCCCAAAACAACGAGAAGACAAGCGACTCTGCCAAACAGGAGTTGAAGATGCAATTGTCATCATTCAGAAGTGCTGGGTTCGTGGAGATAAAAACAGCTCTGCAAGAACACGTTAGTGCGACCAATTTGAATGGATGATCGACTCACCACGGTACTCACTTGACTGAGTTTGGTCAGATATCGACGATGCAGCTCTTCCAAGGTGTTTCTTTCTTTAAAGAGATCGTCAATTAGTGCAGATGACCGCACTGGGTGAATACGAAGCAGCATATGTCATGAAATAAAGGATTCTGGAGCATCCGAGTCCTACTTGCATGGAAATTTGTCGAAAAAGCTCTCATCTGGGGTAGTATGTGGCCGTGATGACCGTGAGTACCCACTAGCAACTCGAGTAGTCTGACTTGGGTTAGTCACGAACAACAGTAAGGTGGTAACCGACTTCTCTGAGCGAGGAACGATTGCGGGAAAATCAAGGCAACCGAAAGAGTTGATGCTGCCTCATGTTGATCGCAATTTGCGCCTGCGACCTGATGGCACAATACCACTTATCTCAGTCATAGCACAGAAAGTTCGAATACACGTGTGACTTACCTCCACCACACGAGCGCTAACAACCCAAGGAGCAATGGCAGATGTGACTGCACAGCACTGCTGCATGGCGATTTTATTACCCAAAGCATCTCTGAAGAGACAGGAAGTTTTTCAGAGAAGACAAACTATGCTCATATCTTGAATGCCTTGTGTACTCGGGAAATGTTCGTGTGAGACTCTGTAAGTACTAGAAAAACGCGCATATGTGTAATTGACACGTACCGTCCAAGTGAGGCTTGATTCTCAGCCCTGAACGCTACATAAAAAGTCAAAGTGGGAGAACCTGTCGTCAATTGGGAGATTTGTGGAAGCGCCAACGCCACTTTCCTGCACAACGGAAGTCGCGCACTAAATCGAATCGAAAACATAGATCTGATCGAGATTACAATGGATATACACGAGTGGAGGGGATGGAAGAGATATGCAACGGAAAGGCATGCTAATACTTAACACGTGGCTGTAATGAAACTCTCAAGGACAGAAATAAGCGAAGCGATAGAAACATCCTATCCTTGATATCCAGATCTATGAGAGTGAACACCCCACCATGCAATCGCCCAAAATTTTCTAAATGGAGGCAAAACCACGAAGGATAGAAATTCCACCAAGACTAGAGCAGCAACGGTGGTGATCGTGAGAATACGAGTCAGGAGTGATTGTGACATGCACCCGGTGATGACAATAGCTGAAAACATAAAAGTATCAGTGCCATCATTGTTCAAGTGAACAGTCAAATGCGCACCCGCTAAGAGCCAACCTAAAGAACTATTGAAGAGCAGAGCTGGGAGAGCTAAATTGAAGAGGTGACAAAAGATCATCCAGCGTCTCTCTTTGAGTTCCTATGTTTCATTTACTGGGAATATGTATTTCAGCAAGGGGTTACTCACGTCCAATGTTTTCGTGCGTTTATATCGTGGTCCCAAGTAGGCAGAGACAAACAACTGCAGGAACAGCCCGAACAAAGCGAAGACGAGCGACTCAGACAAACATGCGTATGGAATGTCCGCAGCATAATTTAGGATAGATAACGGGGCTGCGGTTGAGATGAAGACAGCTGACGTTGTGAGCAGCAGTCCTTGCTGGTAAGGCATTTAGAATTCAGTCAACTCGATGACTATGGCACGTACCACGGTGCTTATGCGGTTAAGGAAGTCAAAATATTCGGCATGATAGTCCTCCCAGCCCTTCGAGGAGTCTCTACTGACTTTCTTCCAGAAAGTTTGAAGGTTCGAGTCTGCCACGAAAATATAGCAAAGGATGATGAAACAGCGCCTTGGTATTGGCGCCAATGGGGGCTCCCATTCAGTTGGCATAGTAATGGGATCTGGCTGTTTTTCGGGTTCTTGTGATTTGGAACATTGCGTAAGACGTGAGTTCTCGCTGTGTGTGATTTCTCTGGACATCTATTGGAGGAGAAGATCAGTAAAAGCCTTAGTAAAAGCCTGTGGTTGAGGTTGGTTAGTATGGTACGCTCTATGAGCCTGCAGGAAAGTGTTGAACGTTGAGGGCCGAGGCTGCGTTATATATATATACATCCACCAGCGTGCCCAACATGTGCACTACTTCAAATGCCAAGGGTAGCATCTAGTGACCTTGGTCACGGTGCACAAAAGCCCTTCATTTGGGTCAACGGGTGCCGAGGAAATGATATCACTTACATAATGAATCGAAGCGTGTTCGAATTCATGAAACATGCCGAGGTTAGGCCGAGGTAATCCTGCCAGTGGTACAGTGCACGATACAGTGATCTGGATCGAGTATAATATATTCCACATTTGCAGTTTCATTGCATCGCCGTAATCACTTGCATGTTCTTCCGAGTCTGGGATCATCGTCATAAATCTAAAATGTGAGGACTTGTGACTCGGGCAAATTCGAACCCGATAACAGGCTGCCATTTGACTTATACATCACATTAGCAACACTGTATGAATTTTGATGGCGTGTTTGATGAGCATGAGCCTGTGAGTAATGAACACGTGCAAACGTAATAAATGGTTAGAAGATGGCTAGGTCGTCACCACGTACTTAATGGCCTTCCTGAACTGGCGAGTGGAGAAATGTTTCAATAACGAGTAACCTCATTCTGGAGACTGGAATGGTGCAGGGTATGCCCAGACTTGTACCAGTGCTTCGCAGACACCACCCAAGTCAGAAATGCTGAAGTTCGATGCAAACATGAAATGCCCAGTTCATACGAGCAAAATGGACAACAGGCTCCAATCACCCATTCATACCAATCATCGTTGACAAAAGCTGCTCGACGCAGGAAGAATTTTACCCTTCATGACTGTTGTATTGACAGCATGCTCGTATTGCTCGCGTGTCCTGTTTGATTCTACGTGCTCTTATCCTCAGCTGACACAGTATTCCCAACCGTTCTTGCCAGGCTGTACTAACCTTATTACCGCTGAGTGTATCCGGTCTTCCATCCTCTAGCCACTTTAGAAGGTACGGGACTATTTGGCATTCTGTCGGATACAACAACCGAGGTCAACGTGCAAACCTTGACATTGCATGTACTTGTTCGACAAGGAACGCATATACAGATAGGAGTGTGCAGCGGTAGAATATGCCACGGACTGGCAGAGGAATCTTTGAGCGCTGTTATGATACGTCAGTGTTTGGTGTCATGCCACGTTTGGGAGAAAGTAAACCGGAGTCCAAGTCCAAAAGTGTCCAGCGATGTGTACGTGCATCGTGGCATCCCATGAATGAGGGGGTATGGCTTGCTCAAGTGGGATGACCATTCACAGTGGAATCACCTGTCGTCAGCTGGGAGCTTGTAGAAGCGTTAGCGCCATTTTCCTGGACAAGAACGAAAGTCATGCGCAACACTGAACCGAAAACGTGAATCTGATCAAGATTATAACAGATATACAGGAGTGAATGGGATATAATAAATATACATCGGGAAGGCATGCTAATACCATGTACATTTGGAGGTCGTAGTACAACTGTCAAAGACAGAGATAAGCGCGCACATCGTAAAGAGGCTGAATAAAGCGATAGAACCGTCCCGTACCCTCAATGTCTGTCATGGTGAACACCCCATAATGACACTGCCCAAAATTTTCGAAATGGAGGTAGAATCACGAAGGACAAAAATTCCACCAAGACAAGAGCAAGGACGGTGATAATTGTGAGAATACGAGTTAGGAGTGATTGTGACATGCACCCGGTGATCACGATCGCTGGAAATATAAAGGTATCAGTGCCATCGGTTCGAACGAACAGTCAAAATCGCACCCGCTAAGAGCCAACCTAAAGAAGCATTAAAGAAAAGAGCTGGGAGAGCTAAATTGAAAAGGTGACAAAAGATCATCCAACGTTTCTCTTTGAGTTCCTAAGTTTCATGGGTACATTCACTGGGAATATGTAGTTTTAACAGGGGGTTACTCACCTCCAATGTTTTTGCGCGTTTATATCGTGGTCCCAAGTAGGCAGAGACAAATAACTGCAGGAACAGCCCGAACAAAGCGAAGACGAGCGACTCAGACAAACATGCGTATGGAATGTCCGCAGCATAATTTAGGATAGATAACGGGGCTGCGGTTGAGATGAAGACAGCTGACGTTGTGAGCAGCAGTCCTTGCTGGTAAGGCATTTAGAATTTGGTCAACCCGATGACCGTATAGTACCACTTACCACGGTGCTTATGCGGTTAAGGAAGTCAAAATATTCGGCATGATAGTCTTTCCAGCCCTTCGAGGAGTCTCTACTGATTCTCTTCCAAAAACTTTCAAGGTTCGAGTCTGCCACAAAAATATAGCAAAGAATAATGAAACAGCGCCTCGCTATTGGTCTCGGTGGGGGCTGCCATTGGGGTGGCATATCCTCGCATGAGTGTTCACCGGTTTCTTGTGATTTGGAATTTTGTATAAGAACTGAGTTCTCGTTATATGTGATTTCTTTGGGCATCTGTCGGAGGAGAAGGAAGGTTAGCCAAAGGCCTGCAGTGGAGGTTGGTTATGCTACGTTCTGTGAGCTTGTGATAATTTGGAAGTGTTGAAGCTGCGTTATATATGCATCTATCGGCATGCCTAATACAAGGTCAAGGGTACATTTGGCGTACCTTGGCGCACAAAAGCCCTTCGTTTAGGATCAAGATGTCGCCCATCGCTAAGGAGAAGGTATTCACATAATGGATCGTTGCAGAAATGAAGCATGTTCATTGTTCACGAAACCTGCTGAGGTAGCTACATGTTATTGATACGATGAAAGGCAACGGGTCTCTATGCAAAATAATTAGCAAGTCTCCATCGAACATTGTAGTTGGGATCGGCACTCACATCTAAATCCGCATGCATACATGTACAGCCTCTTGCCTGCATGTATCAAGATGCGTACAGTTGGAACGTTGGAACCAGAAAAATTAATCACTGCGGGCGGGCGTTGCCGGACACCGGTATTTACTGTGACGGCGTTTGTTTGTAAGGCTTTTAGATGCGGCAGCAGAAGTACATGGAACGTTCGCGCCCATTAATGATAACCAGATATACCAGCCTAGTTTGATTGGGAGAAATTCTAAAGACACAAATGCTCATGTAGGTAGAATGCACTTGTGATAATCAAAACAGAAAACACTGAAACCAGAGACAGGTCATGATGTAATTTAGATGATCGATTGAACATTGCTGTTTTCGGGCAACTCTAACACAGATTTGTCAAAAGCGCGAACGTTCTCAGTGACTATAACTAAATCACTAGGACCTCCATCGTCAATAGCTAGACAAACGGTAAACACGGTCGTTCCTTCAACGTTTCAACTTCCTGGCATCTCATGGAGTTACATAGCGCCTGCTCCAAGCCTGCCCAATGCTTAACGCTAGTCAACACAGTAGCAAATAAGCATCGCCTCCAGGCTTGCGGTCAAGGCCTGACATCATATTTAGACGACGTTGTTACCCACTCTTCTCGTTCAACGCCTACTTCGCCCACACTGATCTTTAACTATTCGCCATGAGCAACATCAGTCAATTAACGGACTCAAGCCCAGTTCCTCCAGACACCACAGCAGTTGCTCGCGGAAGCTCGGTATGTTGCTCATGTGCATCACTTGCCCATCGCACTGTCAAACACTGACTGTGATGCCCCATTTGTCCAGGTCCAACCGCCAAACAAAGTTCATCGGTTTCTGAGCAAGGTCAAGGATGGTGTAACGAAGAAGGTTCCTGTAAGTCGAGCAACCGAGTTGTATTGGGATCAGACTGAGATCATACACAAGCTCTCGAAGAATTTGCGCAGCCGCGACCCCGTTCAGGTAGGTGACATTCCGACGTCTGCTCTCTGTCTAACTTCTACTGGCTACACCGGGCTCAGGATACTTCTGCTGTTGTGCAACAAGGTGCCGATTTCCAATCTGTGAATAAGGCATTTCAGGATGCCGGTCATAGTGCAGATCAGATGAAATCACTTCGGGGACGTGCGAGACCCGTATTGTCCGCAGGCAAAAATGGATCAGCAGCACTCGATTATGTAGACAGTATAGAGACCACTTATCTTCAACCTCTCAGGATATTCGACACTGTGATCGGGACGATAGCAGAGGTATTTTCTCTCTCTTCCTCTTTAGAACTAGACTAACAACGTCCTGCAGGTGCATCCGTATGCAAAGATGGCATTGGGCGTGCTTTCTTGCGCATCAAAAGTACGTTTTCTTGCCGTTATTCGTACTTCCTGCTCACTTATTCTGCACGCAGATAATTCTTGCTCAAGCGGATCGTGACGAAGCGGTAATTGACCTCTACAAGAAGTTGGGTCAAGTGTATGGCTTCATAACGCAAGACGACACGCTTCTCAAGATTTCGTCAATGAAGGACATCTTTGGACAGATCTCTCAGCAGACCATAGAATGCGCCAATTTCATCAGGGACTATTCAGAGAAGAAAAGCTTTTGTGAGTCACCAACAAGTCGTTACACTTGGCAGATTTTCATTCTTATCATAGGGGAGAGACTCGGAAAGAACATCATCTCGGAAACAAACGATACGATACAACAGTATAACAATGTGTTGGATGCGCTCATGCAAAACTTCCGCGATCAAGTCACTCGCGACGTAGCCACCTATATTCACGATACAAGTAAGTATTGTATTTGCTTCTGACTCGCCATCCATTCATACTTCTATAGGCGAAATACTGGAATTCAGTGGTATGGCTTATGCGGAGGCTGCAGGACTAGATACTAGGAAGCGATGCCTGCAAGAGACACGCACTGACATTCTCTCCAACATCATGGGGTGGATCAATGACAGCGGAGACGATGTTCCACGGGTGCTATGGCTATCCGGACCTGCCGGAACGGGTAAATCATCCATTGCTCACACGATCGCCAGCTCGTTCATCGGGGTGGGCGGACTTGGTGCTTGTTACTGCTTCGACCGAAACACGGAGGATCGTCACAAAAAGGTTTTCAGCACTATCGCGCGAGACCTGGCTGACCGTCATCCGGAGATGAGACGAGCGTTAGCGCATGCAGTCAAGAACCAGACTGCGCTCAAGAATACACCGGATGTCGTACAGCAGTGGCAGAAGCTTCTCGTAGAACCGTTAGGGAAGCTTTCTGAGTCACCCGTGGGGCCCGTCGTGATTGTTATCGACGCACTGGACGAAAGTGGCGAGGCAGTGGAGACACGCAGTGACATTCTTCGCATTCTTTCCGGTAAACTTCGAGACCCAACCATCACCCATATCACGAAACTCCCAAAAAACTTCCGGATCTTAGTCACCTCCCGCCCGCTTCGCGACATTCGGAATTCGTTTGCAGGCGCTCAACACATGCGAGAGATTTCTATGGACAACATTCCATTAGAAGTGGCAGAACGCGATATCTGCACCTACGTATCGGAGAAATTAGAAGGGCTTCCAGATTTTGGGAGCAAAGAGTTCACAGCCCTGGCCAAGAAAGCTGATGGTCTTTTCGAGTGGGCACGTCTTGCTTGTAAATACATCGAAGCACCTCCTCCCGGCTCATCTTCGGTTCGGTTCTTCAATGTCATAGTATCGCGCGATCCTGTCGAACGGGAGCACCTGTTGTATGATATGTATGACTTCATTCTCACCCAGATCATGCCAAAGGATAGACACGCAAGCCTCAAGTCTCAGCAAACACAGCTAGCGGCGTTTCGTTCCGTGATGGGACAAATTCTTGGCACAGCCGAACCCCTCCCTTTGAATTCCCTGAATGTCATGCGAAGCCATTTTCGAGATGAAAGCGAGCGTTACAAAGTGGAGGTCATAGTGGAACATATGGGATCCCTCCTTAGCGGCACCACCAACTCATCCACCCCAATCCGACCTCTTCATGCATCCTTTCGCGATTTCCTGACAGATCAATCACACGCTGGAGAGTTCTTCGTCGACGTGCCGAACGTTCAACGTAACCTTGCTTTCGCCTCACTTGGAGTGATGAAAGATGGACTCTCCTTCAATATCTGCGATTTAAAATCATCTTATCTTCCCAACTCTGAAGATCCCGATCTGCAAGAACGAGTTGAAAAGCGCATCCCCCCACATCTATCATATGCCTGTCGATTCTGGCTTTCACACGTACAAGCCACTAAGTTCGATTCAGAACTAGCCACAGAAATAAAATCATTCCTCGACCATGAGCGACTGTTCTTCTGGCTCGAAGTACTCTGCCTCATCAGTGCGCTCAGCGGCGCAGTCCCCGCCCTTCCACATATTGCCAAGTGGTTGAAGGTGAGCACATGGTTATTGAGCGTCAGATCACATGCCCACTAACGCGCAATCGCAATCACAGGGTCACACCGGATATGAAGATGCCTCGTCCGCTGCAATAGACGTGCAGAGATTCATTCAACTCTTCGCCGGCATCATCCTGCACAGCACACCTCATCTCTATGTATCAGCACTTCCATTCTCTCCTCTCAACTCTGCACTATCCAAAACGTTTTCTGCACGGTTTCCGAACTCTCTTCGTGTAGCATCTGGACGTGATATCAACTGGACGGCTGTTCAGACTGTGATCAGAGGACACACTGATTGGGTTAACTCAGTCTCCTTCTCGCCGGATGGGACTCGCATTGCGACTGGATCGTATGATCGCACTGTGCGGTTGTGGGATGCAGCAACAGGGCAGCCAGTAGGCGAGCCCTTGCGGGGGCACACTGCGTCAGTTAGCTCAGTTTCATTCTCGCCGGATGGGACACGTATCGTGTCTGGCTCGTATGACAAGACCGTCCGGTTGTGGGATGTAGCAACGTGGCAGGCCATTGGTGAACCCTTATTGGGGCATACTGAGTCGGTTAACTCGGTTGCGTTCTCACCGAACGGGACTCGCATCGTTTCAGGTTCATACGATGAGACTCTACGGCTATGGGATGCAGTAACGCGGCAGCCAGTTGATGAGCCCTTGAAAGGGCACACTGGTTCGGTCAATTCAGTCTCGTTCTCTTCGGATGGGACACGCATCGTTTCTGGTTCGCACGATCGAACTGTCCGGCTGTGGGATGCAGGAACGGGGAAGCCTGTCGGTGAGCCCTTGCTGGGGCACACTGATTGGGTTATGTCAGTCTCGTTTTCTCTGGATGGAACTCGCATCGTTTCTGGTTCGGAAGATAAGACTGTCCGGCTGTGGGATGTAGCGATGGGGAAGCCTGTCGGTGAGCCCATGGAGGGGCACACTGATCGGGTGAGCTCAGTTTTGTTCTCGCGGGACGGAGGTCGCATTGTGACAGGTTCGCATGATCATACTGTCCGGCTGTGGGATCTAGCAACAGGCAAGCCAGTGGGCGAGCCCTTGGTGGGGCACACTAATTGGGTCAACTCAGTCTCATTCTCTTTGGATGGGACTCGCATCGCGACTGGTTCTGCGGATAACACTATCCGACTGTGGGATGCATCTACAGGGAAGCCAGTTGGTGAGCCCACCAATTCCACTTACATTACCTCAGTCTCGCTATCGCCGGATGGGACCCGCTTCGCCACTGGTTCTCAGGATGGCACTGTCCAGCTGTTGAACGCAGCTACAGGTCGCCCAATTGGCGCGCCCTTGTTGGGGCACACTGATCATGTCCGTTCAGTCTCGTTCTCTCCGGATGGGACTCGCATTGTGACTGGTTCGAAGGATAAGACTGTCCGCCTGTGGGACGTAGGAACGGGGCGGTTAGTGGGTGAGCCCTTGCTGGGGCACACTAGTCAGGTTAACTCAGTCTCGTTCTCTCCGGACGGGACTCGCATCGTCTCTGGTTCGGGCGATAAAACAGTCCGGCTGTGGGATGCAGGAACGGGGAAGCCTGTTGGTGAGCCCTTGGAGGGGCACACTGAGTGGGTTCGGTCAGTCTCATTCTCGCTGGACGGAACTCGCATCACGTCTGGTTCTAAGGATAAGACCGTCCGGTTATGGGACGCAGCGACGGGGCAGTTAGTGGGTGAGCCTTTCCTCGGGCACACTGATGAGGTTTACTCGGTCTCGTTCTCTCTGGACGGGACTCGCATCGTTTCTGGTTCAGAAGATAAGACAGTCCGACTGTGGGATGCAGTAACGGGGAAGCCTATTGGAGACCCCTTGGAGGGGCACACTAGCAGTGTGATGTCGGTCTCGTTCTCACCAGATGGGACTCGCATTGTATCTGGCTCACAAGATACGACTATCCGGCTGTGGGATCTAGCAACAGGCAAGCCAGTCGGTGAGCCCTTGTGGGGGCACACTCGTGTGGTTGACTCAGTATCATTCTCGCGGGATGGGACTCGCATCATTTCTTCTTCATGGGATGGAACTGTCCGAGTATGGCATGCGGTGATTGGGAAGTCACTGCAGGACCATACCGAAGAAGACTATTCACCATCATCCTCACACTGCAGTTGCATCCTGCATCCAACACCGGTCGTCCCCACACCCAACACTGCAAACGACGATTTCATTTCCTTTTCATCAAACCCAACGACACATGCACTGCGCGACACTGCTGAGCTACTCGCGGGCACCTCCTATGACGACCACACATTTGTGCTAGGTGAAGATGGATGGGCGATGGGACCGAATCGTCGTCTCTTGTTCTGGGTACCACCCGCTTCCCGAAAACTATTCTATAATCCTCGGACTGTATTAGTGATACCCAGAGGCGGTGTTGAGCTTGACTTGAGTTGCATGGCACATGGGACACGCTGGCAGCACTGCCGCAAGAAGTGAGTCTCCAGTTTTTTCTGTCCCTCGCAGTTAATCAATTCGATTCTTGTACATAGCTCTTGATTGCGATGATCTCGTTCCTGTAATTAAATTGATTTGTAGAGATATTTGTCGAGTACGATATGGAGTGTACGGTTACATAATATGGAAGTACTACGGCGCTGTTCTTTTTTGATTTTCAACTCTGCGCTCGCTTTCGGTTCTAGACCTTTGCTGTGCTCGCATCTCGATCAATCATACTACTATTCAGTCTATTCTGACCGCTGCTTGGTCTTTTCACACACGAACATTTCTGGTCTAGTAAACATAGCGAGCTCCTTTGACAACCAGTCACGGCTTGCGAGTCTGCCACTCAATGAAACGCTTATTCCTGAATCTCTATTTGCTTCTCACAAATTTCATATTGTAACTTTATGCAAGTTGGCAACATTATCATAGCTCTTCGATGCACAGTTTTCAGCTCCCCACAGCAATCACATGGACCAGACCGCACAAGAATGGTTGATCACTGCCTTATCTTTGACTTTCACCTGTAGGCATCGTGTGCGCTGGATTCGCGAGAAAGCTGTCGCACTAGGCCCACTCCTGGCAATGAAATGTCTTGCAATTCACCCTTCTCTCCCAAGCGCGTTGGTCTCAATCAACGAATACAAGGCTTCCAGTGAGTCTTGTTCTACTACCTGATCACCCTGAATATCGCTGAACTTGTTGACGCTAGATTCGGCTGCCTTTTCACAGAAAGTTCTATCTAGGCTTGTATCGATCACATAGCCAATGGCTCTCAAGACGGCAGGGAATTTCTCAGTCGTCTACATCATCCAGAGTATCATAATCGTTACCTTCTCCGTACGCTACACCCTCTCTGTCTGGTTCGCGCTGATCGCCGCATGCGAGCAGGTATAAAACACCCTTTCATGCCCACAGATACTTTCAACTCCGTGCGCAAGTCACAATTTTTCATCAAGGAGTTTGCAAATGCGTCCTAGGTGATTACGGTGCATTCCGCCCTCAACTATGTTGAGAGCACAATTTATCATCTCCCCACCTTCACCATATTCGTTAATGGCTCTTCCCCCAGGTCCTTGACCGCGTGCAGAACTGCCAGTCGCTGGTCTTACAACCGCTGAAGGAACTGAACTTGCCCAAGATCGTGCTAAGGTATCGAACGTTACATGCACTTTTTTTTTTGGCGAGAATCATGGTGTTGTCGAAGGTGATCACGATGTGAAGTGGAGTATTTAAAGTCGAACGAGTGGAGGGCGAGGAGACTTACATGGGGTTACAAAAATATTTGAGACGAATAGGAGCAAGCGAGGAAGAAATTGAGGTGAGACAATTTGCAATGACTCAGTACTCAGAGTTAACGAGCCTAAATCCAAGGGCTCGTGAACTTATGTTCTCCCTTAGGCAGACTATGTAATAGAGGGAAGACAGTTTGTCCCTTTTATAAATATAAACTTATATGAGTGACTGTTTTCGTTCATACATCATGTAGTCTAAGGCGTCTTTGCTCTACACTCGTATTCGATCATCCCAACTACCGTCCGGGTGCGGCCTTAGCCACTGCTTCATGGATCGCCCGTGGGGAGCGCTCAGCACCGGGCAGTGCAGTCAATGCCGTCATGTATTTCACTGCCATTAGTGTTAATACGGTACAGCATCAGTGACCTGTCCTTAAAGCCTGAGAGAATAGGACAGACGCCATGTCCTCAACTTCACCATCATGATGACCCTCCTTCCCAGCGCAGTTCTCTTATGCGTTCCGTTCGTTTACGCTTCACTCTCCAGTCTCAACAACACCAGTCCCCATATACTCGATGCTAGCAACTGTCCGTCCTGCAACACCAGATCCTTGTGGGACATTCTCTTGAGCTGCGGCTTAACCTTGTTTGCCTGCACATGGACTGCCGTCCATCCTAACATCCCGGGTATGGACGAGGGCAAAATTGCCATTACTTCTCGTCGTCTATTCATCATGGCCATGGCGCTGATCGCCCCAGAACTCATGATTACATGGGCTACGCGGCAGTTTTTCAGCGCTCGTGATGCTGCAAAGGACTTTAGGGACAACGGGGGTATTATAATAGTACGACATGATGCGACCCACGGCGCTGATCGAGTTATACCAGGAAGGACATCTGCGGTGGTTAGTCATGGTCACAGCGTCGATTTCCCCAGAACTCATGATCACATGGGCCACGCGGCAGTTTTTAAATGCCCATGACATCCCTCATGCCGAAGCTGCAGAGGACTTTAATGACGCGTTTAGTGCACACAGTGCCACGACTCTCGGCGATGATCCAGATATATCAGAGAGCCCAACTATTTTAGTCGGTGACGTTTCAGAAGTGGGTAGAAGTTTAGGCGTTCCTGGATATGTAGAGTTTAAACGTCAGTTATATGCTCGGACTCTTCAGTTATGCAGGACTAACATGTAACCAATCCCTTCATAGGATGGACAATAACCCATGGGTTCTTCGCATGGATGGGTGGATTTATGCTCTACGTTGATGGCATGCCGCGAGCTACTCTTACTCCCGATGAACTCCTGGAGTTCGTTCGTAGGGGATCCGTGGACATGCCAGTCATCACAGAGGCAGAGATGGAAGATCGAAGTAAGGGTGATGGACTATCCAAAGGCATCGCTATTCTTCAGTTGGTGTGGTTTGTCGCACAGCTTGTCGCTCGTTACATCCAGAACCTTCCGATAACCCTGCTTGAAATTGACACTCTGGCAGTAGCTGCCTTGACCTGCATTCCTTATGCTTTGTGGTGGAAGAAGCCTAAGGATGTAGGACGTCCTTATATTGTTCATCTGAAAGCAACTGCAGCTCCGCCAGGCCAGTTACGCTATGAGTATGTTGTCAATATCATTGCCTGAAATTATTCTGATTCATCTGCATTCTTACAATAGAAAATTTAGCCATATCTCCAGGTCCTACTATAGGCGGATTAGGGGACATATCATCTATCCCTTTGTCTGTCTCATGGGCATTGCGGTAGATCCTTCCCCCCGTGCTGCCCGTTCTCGTCGTGTGCCATCCCTAGGTGGCTACGACAGAGGCTTTGTTTTTAAGTTTGACCACAACGGGGGCCCACTGACTAGGTATCGTGTTGGTAAGATTGTACTTCTTATTGGATGTTTCAGTGGGATGGTGTTTGGAGGGATACACTGTCTCGGTTGGAATCACTTTTCCACAGCCATGCAGAGCACATTATGGCGCACAACCTCCCTTTTGGTAATATGTGCACCAGTAGTTATTTCGCTTGATACCCTGTCATTCATGCACAGACGGAGGCCTTTGATGATGATATTCGGATTTCTTCCTGGACACATCGCCGCTCTCATATATATAACTGCACGTATTACGCTAATTGTACTCATAATTCTGAGCTTACAATCACTACCTACTGGGGTATACGATACAGTAGCTTGGACTAGGTTTATTCCGCATTTGTAGTTTGGTTTCATTGACTAGTAACAGGGCATGCTAACTTACCTGATGGATCACTGTTGTAATCGGAAGTGAGAGTATGACGTTCGAACAGCCCAAGCTGCCACTTGACTTGAACACGGACGTTTCCATCGAATGTGACTACCATAAAATCTAGCTATATACTCCCATGTAATCTAGGAGTGAAATGTACATGCAAAAAGAATAATACTGGAAAGTTTACGAACACATGTGAGCATCACACCAATCTACTTCCCTTTGGAAAAGTCTGTCAGTATGACCCTGCAGCCACAGCGGTTCGAAAGAAAGTCAGGGGCTTGCGGGCGGGGAAGATATGTGAAGAAGGCATATCTTCTATCAGGGACGAATGCACTCGGCAAGACGTCATCGACGATATCAATATGGTGACGTTTCAAGCACAATAGTCACGCCCATTTTACAACAAATTGAGCCAGGGTGAACATACGCGAAAGCGGCTGTGGTTAGGACGTGGCTGAGTTGTCCCAGCGTAAATTTAGGGACCGGAATGTCGAGGTGTATGCCTGCACTCGGGCCAGTGCTTCAAAAAACACCGCAGTCAGATTCAAACATCAAAAATTAATGCCCTGGTGAGTTCGCTTCTTGTCAAGGTCACTTGTATCGTCAAGGGTACAGTCCAACCCATCAAAATGACTGCAGTCTCAAGAGTCAACAGCTCACCATATTGTACGCTAACTAGTCGTCAAACTCAACATACGCTCGAGTAGCTATATCTACTATAATGTATGATGGGTTTGACGGCCTGACATTCAGAAGCTGTGTCACGAGCTTGATCAGGAGTGGGAAGCATCTACTAAATTACCATCAGCGGATCTGCAGCAATGAAAGATACGAAAACAAACGAGAGCTTCTGAATCGGGAGGGAAATATTGATTACTCGATTAAGTTGCGATTAAGCAAAGGCATGCCTGTCGATGTTGTATGTCACACATAGGTGAACTATCCTGCGATCATGCCATTCGAAATGAAGCGTTCTGTTCACGTACTGGTCTGCCGAGCTTTAACTATGTAGGCTGCCTGTGAGATGTCAAAGAGTGATCATGAGCATTGTATAGTTAACACCTAGCATTTACTTTCAGTGGGGCATAACAATCCACTTTCATTCTTAGACTCTCTTCGTGTTTGAATCGCTCGCTCGGCCCGTCGGGTGGGCGAGAAGTCGTTGTGAAGGATGTTCTTGAATATCTAACGCGCTGTGCAGAGGGATACAGAGATTTGACATACGAGTGTCAGGTTACAAGTGTCGACTATGCTAGAGGCGTCTTCATATTATTTCTCGGGCTATTGTAGTAACTGGATGTTGTAAGTAAGTTTTTGGGATAGGTGGGGAAAGACAAGAGAAGACAACAAATAACTTATCAGAAATGTGCATAACACTCTTCTTGTCGAGTAGAGTCGTGACACGAGGTTTTATTAACGGGAGGAAGGCCATCGAGTCTGGATTGTTTCTCGCAATGCGTTGAAGTAGCGCTCGAATCCGAAAACGAACGGTCCGAAATTGCTATCGGGCGTTGCCGGTACCTTCTGGTTGAAACTGTCATGTTCAAGTTGTTATGATCGACTCCAACGTCGACCACCACGCCGCTCGATCTTTTCCCCAAACTCCTTGTCTCTGCCAATATACAAACAATTATGATCATTTGCGGTGATTTGGTAGCCAAGCTCGAAAAGCTACGGGCTTCACTCAGCAAAATACTCATACCTCTCCCCGGTTCTCTCAGCTTCAGAGCGCCAGGGATGCGGATCCTCTTCGCTCACCTGTTTACAACTATGTTGTGCCTGATGGAGGCACTGAGCATGTGTCGCAGTGTTCCCATGGTCATGACTCATGGAAAATACTATAATACATACTCGCTGGATGTCTACTCGATTGCCCCCCACAAATTTTATTCGTAACTTTGTACTGGCAACATTAATATTGTCAGTGTATCTCTACGAGCAGTGGACCAGACTGCGTATGACCGGTTGATTATCTGGTGTATAGGCTGCCTTATCTTTGACTTTTGATTTGTAGGCGTCTTGAACACTGGATTAGCATTTAAATGCTGTAGATATCAGGCCCCATTTCAGGCCAAGAAAAGGCTGGCAATCCCCCTTCCCTTCTCAAGTACGCATGTCCGAATCAACGAACACAAGGCTTCCGGTCCTAGAGTGAGTCCATGTTCTGGCTGATCACCCCGGATATCTTTGAACGTGTTTACGCTAGATTTAATCGCCTTTGAAATCACAAGTATTTTGTACGCTTGTATCAATCACGGTAAATGGGTACGGGATGGTGCCAGAAAATTTCCGAGTACTCTACCATCCAGTGTATGATCTCGATTGGCAAAGATAGAAGATTGAAATAAGGGTGATGGACTATCCAATGGCACTGTCATTCTTCAGCTGCGAGGGTTGGTTCTCTAGATTTTCGCCTGTTTCAATGAAGCATAACGATCCACTTGCCTTCTTCGATTCCCTTTCATCTGACCTTTGAATCGCTCGCTTAGGTAGGCGAGAAGTCATTGCGTTGAGTGTTCCGTGCTGAATGGAGACTGTGGAAATCGGAGTTCCTCAGAAGTGACGCGGCACAGGCGTTCCCCTTATCGACGTTGTGCTTCAGCAAACTGTCATGAGAGTCATACCTGGAGAGATCTTGATCACGCTACCTTCACTACACTTCGTCACAGCAATAAATTCTACACTAGAGCTCGACGAGCAGCGTATCTGTACAATCAAGAGTCAAAAGCATGGTGGCGTACTATTCACTTTGACATGATCATCAGCACACGTCAAGACTGCATATACGTCGTCAGAAAATACAAAACCTTTCAGTCATGTTCGTAGCGAATCACGTAAGTAAAATGAATAGCAAGGTGCCAGTCAGGACGGCTGCGTGCACCCCTCGGAAGGTGCGAGACCAGTGGGGGAGGTCCGCTGTGAAGTAGTGTGATTACAGACAAGGCTCGAGCGTATGGTGTTGCGTGACATGTGGGAGTGGTTAGAGGATTGATGACACCCCGTAGACGAAGGACATAGTTGTATCGAGCACGTGCATCAACGTTGGAGCTTTGATGAGATATGGATGCGTCTGCGTTGTCAATTTATTGGTTGGTCGCTCCAAAGGAAGACTAGCAGGATGTTGTGCGCATATATAGCGAGGGACCCTATACAGCGGACCCTAGCCTTATATGCGTACGACACGCGCTAGAGGGTTGAATATATGCGTCATATCATAGAAAGCAGGATGTATGCGTGTTGTCCCTTGTCGTTTGGACATTCGGAAAGGGTATATGCGCTTCATTAACCGCTAAAGGTACCCCAGCAGGACTTCCGGAAGGTGGCTGAATGCCTATGCACGCCTTCGTGAGGTTTGCAGCTAATTTGAACGGCTCGTAGGTGCTGGATACCTCCACTTTAGATATATACGTCTTGAAATGTAGCAGAAAACGCACCACGCAATATCTCGACGAAAGCGACTATATATGCATGAGGTGTCTTCGTATTTTGTTCTCGAAGTTGGGTGCTATAGGTGAAGGATGAGAACATTGGAAGGCATATCCGTTACACTCTGTCCGTTGTCGAACACGCTCGGGACGAGCGTTAACGCGAAGGTGTGTTGAGCCGTTCCCGTAGAATGAGATACGTCGAAAGCAATTGTGGGGATGAGCTAATGGCGAGGGGTCGTGAGTCCATGTACATACAAGCAAAATACAAGGGCAGCGTTGAAAGATCCACCGACAGCAGCGAGCACCAAATATGACACATGCTAATTAGCCGACAATCGTGTCAGAAGCAAAGCAGTTCATGTTGGCCACATAGAAATCCTGCAAATAAAGGTGATAATAATCCGAGGACATCCGAGTCGGTGAGCCGAGATGCTGTGTATACGTAAGCAGGTCTGATCTTGAAATTTTCAAACTCTCTCCTCGATCGCGTTAAAGTTCAAGTTGTTCTGATCACCACACTCACACTTGGATTTCTTGTATTTTGTCATACAACTAAATGGTGACTTTATCGCGGTTTGATAAATACAAGGAGCTCTTCACTTGTGACTTATTACATTCAGGACAAGGTCGCGGCTTGTTCGGGCCTTTTCCTTGAATCTGATGCTATCAGTCTCAGAGCGTCACTCTTTCTTGATCCTTTTTTGATCTTCGTGCATGTTGTACCCTAATGGAAGCAGCGTTTATGTATGTGGAGCTCGGTTCTTGTGAAATATGGATCCTTGCTGCATTTCTTACTCGCTTCTTACGACATGGAATTCTAGGCAACCGTTCTAGCCCCACAGCAATTGAATGAATCAGAAGGTACCTGATTGCCTCGTGTTCAAGCTCTCTTATCTTTGAGTTATCGAACTTCGATTTGTAGGCGTCGTATCCACTGGATTCGCGTAAAATGCTGTGCGATTGTTGTATCAAGCTCCATCGAACTCTATCGATGGTGGTCGAAAGTCGCCTTTCTTTCCCAACGCTTCTCCAAGTCGACGAACACGAGGCTTCCAATCCTGGGATCACGCGAGTTGGTGCGTGTTCTAGCGGATCATCCCTGGATATATTCGAATGAATCAGTGGCTGTTTGGTTCTTCAAGCGCCAGAGTCGCACATAAAAGGCCGCGTCGTGGCCGCGATCTCCGACCATTTTTAAATCCACTCTCGCCCACAACTTATCTGCACCATGGCAAATCGATCCAATAATGGCGTATCGCCGGTACACCACCATTCGGAATACTATCTGAAAGATGGTAATATCACTTTTCTAGTACGCCACACCTGATCTATGTCTCTGTCGTGCTGATCATCACATGGGAGCAGGTTGCAGACACACTATTCCGTGTACATAGACACTTCTTCGAAGTCGAATCGCAATTTTTCGTCAAGGAATTTGAAAGGGCTCCCAAGGAGGGAACTTCCGATTCCAGCGCGTTTCGACTTGAGAAAGTAACCGTCGACGATTTCGCAAAGTTCTTATGGGTCTGGTATAGTCCGTAAGCATTGATCTAAATCATCATATCCCGCACGCATCGTCATTAATCACTGCACACAGCTCGTACAGACGCGAACCCAAACCAAAAGATCACTGGCTCACCATCCTGGAGCTCTCGACAGTATGGCAATTCCCAGAGATGAAAAAGCTTGCTGTCGACGAGCTCCAGAAGTTGGACATTGAACCCATCGAGAAGATCACTACCTACGACAGATATCAGATCGACAAATCGCTTCTCTTGCCCGCATATAAGCTCCTGTGCAAGCGGGTGGGCCGAATGTCCATCGTGGAGGGTGAGCAGCTCAAACTGCACACTGTCCTCGGGATACAAGAGGCTCGCGAGCGTGCAATCAGGAGCGCAGCGGAGGGCGGGTGTCGTAGTCCGACCTCCGCTGATGCAGATGACGAGGAGTTGGAAAGGATATTGATCGATGTATTCAGTCTCAAAGGTCATAACGCTAACCGACAAGGCACGCAGCCGTCAACAAAACCAGAGGAAGTGCCATTCATAAACACTCCGAAACCGCATGGGAATGGAACCCCCAATGGTAACAAGACGTCTACATCAGGTTCGGTAAGTAACATTCTTCGGCTTGGTTGACTGTGCTGTGTGGCTGATTGAAGATAATCTTAGAATGACAATAAACAGAAAGACAACAAAAATGCAGGATCGGTATGTAATCCGACTCGCTAAATGCAATCCACTGATGCCGGAAAAATGTAGGGAAGAAAAAACTGAGAAATGAACCGACGAATGACGAAGGTTGTTGCTCGACTGTCCGCTCGACAAAATTCGTGACGGAGCAGAGAATGGAGCGTGTACTTGTTTATCTCATCATTCCAGCATTCATTGAGTCAGTTACCGCAGCACTAGCCATGTACTTTGTATGATACCATAGTCTTCATATTCTTGTTCAGTTATATATTCTGCAATATGCTATCGAAGCGCCAGACTGAAGAGAAGTGTTGCTGTCGGCGTGAGTTGAATAACTCCCTGATGTAGAGCAGCATAGGACGTGAAAAGGTTAACAAGGCGGTCAAATAGAAATCGCAAGTGCGGATTAGGGAGATATTCACAGGACATCCGTATCGCGAACTGTGTAGTGATCTGTATAAGTATCAAGTATAAATAAATTCAGAGACACGTCGATCCAGCACGAACATTCAATACATAAGGGTGAAAGCAGGTTAAAAGGCGATCAATGATTCAAGTGCGTTAAATATACATAGTCCCAAGAAGGCACAGCACTGGATGTGAAAACACAAACCTACGAAGACTCAGCGGGATAACCGGCTATAAAGGCTACAACCCAACTCAAGTTGTTCGTTTCGATTGTCTTAGATTCCTATCTACCTCAGTTTATACTCAGACGTCTATTGTTACCTATCCACCTCTTTATTGTCAATTTTCACTAGGAATAGTCACCAGTGTCGCCAACACTGGTCCTTGTCTCCGAGCAAGTACGTGGTCATCAGGGTACGCCATGGTAACTTGACATAGTCGTGATCGTCTAAAACTTTAGAGGGAGCTGTGAATATTGGGCCACAGCACACACAGGTATCTTTAACAAATCGAATACCAAGAATGAGAATTGAGCATCAAATTCCAAAAGATACCTTGTTATATCTGAGCAGCAGTTGCAGGGTTACTGGACGATTGGCAGAGCCGAGTTGCAGGTACTATTTTGACGAGTGAGTGAGAGAAAAACGAGTACATATCGGGAGTATCGATGGAATTCATGAAAATGAAAGTCAACTTCTCCATTTCGTCGTTGTGCATGGTCACTGCAGGTTCAAATGATGAAGCGATGAGCGAGCCAGACATTGGGTTATGATACAGTGTGGCATGGGAGCCCGCTCATGCCCGAAATTTCTGCAATCTGACAGCAATAAAAATCAAAACGATAAGAATCATTCCCATTAGTATATGAATGATACTTATGATATAAAAGCTGGCCGTTGTCCTATAACATTTCCCCATCCGCAGAGATAGCCCCCTCAGAAGATTCCATATCACCTCGCACAGAAAATGCGTTTCTCCCTCGTCGGCGTCGTCGTCGCTTTGACAGCACCTATGTTTGTCAGTGCATGTAAAGGCGCTGTAGAATCTTGCGAATCACAAAGTGATTGCTGCAGTAACTGGAAGTGTGTCTATGATCCCGTGAGTATGAGCAGGTCGCTGTGCGACCAGGATTCGACGACATGACTCACCTGCGCGCCTTAGGGTGAGGGATTCATCTGCCTGTAGTAGTCGGTTGAAAATTCAGCCAGCAGCATGAGTGGCACGTCACGACAGTGAGTCATGTTTCTGCTTTCACCTTGTTATCATGTTTGATGATCCAGTACCTAGTTCGGAGCCAATCAATGCAGCTGCTTTAGACAAATTTTCGTACTGCTCGAGCAGCGATGTGAATGTTTGAGATTGATTTGAAAATGATCGACTGTTGCTCGTGGTCCACTAAGCTCGAGTCTGAGAAGCTGTCGGAACGAGCGACCATTGCTGTTGGCGTTACGATGAATGTGAAAAAAGGTGGCGACAAAGTTAAAGGGGATAATATCACTGCCTGCGCGGTAATGGATGTCAAAGGGTAAGCGTGGGAGCTCGAGAGTGGTTCTCTTCATCGAGTAAGTGTTGAATTGGGTACAAGGGATGGTTCATGAGGAAGATAAGCTTGGAAGAGCGTTGGTTGGTAGTCACTAGTAATTTCGTCCACGAAGTATAGGGTCATGTGATGAAAAGGACGGTCCGGTTGTTTCCGATCCTTCGCACCCAACTTCAAGTAGTACGTGGTCCGGTTCGGTCCAGTTCAGAGGGTGTGTGCATAATTCTTGCTTTCTGAGTGCCCTGAGTGTCTGTACATACATAAACACTGAAAAAAATTGCAGTTCAACAGATATTGGGTATTTACTGGGTGGTCTGTGAGCGGCATCTGTACAGATTCACGAGCTGCTGAGATGAACTAAACCAACTTATGCACTATACAGCTTTGATACAGCTCTACACAAAGCATTGTAGTTTGCTTATCTTCGTTATCTCTGCACAGTAGTTGCAGGGTCACTGACCTACAATTGGCACAGACAAATTGCAAGTACTATATATCAGGGAGCAAGTGAGAGAAAAACAACGAGTACATATTGGAACTTCTTATCGACGAGATCAACTTCTCGATTTCGTCGCTGTACAGGGTCATTGCAGGTTCAAATGATGAAGCGATGAATGAGTGAGATATGCCATCGGGTTATGATACAATGTGGCATGGTCGTGATCGATAGAGCCCGCCCCTACAGGTTCTGCCGAAAGTTCTGCAATCTGACAGCAATAACAATTCTACCAAAGCAATTAGAATCGCGCACATTAGTATATAAATGATATAAAAGCTGGCCGTTGTCCTATAATATCCCCTCATCCTCAGAGATATCCTGTAAGGACCGCATAACCTCGCACAGAAAATGCGTCTCAGCTCCCTCATTGTTGTTGCTTTGACAGCACCTATGTTCGTCAGTGCATGCAGCTTTCAACCTTGCGGATCAAGCAAGGATTGCTGCGGTGGCTTGACGTGCCACTATGTTTCTGTGAGTATGAGCAGGTCGTTGTGTGACCAGGATTCAACGACGTGACTCACCTGCGCGCCTTAGGATAAAGGTTTCCTCTGTATATAGTAGCCAGTTGAAAATTCAGCCGGCAGCCCGAGTGGCACGTCGCAACAGTGAGTCATGTTTCTGCTTTCACCTTGCTATCGTGGTTGATGGTGCAATACCTAGTTCGCAGCCAATCGATACAGTTGCTTTGGACAAATTTTCGTACCGCTCGAGAAATGTAGATATTTGAATTTATCTGAAAATGATCGACCGTGCCTATTTTTGCTCGTGGTCCACTAAGCTCAGGTCTGAGAAGAAACGACCATTGTTGTTGGCGTTATGATGAGGAAAAAAGGTGGCGACAAAGTTAAAGTTACTGCCTGCGCGGCAATTGCCCCTTATGCACTATACAGCTCTATACAAAGCATCGTAGTTTGTTGATGTTCGTTATCTCTGCACAGCAGTTGCAGGGTCACTGACCTACAATTAGCACAGACAAATTGCAAGTACTATATATCAGGGAGCCAGTGAGAGAAAAATAACGAGTACATACAGGTACATACTGGAACTTAGTATCGACGAGATCAACTTCTCGATTTCGTCGCTGTACAGGGTCACTGCAGGTTCAAATGATGAAACGATGAGTAAGTGAGATATGCCATCGGGATACAATGCGGCATGGTCGTAATCAATAGAGCCCGCTCCTACAGGTTCTGCCGAAATTTTTACAATCTGACAGCAATAACAATTCTACCAAAATAATCAGAATCGCGCACAATAGTATATGGATGGTATAAAAGCTGGCCGTTGTCCTATAACATTCCCTCATCCTCAGAGATATCCTGCAAGAACCGCATAACCTCACATAGAAAATGCGTCTCTCCCTCATTGTTGTTGCTTTGACAGCACCTATGTTCGTCAGTGCATGCAGCTTTGAACCTTGCAAATCAGACGGTGATTGCTGCGGTGGCTTGAAGTGCCACTATGCTTCTGTGAGTATGAGCAGGTTGCTGTGCGACCAGGATTCAATGACATGACTCACCTGCGCGCCTTAGGGTCAAGGTTTCATCTGCTTATAGTAGCCAGCTGAAAATTCAGCCGGCAGCCCGAGTGGCATGTCGTAACAGTGGGTCATGTTTCTGCTTTCACCTTGCTATCGTAGTTGATGGTGCTGGTTCGCAGCCAATCGATACAGTTGCTTTGGACAAATTTTCGTACCGCTCGAGAAATGTAGATGTTTGAAATGATCGACCGTGCCGATCTTTGCTGGTGGTCCACTAAGCTCAAGTCTGAGAAGAAACGACCATTGTTGTTAGCGTTATGACGAGGAAAAAAGGTGGCGACAAAGTTAAAGTTACTGCCTGCGCGGTAATTGCCCCCAAAGGGTAAGCATGGGAGCTCGAGAGTGGTTCTCTTCATCGAGCGAGTGTTGGACGGGATACAAAAGACGGTTGACGACGAAGAGGAGCTTGGAAGAGCGTCGGCCGATAGTCACTAATTCCGTCAACACAGTTCCTTGTCTTTAAGGAAGTATAGGGTCATCGGAGTATGCCATGGAATGATTTGATATCGTCGTGATTATCTAAAACTTAGGGGGAGCGGTGATGACTGTGACCATGACTACTGTATCAGGGATCTTCGACCAAGCTCATGCCAAGAATGAGGAGTATCAATTTCCGAAAGACACTCTGCGCAGCAGTTGCGGGGTCAGCTGGCCTACTGATAGCATAGGCAAATTGCAGGTACTGTATACAAGGGAGCAATGAGTGAGTGAGGGGAAATTGATGTGAGATATCGACCGAGTACAAACCAGAAGTATCGAAGAGAATGAAAATCAACTTCTCAACTTTGTTACTGTGCTCGCAGGGTCACTGCGGGTTCAAATAATGAAGCTATGAGCGAGAGATTTGGATGAGAAGACCGGTGATTCGAGCGAGCATTCCGCGGTTGCGATTCGCGGAGATGCTTTAATATTCAAGGGTCGTAATCAATTGAATAGGTTTTTGCAGTTTCTGCCATGTGGCAGCAAGAACAATTCTGCCAAATCGACCAGAATCGTGCTCATAAGCATATGCAGGATGTAAAAGCTGGTCTTCATCCTACAGTGTTCTCCCATCTTCAGAGATATCAGACAATTTTTGGGGGGTTCAAACTTGAACCGAACGCCAAAAAAATCCAGCGAAGCGAAATACATGATAAAGTCAGCATTGAAGGGTTGGACAACGAGGCGAGTTATCGACGATACCAGAATTGTCATTAAAAACACTAAACGATCATCCATTTAGGCCGAACTAATTTTGAATGCTGTGTTCCCTGCAAATATGATCGAATTGTGGGAAAGCTTCGAGAGTTTGCTGGCTTTGTTTCATCGAAAGAACGCTAGTAAAGTTCATTGGTATATTGTCGATAGCTTCTAGTACAGACAATCTGCAACAAGAAGGGGCAAGTATGAACGAAAACGAGCAGGTGCAAATGAGTACCGACTGATGCAAACAAGCAGTGACAAGTACTGGCAAATTTGATCGTAGTTGGGTTTTCAAGTTGTGGTCACAGTGCTGTGTAAGCAAGTCTTTCGGGTGTTGCCGGTGGTACTGTACCGTTTTCAATATCAAATTTCTCTCGCGTTCCGTCGCTCAGCGACTTCAATCATATTTTCACGCCTGCTCAGAGCTCCTTGAGTGTACCACAGACCAGTATAGAAACTACTGGTGATTTGGTAGACACAAGAGCTCTTCATTTGAATGATAAGCCCTAACTACGGCTTCCGAAATTAAACCTCTCATGTAATGCCCTTGATGGTCTCACAGAACGCCAGGGATGCAGATTCTCTTTGCTGGTTGGTCTCTCCATACGCTATGCCTGCACTGCCTACGGGTGGCAGCGAGTATTGTTCCAGAAGGTTGAACAGGACGCATATGTACTCGTTGCCCATCTCTGTCGCCTTTTACGACATTCATATTGGAAAAACTAACTATTAGTGTGTCTCTTCGAGGCAATAGTTCTAGCTCTCCGCAGTAATTGAATTGGATTAGAACGCACATGACCGCCTCGTGTTCAGGCTGTCTTATCTTTGATTTATCAGACTTCGATTTGTGGGTGTCATATGCACTGGATCCACTTGAAATGCTGTGCTATCGTAGTATCGGTCTTCATTGGGCCCATCGATGGTCCTGACCACGGAACGGGTCACAATTCGCCTTTCCTTCCCAAGTCACTTGCCCAAACAACACACACGAGGCTTCTAAATCCTAGGAATACGGCAGTTCCAACGGATCGTCCCGGTACATCTTCAAGCGAGTCACAGTGTTGTTTTGACTCTTCAAGCGCTCGAATCCCACATAAAACGGTCGTATCATTCCCGCGAACTTCGATAACATCATAGCACACAACTATCATCTCCCTTATATCAACCATGGCACACAGTTTTCAGAACGGCGTGTCCCGAATGAACTGTCATCCTGAATACTATCTTAGAGATGGTAATATCACCTTCCATGTACGCCACAACTTTTGTGCGTCTCCCTCGCGCTGATCGCCATGTGCGAGCAGGTTGAAGGCACTCTATTTCGTGTCCACCGATACTTCTTCGAGCGCGAGTCGCTATTCTTCTTGCAGGAATTCGCAAGGGCTCCTCAGGGGGGAACTACTGATACCAGCGCGTTTCGACTCGATGAAGTAACCGCCACCGACTTTACGAAATTCTTATGGGTCTGGTATAGTCCGTAAGCATCCATTTAAATCATCATATCTCACAGGCATCGTCATTGATCCCCGTCACAGCTCGTACAGACGCGGAAGCCTGAGTGAACCAAAAGAGCATTGGCTCACCATACTGGAGCTCTCGACAAAGTGGCAATTCCTAGATATGAAGAAGCTTGCCATCGATGAGCTCGAGAAGCTCGATATAGAACCCATTGAGAAAATCACCACTTACGACAAACACAAGATCGACAAATTGCTTCTGTTGCCTGCATACAAGCTCCTGTGCAAGCGGACGACCCGAATAACCGATGAGGAGGGTGAGCAACTTAAGATACCCACCCTCCTCAGGATATTCGAGGCTCGTGAGCGTGCGGGGAGCGCAGCGGAGGGCAGGCGCACAGGCCCGACCTCCGCTGATGCAGACGACGAGGAGTTGGAAAAGATTTTGATTGATGTGTTTGAACTCAACAGTCGTGCCACTAATCAACAGGGTGCGCAGTCGCAGGCAAGATCAGACGCAACTTCGACGCCGAATGTGAATGGAGCCGCCAATGGCCATAGGCCATCTGGATCAGGTTCCGTAAGTGAAAAAAAAATTGCTCGAGACCGTATGCCATAGGGCTGATTGACAAATAGTCTACCCACTGACCCAGAATGGTAATAAGCAGCAGAAAGATGCGGACAAAAGTAAAGTATGTTATGCGACTTACTATATGTATTTCACTGACGCTCAAGGCATATAGGCAAGGCAACCATGAGGAGCCGACGGGAGGTGAAGATTCCTCCACTGGGCTCTTGGCTTTTGTTGTAGAGAGGAAAGTGGAGCACGTTCTGCTCAATTTGTACCTTCCAATGTTCATCCAATCAGTCATGACAGCAGTATTCGCATATATTGTTATCTCTGTATAGTATCAGGTGTCTTGATGCACAGCCTATGTAGTTTGCAATGATACGCTGTTGAATAAACTTTCACGCTTGAAGCTCCAACAGCCAGTGAGAATTTAAAGTCCAGTCGAGCACCGTTTCACCTGGACATAAGTCGATCTAAACCGTACCCTCGCTGCCAGCACCTGTACTTACTCCAAGCGTCTTCCAGCTGCAACATTTCCTGTACCTTGATTTCTCTGCACCCGCCACACTGTTTCCTGGCTAGTAGTCGAACTGAACCATAGCCCGGTTCAAAAAATAGTCGAACCCAAAACCAGATCCTCGCGAACGGTTCAGAACGGTCAGGTTCGGTTTTTTGAGGGGTTCAAATTTGAACCGAACGCCAAAAAAATCCAGCGAAGCGAAACACATGATAAAGTCAGCATTGAGAGGCCGGACGACGAGGTGAGTTATCGACGATACCAGAATTGTAATTGTTAAAAAAACACTAAACGATCATGCATTTAAACCGAAATAATTTAGAATGTTGTATTCCCTGCAAATATGATCGAATTGTGCGGAAGCTTCGAGAGTTTGCTGGCTTTGTTTCATCGAAAAAACGCTAGTAAAAGTCCATGGGTATATTGTCGATAGTTTCTAATGCAGACAATCTGCAACAAGTAGGGGCAAGTATGAACGAAAAAACGAGCAGGTGCAAATAAGTACGGATAAGTGGCGGCAGATACAAATGAGCAGGGACAAATGAATATAATGGTACGCAAGTCTTTCGGGCGTTGCCGGTGGTACTGTACCGTTTTCAATATCAAATTTCTCTCGCTCAGCGACTTTAGTCATATTTTCACGCCTGCTCAGAGCTCCTTGAGTGTACCAGAGTCCCATGTAAAAGTTACTGGCGATGTGGTAGCCACAAGGAGCTCTTCATTTGAATGATAAGCGCTAACTACGTCTTCAGAAGTTAAACCTCTCATGCAATGCCCTTGATGGTCTTAGCTTTAGAGCGCCAGGGATGCAGATTCTCTTTGTTGGTTTGTCTCTCCATACGCTATGCTTGCACTACCTACGGGCGGCAGCCAATACTGTTCCAGAAGATTGAACAGGACACATATGCACCGCTGCCGCATCGCTGACTCGCCTCTTACGATATTCATATTGGAAAAACGATCAGCATGTTCATTCAGGGCAATAGTTCTAGCTTTCCGCAGCAATTGAATCAGATGAGGACTCACATGAACGCCTCGTTTTCAATTTGTCTTATCTTTGATTTATCAGACTTCGATTTGTGGGTGTCATATGCATTGAAATGCTGTGCTATCGTAGTATCAGGCTTCATTAGGCCCATCGATGGTCCTGGCCACGGAACGGGTCACAATTCGCCTTTCCTTCCCAAGTGCACTTGCCCAAAACAACGAACATGAGGCTTCTAAATCCTAGGAATACGGCAGTTCCAGCGGATCGTCCCGGTACATCTTCAAGCGAGTCACAGTGTTGTTTTGACTCTTCAAGCGCTCGAGTCCCACATAAAACGGTCGTATCATTCCCGCGAACTTCGATAACATCCTAGCACACAACCATCATCTGCACTCATATCAACCATGGCACACGGTTCTCAGAACGGCGTGTCCCGAATGAACTGTCATCCTGAATACTATCTTAAAGATGGTAATATCACCTTCCACGTACGCCACAACTTTTGTGTGTCTCACTCGCGCTGATCGCCATATGCGAGCAGGTTGAAGGCACTCTATTTCGTGTCCACCGACACTTCTTTGAGCGCGAATCGCAATTTTTCATTCAGGAATTTGCAAAAACACCCCAGGGGGGAACTTCCGATACCAGCGCGTTTCGACTCGATGAAGTAACCGCCGCCGACTTTACGAAATTCTTATGGGTCTGGTATAGTCCGTAAGCATCCATTTAAATCATCATATCTCACAGGCATCGTCATCGATCCCCGTCACAGCTTGTACAGACGCGGAAGCCTGACTGAACCAAAAGAGCATTGGCTCACCATACTGGAGCTCTCGACAAAGTGGCAATTCCTAGATATGCAGAAGCTTGCCATCGATGAGCTCGAGAAGCTCAATATAGAACCCATTGAGAAAATCACCACGTACGACAAACACAAGATCGACAAATTGCTTCTGTTGCCTGCATACAAACTCCTGTGCAAGCGGACGACCCGAATAACCGATGAGGAGGGTGAGAAACTCAAAGTACCCACCCTCCTCAGGATATTCGAGGCCCGTGACCGTGCGAGGAGCGCAGCGGAGGGCAGGCACCTGTCCTCCGCTGATGCAGACAAGGAGTTGGAGAGGATTTTGATTGAAGTGTTCGCACTCAACAGTCATGCTACTAATCAACAGGGTGCGCAGTCGCAGACAAAATCAGACCCAGACCCGAATTCGAAACCGAATCCGAATGGGAATGGAGCTGCCAATGGCCATAAGCCGTCTGGATCAGGTTCCGTAAGTGAAAATCCTTTGCTCGAGACCGTATGTCGTGGGGCTGATTGACAGATAGTCTACCCAGAATGATAAGCAGCAGCAGAAAGATGCGGACAAAACCAAAGGCACGGTATGTTATTCAGTTTACTAAACGTACTTCACTGACGCTTAAGGCATGAAGGCAAAGCCGAGATGAGCGAGAAGCGGACGGAAGGCGGAGATCGCTCCACTGCGTTCTCGATTCTTGCTATAGATAGGAAAGTGGAGCGCGTTCTGCTCAGTTTGTATCTTCCAACATTCATCCAATCTGTCATAACAGCAATATTCGCGTAAATTGTTATCTTTGTATGATATCAGTGTCTTGATTAGCCTATGTAGTTTGAAATTATACACTGTCCAACGCTTAAAGCTTGAAGCTCCAACTCCGTTTCACCTGGACATGAATCGATCTAAAGCGTACCCTCGCTGCCAGCACCTGTAGACTACACCCGCCAGACTGTTCCCTAGTTAGTAGTCAAATCCGCGTCCAATCGAGTGGGCACTAATTTTACCTGCAGGAACCACTACACAGATGCAACAAGCATCTCCGTCGAATTCAGACTCACCTTTTGCAGGCTCTGGGGAGACGTGAAAACCAACTGCAGCCGTAAAAAGCTTGGCGAGAGGCATCATGGTTTTTAAGAAGTGCTCGCCAGTATGCTATATATAGGGGAACGCGCAGCGCGTCCCTCACGTATATTCAGATTTCAGCATAAATTTAGTTCGCAGGCGTTAATCGAGCGCAAATTGGAAGAAAGAAGTTGACCTAGATATAAAGTTCGAGTGAGAGGTTTAGGGTTTATGACGGCGAGTCAGACTCACGATCCATATCCAAGTCGATATCGTCTCGGCTCTATCGCGACTTTGACTTGGTAGCTTTAAGCTGTGTCTGATGAGATCCTCGAGCTCTTGAGGCCTTGATATGACCCTGCTCGGCAGTAGCGATATCATAATGGTGCGATCACGACCCGTCTGATGCTTACGATCCTGTAAAAATAGTATAAGGGCTCACGACAAGCGATGTGAATAAAGAGTCGTAGAGCCTCAGGCCTCATGCTGGGCAGGGGCCGGTGGACCTCTAGCAAGGCCCTGAATCAAGGTGTGTTGATCCGGGTATGCTCCGGCTCATATCAATACGCCATCGGATGTAGTACTGAGGTCGGACGGGATTCAAACATTAAACTTGTTTCAATAATCGGGACTAACCATATCGCACCTGGCACCATGAGCACGTGGAAACGAGCAAGAAGCCTCTTTATCGAAACCACAAGTCGATCTTCATCGATGGAGTAGAGAGAGATGAAGACGAAAACTAGGAAGAAATAAAATGAGGCCCGGAAAGAACATCTTTCGAATCAGAGTGCATACCAATATTGTATGTGACATATATGGCGGAACTCTATCCAAGTAGCGTGTCTTCATCAACACTGTCGGATCCTGATCATGTCAACGGCAAGTCAGTGTGTTTCTACTTCCATCTCATCAAAATGATAGCTGAACGGAGGCCGTACTTTCTGTCTCAATTCGATTTCGGTGCATGGATTCCCGCGGTCACAGCGATCGCGATCAGAGGAACAGTTCAAGTCTAAACTTTCACCAACTCGCAGGTGGAGCAGGGCGTCCCATCAGACCTAGGCAGGTCCGGGCGCAGTAGCAGGTGTCCTAGCGCGGTGGCAGGAGTCTTGGCTCGTAGTCGGTAGTCCTGCGTGTGTGATAGCTGTCCTCGATAGATAGAGCCGTAGCCTCCCGCTATAGAGGTTTGGCCTTGGGTTCCCTTGCAGTCCTTCCCGTTACACAGGTAAGTTCAGAAGTAAGTCTCATGCTCGAATCCTTCGATCAGTAGTAACTAGTATTAATGTGTGCCTTTACAGGATGGGACCATTACATGAAAACCTACATTACCAATATTTATAGTCCTCGTCCGAATCATCGTCGACGTCCTCCTCACAGCGATACACTTTCTCGAACAAAGGCTGCCGAAAACTTTGATCAGAAGAGGACGTTGATGAACCTGGATGGGCATCAGTAGTGACAGAAAACACGTGATCGATCTGTACGCACTGTTGTCAGAGAAATTGAATTCATGGGTATTGTCGATGGCGAGGGTATATAGATCTATCTCGGCTTTGGCTCGGCGCATTTTTGCTTGCAAGGTGAACGAATCCCGCTCGCGAGTGCGCATATAACCGCTGTCACGCATGTTCGCAAGAGACTTTGCCACCAGTTCCGCTTGACTGGCCTGTTCTATTTTAAATGCCTTGCAAAAGGCTTCTTTAGCTGTAGTGGTGACCCACGTGCTCAACAGGGGTAATGAAGGGGTGATGTGCTAGAGAGATGGTGAGCGCAGCTAAGCAGGCTGTTACAGTACTCACGTTCAAAATGGCGGATTTTGGTATTTCTTCTTGCACAGTGGTTGATAGATCCTGTCCTGAGGTAGTAGAATCGTCCGAAGGTGAGATACGTTCAATGAAGGGTTCTGCAGCTGGGATGAGGTGGGCTTCGCTCCTAGTTATCCAAGCTTCACACATCTCTTGCGTAGCTATCGGACAGGTCAAAGGTGCAACCTCTTTCTTCGACATTGCTGAGGGCATCCTGATGTTATGCGTGGCTGAATCGCCGATATGTGGTAATGCTACAGAGCAAGAAGGTTTGTTTAGACCAAAAATCGACATCCCGAAGTCAAAGAAACTCACGCGTCCGGTATTGCTCGAGGCGTTCGATGGCCTGGCTGTACAGAGACACCTCTATCTGGCACCGCTTCCTCCTCTCTTCTATGAGAATTCGCTCCACAATTGCATGACTTCCGTCATCTCCACCAGTACAAGAACTCTGGTGTAATCGCAATGTTTCTTCTTGCTTCGTTTCTATACTACGCTCCCCAACTAATTCCCAAAGATCGGCAGGATAGACTCGATCTTTGAGTAAAAACGACAAGACGAATAATTCAGTCCGAAGCTATGAGATACAGATCAGGATGTAGAGGTTGAAATTCGCGGGGTATGGACTGACCTTTTGATTTGCTATGAGTCCGATGTAATCATCCAACAGTTCAGTGCCTAGTGAGTTGGAGATTTGAAAGATGCTAATACGAGCAGCTGATGAATCGAATAGGGCGGGTGAAAGATGGGATGGCATGTTGAATGAGTGACGTACTGTGGGGTGGATACGATTATATTCAGGTTGAGCTTGGCGGCGGGCGAGATTGAGGATCCGTTATCTTAAAGTCTAGAATGTTGACAATGACAAGTCTACTATAATCGTTCCTTCTAATGCATGCTTGTGGCGATGAAGTGTCAATAACCATGGTGTCACATGACACAAAATGAACTATAGTGGCCGGATCACAGCTACTAGTTATATTTGTCCCAATGCTTCGTCTTGTCACTTCAGTTTGGGACCGAAATCGATTGAATTCGAACTATTATCGAAAGAAGGAATGATACAAACGGCGAGGTAGACTGGCCTCAAGGCAAGACATGACAGGAACCACAGTGTGATTGAGTAAAACGCCGGAGACAGGGAAGACGTCCATATGGTGAAGTAGTATGGAGAATGCCGCAACGCAAGTTGGCTCGGTGATGTCCGATATAGCAGTGCACGTCTAAAAACTGTGTTGAGTCAGCCTTCCTGGGTCGGAATGCGTATCTATTGAGAGAGGGATATTCTTAAATCCAGCCTGACTGAATTCAACCTAGAACACATATGGGGAATGTAAGTTAAAAGTAACCATCCCGACCGGAACTGAGCCGCATGAAAAGGGCATGGTGAAAATGCTGCGCCACTGCTGCGACTGCTGCGCGGCACCTGCCGCGACCACTGCTGCGATGTTCCTAAACCGTGCGCGTGAGTGCGCATTAACTACACTTACTTACTACTAATCACTGGAACCTCCCAGTACTTGTCCTCCGAACGAGCCATGGACTCGAGGGTGCTCCGATTCCTTATGTGTGTATCCACGCTCCCAGAGTCACGGTCAGGCGATATCACCGAGATTCGCAGTACTCCCGGTCTGCAAGTCAGGTCTCTTAAACAACTATCTTGTTACTAAACGATCTTTCATACTGCATTGTAGTCTGATTCCTCTGCATACAATGTTTTTTTAATGAGCGACTGCGTAGTTGCGGGCATTTGTCTCAAGCCTGATGCGGCCATTGGCACCTTTCTTCACGTTCTCGGTCCTCCATGGAATTTTTTTACCTGTCGCTCCTGAGCGTTGAGGGATAACGGTAGCTATAAATGTGCTGGATTAAGCCCTGTTGTCCTTGTCAGCCTCGCACACAGAAGATTCGAAGACATACTAGTAGACTGACAAATTTGACCATCGCTAGTGCATAATCTTGAGGATCAAACGACACAATTTGCTCAAGCCATCGATAACAGAAATGTAGGATGATTTGGAACTGGATACGAGTTACTACTGACATTCTGGCACTAGTAACTGATCTGTCGCGGGCGTCGCGGTCGTCTTCTTTTTCCATATTTGGGTGGTGCTGCGACATGGTGCCCGCGACGCCCGCGATGCCCGCGACGACTGCGACGCCCGCGACGACTTGGTGCTGCGACACTAGTGTAGTACTTAGTACTTGCTGAAAATGAACTCGAGCTGTGTAACACATGGTCCTTTAAAGCTTCAGTAGTTATGTTGCGCATCATAGTATTGCAGACTCGCGTATTGGAATACATACTTCAGTGGCGGATTTGCGTTTGTGTATCATTTCAGAAACCAGAATGCACAAGTCTGAAATCTGGGACTCGGAAGTTGGAACACACTATAGATCAATCTTCAGTAACACAGTTCAAGATAACAATACCCAAGTGACTTTATATTAATCATGTGAAGCCCTTCAAGGCAGCGATGCAGAGTCCAGAGTATGTGGCAAGCAACAAGCAAGTGTCGTGAATCAATTTGCTACTTAGCGTAATTTGTAAATTTGGAACCGTCGCGGCAGATGCCGCAGCAGTCACAGCAGTGGCGCAGCATTTTCGCCCGCATGAAAATAACCACCTGTGTAAGCAAGTCTTTCGGGCGTTGCCGGTGGCTCAGCGAATTATGAATGACATCGAACAACGTGTCCAGCGGCTCCAGTCAATGATCTACTTCACATCGCGAGTCAATCTGACTAGTCCACACCCGTTCTGCCTTCGGCACAGGAAGCAAAAAAGAGTGCTTCGCACTCTTTTTTTAGCTTCCTGGCCTCAGCTTCATCCCAATAATTCAGAAGGCTCCTGATGAGCATTGTTCCTTCGTCACAGGAAGCCAAGGAGGGCTGCGCCCTCCTTTGGCTTCCTGGCCTCAGGCTGCATCCTAATAAATTGTGTATTTTGAATAAGATCATGCCCTGATAGTGGATTTTGAAAATACATTTATGAGCAGCATTTCAAAAAAACTAAAAGTAGTACATATAATAAGATCAGTCAATTCTACATTTTTTGAGCAGGAGTTTGACAGAAGTAAAATTACAAAAAATATGTAACAGTATCATTAAATGTATTTATTTTCCCATTTTCCCTGCTTCCCGTCTCCCGTCTCCTGTCTCCTGTCTCCTGTCTCCTGTCTCCCGTCCTCTGGTTCTCCCATTTTCCCATTCCCATTTTCCTGTTCTCCCATTCTCCAGTTTTTGAGTCTCTAAGTGGTCTTTTTCTCCCTTTTGTTATTTTTTCATAACCTTCTGTCATTCATCTCCCAATCTCTTTTATTTCATATGTGTTTTCCCATGTATTATATGTTGTTCCATTATTTGCTGTATCACTATCATAACAATTACAGTAGGGAAATCTAATCACATATCTGCCTTGCCCTGCTCAAACACATATTTTTTCATTATTTAATGCCATGTACATATACAGTTACCAAGGTCGTGCTAAGTTCTCAACGGGCGACACCATTTGAGTCGGCGCTCGAGGGCACGTGACAAAACCACGCGAGTTGCCAAATCGAGGTTAAGCGAGCTAAGCGCAAACCACATGGCCTTTGGTGAAATAGGCGAAAGCCACGCGAGCGCCCGAACGTTCCCGCAACCATCGCACTTTACTTCTTAGACTAGTCCACACCCGTTCTGCCTTCGGCACAGGAAGCAAAAAAGAGTGCTTCGCACTCTTTTTTTAGCTTCCTGGCCTCAGCCTCATCCCAATAATTCAGAAGGCTCCTGATGAGCATTGTTCCTTCGTCACAGGAAGCCAAGGAGGGCTGCGCCCTCCTTTGGCTTCCTGGCCTCAGGCTGCATCCTAATAAATTGTACATTTTGAATAATTTTGAAATACATTTATGAGCAGCTTTTCAAAAAAACTCAAAGTACAATCTATCACACCACATAAAAGTACATAGTACATAAGATCAGTCCATTCTATGTTTTTTGAGCAGGATTTTGACAAATGTAAAGATACAATCTACTACACAACATAAAATTACAAAATATGTAACAGTATCATTGAATGTATTTATTTTCCCATTTTTCCCTGCCCCCCATCTCCCATTGTGTCCCATGTCCTCCCATCCTCCCGTCTCCCGTCTCCCGTCTCCCGTCTCCCGTCTCCCGTCTCCCGTCTCCCGTCTCCCGTCTCCCGTCTCCCGTCTCCCGTCTCCCGTCTCCCGTCTCCCGTCTCCCGTCTCCCGTCTCCCGTCTCCCTGTTCTCTTATTCTCTCAATTCTCCCAGCAATTCTCCAATTTTCTTATATCTTTCATCTCCCAATTCTTCCCTTCCCCAGGTTTTGTCCCTCCATTGTCTTTTCCCTTCTTTTTCCCTTTTTATTTGTTTATTTTTGTCACTACCTTTTGTCATTCACCATTTCATTTTGACTATTTACTTTGTGTATATACAGTTGCTACAATACTTGCAGGAAAACACTCAAATTTCATGAATAAATGTGGTGCTGTTCTAATGGGCAAAGGAGATTGAGTCGGCGCTCGAAGGCCACGCGAGAAAACCACGCGAGATTCCCAAAAAGAGGTTTAAGCGAGGTAAGCGAGGCAAGCGACATAAGCGCATCTAAGCGCATCTAAGCGTATCTATGCGAAAGCCACGCGAGCGCGCGAGTGTTCCCGAAAACCGTCGCACTTTACTTCTTAGACTAGTCCACACCCGTTTTGCCTTCGGCACAGGAAGCAATAAAAAGAGCGCTTCGCGCTCTTTTTAAAGCTTCCTGGCCTCAGCTTCATCCTAATAATTCTGAAGGCTCCTGATGAGCATTGTTCCTTCGTCACAGGAAGCCAAAGGAGGGCGCAGCCCTCCTTTGGCTTCCTGGCCTCAGGCTGCATCCTAATAAATTGTGCATTTTGAATAAGATCATGCCTTGATAGTGGATTTCAAAAAGAGGTACATTTATGAGCAGCATTTCAAGAAAACTAAAAGTACATAGTACATAAGATCAGTCAGTTCTATATATATAAGTATGTCAATCATTGATACGATCTGTGAGTCCTCTAAGCACTTCTGTATATACTGCATTGGTTGTATTTGAGCCTTCTTCATGCTCCGGAAAGATAGCAAACACCCTGTCTGGGTGGGTGCAGCGAGATAAAGCCACATAGAGTTGTCCATGGCTGAAGACAGGAGTCCGCAAATTAAGGCCAACCCACTTGACACTTTGACCTTGCGCCTTGTTGATTGTCATAGCGAATGCAAGACGAACAGGAAACTGGCGACGCTTGAGGGGGATTGGGTTCTCTTCAGAACTGGATTCCATAGTGATGCGAGGGATTAGGACTGTGTTCTCATCGACCTGCTGATCTTCATCATCTCCATCCCTAAGAACACGGCACCTAAGGACACGGGTGGTCCAAGACAGGAGGATCATGCGAGTTCCATTATAGAGTCCCTGCAAGGGGTTCAAATTCCGCAAAAGCATCAGAGGAACACCTGCTTTGACCTCCAATTTGTGCAAAGGGAAGCCTGATGGGGCGAGGGTATGAAGGAACTCTGGGGGAATGTAATCGTATTCTCTCTCCGTGACTGAGTCTGCGCTGGTGAAGACTGCTTTTTCTCCAGGGAATGATTCGAGGATAGTGGCATTGATTTCATCCACATCAGTGTTCTTTGCAGAAAGAATGGTGCGATCCAGGAAGTATGAATCATTTAAGGGAGGACGATCAGGGAGCAGAATTTCTGAGTATAGGGCATTGATGAGAGACTGGAGATCATTGTTGCGACACCGCATGCGGGCAGGGAGGGTCACAGTTCCATCTTCATTTGTGCCCCTACCAGCTCCAATCTCAAGAAGCCACCTTGCAAAATCGTCGGAAGCGGGATCTTGACCAAGACGCATATTTCTCTTGAGATGGAATATATGAAGCCTTGACCAAATGCGAGATCTGCAAAAGGTAGCGCCCACTATCTGCTCCCTGGATCCATGAGGCACCACCGGCAGGGTCTGTCTGAAGTCTCCTCCAAAGAGCATGGTTATTCCTCCAAAATCAGCATCAACATTCAGAAGATCACGTAATGTGCGGTCAAGGCATTCCAGGATGTGGCGGTGTAACATCGGAATTTCATCACAAATGATTAGGGAGGTGGCCTTGAGAAGCTCATGAAGAATGTCTCCTTTATTTATGTTGCAAGAGCTGTCTTCATGAATGGGAATAGGGATTTTGAATCGCGAATGAGCTGTACGTCCACCTGGCAGGAGGAGAGAAGCGATTCCAGAGGAAGCCACACATAGGACGATCTTGCCTTCAGCACAGAGTTTTGAAGCGATGAGCTTGCAGAGATATGTTTTGCCACATCCACCTGCACTGTGGACAAAGTATGAATGTCCTGGTCTGCGCTCATCCCGATGCATTGCATCATCGACCACTGCATCAAAGACCGCCCTCTGCTCTTCATTGAGAGAAGGAACTCCTCTATCCACCACCTGCTGAAGCTCTTCTTGATTGTACTGGAGCTGCTCAGCAATCAACTGGTTACCCTCCATGGCCCCCCATCTTGCTGCCATTTGAGAGACAGGCATGTGGGGAATGGCATCCAAAGACTTTCCATTTTTGCGAAGCACTCCATCGATGAGATAGAGACCATAGTCATAGACCTCCTCCTCAGTAGCATCTGGCATGTTGAATGGCATGCGAGCAAGACGACGGCGCAGATCATCGCAGAGATTGTCCTTGAAGCGGTTCCAAAGGTCGTCAGGGCTTGTAGGGTTGCAGAAGAGGAGGATGATGGCAAATAGATTTCGTGTATGGTATCCAGTGCACATATGAGAGGCATCCCGCAAGCACTGAATCCATTCATTATCATCATCTAGCAGACCCCTGAGCTGACACGCGTCCTTGAAAGTCTCACAGACAACATCATCGACAGTCCGCAGGTGTTCATAGGAGGTAGCGCCTTTGAAAAAACACATTAAGTTTGATTCATACAAATCATCGCAGAAATCATACCTTTCACTACGGTCAAAAGCAATCTCAGATAAAATCTCTCTCCAGAGCTGGGGGCAGCAGAATACATCCTTCCAATTGCAACTCCACGCTGACGTATCTTCCAAGCAACTTTTTGCCACACAAACTTTGAGGGGAAATCCTGGTAGAGGAGATCACGGGCTCCAGCTGCCACCATGTTTTCATCAGCATTGGCTTTGAACCATCCAGTGAGGTGAGTCTCCTTTGCTGCTGCACGCTCGACAACTTCCTCGGGATTATCGTCAGGATCATAGACAACCATGTGTTCACCTGGGAGGTGGACTGGCAAGCGGTAGACAGCAGGCCATTCAAGGTGCATATCATTTTCCATGATGCGCCATGCAGCCTCAATCGAGCTAATATACCTGGAGTCAAGATATGATTTGACCTCATCCACCGGTCCTTCCATCTCCAAAGTCGCACGGTCATGTCCTTTGTAGATATACTTGTGAATGTACTTGACAGATTTGATCGAAGCACAGACTTCCAAATTAATATGGCAGTTGAATTGAACCAGCAGTTCTGGAGGGTGAGGAACAACATCTTTATTGGTGAAGACATCGTTATTCTTTTGGATCGTGTGCGCATTGTCTGGTCTTGCATAATCTGGGTAGCCATCATCCTTCAAAGATGTCTGATCACAGAAAGACTTTGGAAAGTGCTTTTTGCACTGTCCATTCTCCAAGCAACGCTCTGGACTGCATGGGCCATGGAGCATGTATTTTGATACAGCTTCGTAGAGTTGCGGGTGCACATTTCTATCCGGTATCTGAGCGGAGATGAAGGAGTCTATTTGCTCCACAGTCCTTATCTTATGGTCTGAGTCGAGGAAGATAAGCAGATGCATGTGAGGGAGACCACGCTTCTGATATTCGATGGTGTACACCAATCCTGCAACTTTTCCGTAGTAGCCCTTGCGAACCTTCTTCAAGAGGGCTTGTTGCTTTTGGTAGAAGACGCGAGCCACCAAGTCTGGATGATCCACAGTGCTCTGACCTACATAAGCAATATTAGCAACAATATCATAAATCAATTATTAAAATTTACCTGGAAGGAGGTTTTCAGTGATCTCAGGCCAACTCCCATTTGCAGTCATTGTTAGGAAGAGGTCGGGCTTCTTGCAGGCACGGCAAATGGCCAAGGAATCCTGAAGCAACTGGTGCATATAGCGGGGGCTTCCAGTATGCGATGATGGAAGAATGATTGCACGACCTGTCTGAGCCAGATCATCTGTGCCATCATTGAGGATGTTATCTGCCAGGCCTCGGTAGCAGTCTGCCCTAAGCTTTTTTTGGTTCTTGGTGATCCAATTCAGATTGCTCTGTTCGATGGAAGCCCAAGCATCAACAATATACTGCTGGAACAGCCTTCCACCACGAAATATGTTGTTGTTATCGATACGATTGGGGCGGGGGTGAAGACGGAAGGCATAGTATAACAGCTGGGTCACTTCTTTTGAACGTGTACGTCCACCTTGAGGGATGTTGAGAGGTATTCCCAGGTGCCAGCCCTCCTCGCCAGAAGGAAAGAGAAGGACATAGTGAAGGGTCGAGTATGCATGGCTGAGCTGACTGATGTGTCGCAGCTGACCACCTTGAAGTCGCAAGACAATATCTCGTTTGTCAGATACCTCCTCAGATCCATCTCCAGGAATGATCACAGCAATTTCATCAGCAGTGGGAAGATTATATCTTCGACCATCTGTGCCCTGCTGAAAGTGAATGCGTGCACGAACTTCTGTGTGCTGCTCTGGAGGCTTCTCGCTCATAACTTGATAGGCCTGCTTATAAAGAGCCGCATATGGATGACTCCGATAGATCATATCATGGAGCTCTCTGAGAATACGACGATCAAGGCCTTCATTTCCTGGTCGGTTGGCGCGGATGTTGGTGGCGCGTTCAGGATCATAAATGTAGATCTGAGCGTATGAAGGCCGAATACCTTCAGGGGGAATCAGGCTGCCCATAAGGTGGTGAAGAGATCCATGGATACGAAAAGCATTTGGGCCAGAGCCTTGAAGGGCCCTATCCTCGATGGTGACGCCTACGGATGTGAATGCAAGAGCACTGTTGTACTGGCGAATCTTGGAGACAAATGCTCTGTCTCCATATGTCTGTTGCAGCTCGAGTGGCCATGCTGGAAAGGGAGGAAGGTCGACTTTTCCCTCCAAGCAGCATGTACCAAACCGTGGATTTCGTGCAGATGATTTGGTGAGTCTTTCACATGCAAAATGCATGGCATGGCAGTTGGGGCACTCCACATTAAGAGGACCAAGAGTGTGATGATCAATGGGCTCTGTGTATGGTCGAGCTCCATCTGGGATAGGAACATTTTGGACAGGTGCCTGGTTAATATTTTCATCATCCTCTGCATCGCGCTGCTGGCGACGTTCTTGCTCTTGAGTTCTTCTTCTTTCCGCGTCATCTTCATGCTGCTGCTGAGAAGCAGGATTGTCATATTCACGCAATGCCTCTTCAAGACGCTCCTGTTGCTCACGATCTCTCTGCTCCTGGCGGTGTTGGCGCTCTTCTGCCTGTTGACCTGCTCGCTGATTATCCAAATCTTGTCTATTGGCATGCTCAGCTTCCTGTTGTTGCAATTGCTGCTGAATCTGCTGTTGCTCAGCTTCCTGCCTCTGTAATTGCTGCTGTAAATGTAGCTGAATCTGCTGTCGATGAAATTCCTCCTGCACTTGTCTTTGAAGCAAGTCATTTCTAATGCGCTCATTTTCCATTTGCTCTGCCTGCCAAAGTTGTTGAAATTGAGCATTAAACTGATGATAATCAGGTTGAGGTGGTCCATGTAAAGGTTGTGCAGGATTGGGCACAAAGTAGTGCAGGGGATTGTTGACATTGTGAGGACCAACTGCACCCTCATAATGAATAGGGCCATATACAGGAGGAGCAGGTTCATTAGGAATGTGAGGCACCTGTGGGGGCTGCATCCCGGCTGCCTCTGCTTGTGCTTGCTGTCTTATCTCATTTCTGTCCTGTCGCCGGCGAAGATCGCGCTGATGGCGTCTGTCATTTTGAGCTGCATTTACTCGCTCATTCAAGCGTGCATTGTAATCAACTGGAGGAGGATGATGAGCACGCTGCACATGTGCAATTGCATTTCGTGGCAAGCCGGGATATTGTGCAACTGGAAGCGGCTCATATTGAAAGTGAGGCGGAGGTTGCCAAGCAAAAGGTCGTGGAACAGGTCCTGCTTGTGGCTCATTAGCTGGCATAAAATTTGGTTGTGGTGCAGGAGGCAGAGGCCTGTCCTGATTATCATGGGCAGCACGACGACGATTACGTCTGGTAGGTGAAGTCATTTGAAGTCGATTGATCCTGTCTTGTTCGCGTTGGGAGTGTCGATCACGTTCCGGGGTGATTTGTTCTCCATTGCTAATGTGTAGATATGAGCATCATGCACCTTGCACATGGCAATATATATATCAGCAACTCACAGAATAGGTATATATCCATCCATGGTTGTTAAATTCAAACGGTTGTTTAGCAAGTGCAAAATTTGTCTGAACTCATCAATTAGTCATTTCTATTATCATTGATAAGAAATAACACCCACCAAAAGTGTATATCACACTTTATTACACTTGGCTGCAGGGAAAGGCAGTTCAACTCGAGAATTCTATTCAAAAGCAGCAGCCAAGTTGTGTAATGATTTGTGTAACCAAAAGTGTAATCAAATTTCTATTATTGCTTTTGTTATTCTCGATGCCTTTCCCATATAGTAGGAAAAGTCTGTTGTTTGTCCGTTGCGTTCCCACGGCGCAGTAGGCGTGAGGATTACTGTCCACTATATCGCGTTTGGCAGTATTTTCGGACTTGTAAAAATTTCTCTCAGATTTTTCGTTCACACTCTTCTTACTTAGTCTTAGTCTTAGTCTTAGCGAGTCCACGCGAGAAAACCACGCGAGATTTCCAAAAAGAGGTTTAAGCGAGGTAAGCGAGGTAAGCGACGCAAGCGAATCTAAGCGCATCTAAGCGTATCTATGCGAAAGCCACGCGAGCGCGCGAGTGTTCCCGAAAACCGTCGCACTTTACTTCTTAGATTCTTAGATTCGCACACTCGCAGTACCCGTTCTTAGTATGCATGTGCCAGTGCTCCGCAGGCACTCCAACTTCAAAGTACACTCCAGACCAGTAGCGTGCAGCCCGTTTCTTCTGGATATCAATCTGAATCCTGCACTACGTGTTCTTATGGTGCAAGACTCTCTTTGGTAAGTTATCCTTTGAACGATAGTGCACCCGTTTCAGCACTCTAGGAGCTTCTTCTACCATGCAGAGTTGCAAAGATGCAGACTCTCATCTGCGAACGTGACGGAGTTGCTAGCTTTGTATTTCTGCACAAGGCTATACTATCTGCTTCAATTCAATTCTTAGGCATGACATCCCCGAGCCTGCGGAGACCACGATCAGAGGAAAACTTTAAGTCCAAGGTCCCGCCAACCTGCAGACCTAAGTACAGAGGAAAATGCAATGTGCGAACCCTTCGATCAGTAGTAACCAACCATTTACACAACGAACCGTTACATGGAAAATGACATTACGAAACTTCGTGGTCGTCGTTCGCACCCTCGTGCATGCCCTCGTCACTGTCCTCGTCGTCAATCTCCTCGCCAATGCCCTTGTCACTCTTTGGCACGGCACATCTTTGCGTGCAAGGCGAGCAAATCCCGCATCATCCTGCGCTACTGAAAGGGTAGGGCCGGCCAGAGATGAAGGTTTTTCAATCGAAGACCCAGCAGCTGGGATGAGTTCCTCGTCCCTCAAGGCCTCATTGACCAATTCTGTCGCGTAGCTATCGAACAGGTCAAAGGTGCAGCCGCTGTCCCTAACATCGATGAGGGAACCACGACCTCATGCATGGCTGAAGGGCTTTATGCGTGCTGATGCTACATAGTAAGACATTCAGCCGTCAAAGAAGCTTATGTGGCCGTAATTGCTCCAAGCCCTCGATAGACTGGTTATACAGAGTCGCCTCTATCTGATACCGTCTCCTTCTCTCTTCTACGAGCATTCACTCCATCGTTGCATGACTTCCGTCATCCCCAACTAATTCCCGAAGATCAGCAGGATAGACACGATCTTTGAGTACAGGACATATAATTCAGTCCTGAGCTACATGAAATAAAGATTGGAATATACAAAGATGCGAAATTATCGACTGACTTTCTGATTTGCGATCAGTGCTATGTAGTTGTCTCGCATTTCAGTGCCTAGTGAGATCGTTGAAACATGCTCCTACGAGCAGCCGAGTCGATCATTTCTGGTGGTGGAAGACGGTATAGCATCTTGCATGAAGGTCGAGTGATGCGCGAAGGCGATATTTGCAGCACGCCAGACTGAACCTTCAAGTGGAGAACAAAATTCAGATCTGTCGCTTCCAATGGAACATTCGTCTCCTTGGAGAGACTTGGCATGAAAAGAACAACGGTTTCTCTTGGATTGGTATGCTGGGCCGGCCAACCATGATGCCACATGATACAAAATGAAGTGGCCATTAGCCACTCAATGGCCGCAGAAAACGACCGCCAGTGGTCATCTGTATACTCTAAGATGAACATTTAATAGCCAACTACAAGTGACGAAACGGCCAACAGCTATATCTGTTGCAACGCCTGTCAAACGATATTAGATGATCGATCGTCCTGGTCCCTGGAAGGCGGCACTGATAACGACTCGGCAGTGCTATTCGGATAATCCCTTCGGCTTGCCGATACGAATCTGCGCTCGACTCCTACAAATGCCAAATTTTGGCGCTATGGAACAACCACCGAAGAACTATAATTGAAGGAAGTGATAATGTAAAGCGGCCAGGTAGAGTCTCGTGCGTATCATGCGTATGCCTCAAGGCAAGACCCTGCTTCGAGACAGGAACGTGTGCATGGGTTTCTGGTGTGCCAGAGGCTTGCGAATGCGGGACTTGGTAGAACACAGTGGAGAAAGCCGCAAAAATTGGCTTGGTAGTGTCCGACATAGAAAATACAGAGCAGGAGACACGTGCGGTTGCTCTTGAAGACCCTGTGATCCACGCGCGAGCGCCATCATAATGCTCTTGCGTCCATCGATTCCCTCGGTTTTGGTGCGCTCAAGGAAGTGAACGGTAGGTCGACGAGAAATCGACAGATGGGTCATTCTTGAATGTAAGTGTAGTGTTCGGGCACCAGACTAAAAAAAAGTTGTGGCTGCGCAGATAATGGCAAGATGCGAAACTTCTCAAAATGAAGTGGAGGGGTATTACGGAGAAAATTTAATCAGCACAATTGAAGAAACATGGCAGTACAACCCGTCGAAACCTGGAACATACCCTTGCTGTGCTTCGCCACGGGCTACCACTCAATGTCACATTAGGCTTGGTGATAGTGCATCTGTACCATCAGAAACCATTCTGACACCCATCTGTGACTTGCTCCTGGCTTTGAGGCGGATACCTTGTTGGTGAAAAGCCATTCGTGTGACGGGCCAACATGCGCAAGGTCGTCAATGGCGTCCAGCCGGTCAAATTCTAACTAACGCATAAACATATGAGCATAGGCAAACAGTAGTGTGGAAGGAACTGCTGTCTCCCTTTGTCTAAGGCCTGCCTCAGGAGACTAGTTAAGTGGCGGGCGCTGGGATGGAAGGTCAGAATGCGTGGCTATTAAGAATATGTATATTAGTCGCAAGGATAGTGGCTTGGCTGAATTCTAGCTGGACTCACTGTGCATTATGTGTCGACAGCGAGTTGATGTGTATGAGACAACAAGAAACTTCAATTAAGCATGCATACTAGAGTGATAGATGTCCTGCGATTTGCGGATATCCAGTCATTGCACCAAGATGAGTAGGCCCGAGTATATGAAGTTCCAGTGAAGTATCGGCCGCTTGCCGGGTAATGGTGTTGCAAAGTTTCCCTTGAGCTTCCCACCCCGAAACCCCGCAGTAAACCCCGCCCTCATTCAGCATACTCGGTACTGTGCTCAGTGTGCTGCACCCTAACGAATATTCGGTGTTGGCTCGTATCACTTCTCGACGCTACATGTCCTCACCGACCTCATGCACGCATTCTCCTGCGGGCTCTCCCCACGATACTTTCGTTCGTAATCAAAAAGCTGGTGAGCGCCGAGTCCTGACCGATGACTCGGCCATTGCCAGTGGATCGTTCCACTCCGACCCAGCACATATCACTCTCTCAGCTCTTGTCAACGCAGCCGGCAGCCATAAATCGCCTCTTTACTGATAGGTTGAAAATGTTACCCATCCAGCGGCAACACTAGATCATTGTAGGACGCATCTGGAGCTGCGTTGCGATGTCATGTATTTGCGAGTGGACCGCATTCCACCCGAAAATTCCAGCTATAGACAAAGAGAAAGTGAGTATTTTATGTCGTTGCCAGCTCATCATCGTTATGGTACTGATTGCCCCAGAACTCGCAATCACTAAGATACGCGGTAATTTGATAGTGCTTGTGGCGCTGCAAAGAACAATGATGCATGTGGTGCACGATCATATCCCACACCTGAGAGCGCAACTGCATGCTTAGTAAAGCTCTGAAATTGGATGAAAGAATACTGTAATCTGCAGAGTTTAGAGGTCGGTTACGTGCTTCAGCCGTTCCGTCAGTGGTAACTGACATGGAATCGTTACCTTCACAGGATAAACGTTGAACAATGGTCTTCGCATCTTTCTCATGCAGTGCTTTATCCTATTAGTTGTGGAAGATAATTTACGCCAGTTTGCTTTTTTAGCTTCTGGTGATCTGTTCGGGGATGTATTGATATCTTAGCCCTGCTCGGATTTGAGTCTTTGGCAGAGTGCATATCCAATGTTTTGTCCGTCCCAGATTTCTGTTGAGCGTGCACTTATGATCCAAAGTTTTATTCTGTTGCTTTGAAGTATCACATCCAACATGAAACAGCTAGGCAGCCTCGCACTATTTGCATTGGTCAATACACCGATCTACGCTTTCTTCCGCAATCGACTAGTACACCCCTCAAACCGCTTTCGGAATGCAATATGATATATCATTGCGGAATACCTGGAGCCGCCAACGGAGTCACGCCAATGAGGCCGTAACTGTGACCTTCTAATCTGTTTCGATATGAAATGTTCAATGTGTCAGGAGACTGTCACGTGTGGAGATTGAACGTTGAACATTGAGCTTAATTGCTGATATGACATCGAGGCATATTTATTGTCCGATCTCAGGGAACACAGGTTTTCGTGCAAGAAGGATGGTACCTTTGTGTTTCACAAAAAGGACGCCAACAGTGCTTGCCAACGTCTATGACGTTGAACATAGTGAACTGCCCGACACCGCTGCCCTGTTTCTGAGGACGCCGCTTCAACGACGCCTGAAGGAGCGTCATGTTGCCATGATCAAGCGAGTGGTCGTCTTTTTCAGAAACACACATGTCTCATAGAATTTGTTTCTAGCATCGGAGGCGTTGTTGGTACGGGATTATTTCTAGGCACTGCGACGGCATTGATGGAAGGTGGCCCTGTGGGACTTCTATTCGGGTATACTTTCATGGGAACAACGTGCTACTGTGTTATGGTGAGTTCGTCTTTGGCGTGCTTCTGTATTCTCACTTTCCTGGTTATATAACAGATAACCGTCGGGGAAATGATTACTCTCCTTCCCATTGCAGGCGGTCACGTCAGACTTGCGGAAAGATTTGTCGATCCAGCCTTCTCTTTTGCGATGGGTTGGAATTGTTGGTACTGTTGGACGGTAAGATGCTATATTGTAGTGAACGGTTCGAAGATCCTCATGGCTTAATTTTGTATCAGTTTACGATGCCTGGTGAGTATGACCCTGAAGTCCTCTCAGATTCAACCCATTTTACACTTGGTGAAGCTGAGTTATCGGCTGCTGCTACTCTCGTTGAGTATTGGAATATCGAAGTTAACAGTGCGGTGTGGATCACCGTGTGTCTGGTATTTGCTGTTGGAATCAATCTTTTCAGCGTTGGTTTGTCCCTTGCTTCAATGAATGTCAATTGTACACGTTGATATAATCTTCAGGGACCTACGGAGAAATGGAATTTATTTTCGCGTGAGCAGTTCTTTTTGCCTTGATGGCTGTGTAGACTTATCGTCGATCAGGTCCATCAAAGTCATCACGATAACAGGGCTCCTCATCCTTGGTATTGTGCTTGACCTCGGAGGTGGCCCGAGTCATGATCGTATTGGGTTCCGGTACTGGAAGAATCCCGGACCCTTTGTACAGTTCGATGGGATAGCTGGAGCTAAGGGGCAGTTTCTAGGATTTGTTCGTGTACTCATCCAGGCTGCCTTTTCTTTCATTGGAACCGAGGTTGTCACTGTATGTTCTCTCTTTAAGATTAATACTAAATCTATCCTCACTATGTTTTCAGATGGCAGCTGCAGAGGCGAAGAACCCTCGATACACCATGCCGCGAGCGATACGGACAGTATACATCCGAATTTTCCTATTTTACGTCGGGAGCATCTTCGTCATCGGGTTGCTTGTCCCTTCCAACAACCCTCTTTTGAATCTTAACTCTTCCGATGCCTCGTCATCCCCATTCGTGATCGCTATTAATCAGGCTGGGGTTAGATATCTGCCTTCGGTATGTTTTTCCATGCTCTTCGCGGCTCCCTTCTATAAGACCCAATCCAGATTTTGAACGCACTCATCCTAACTTCTGCTTGGTCCGCCTCTTCAAGCGACTTATATTTATCATCGAGGGGATTATGTACGTGTACAAATGCACGGAATTTCGCATCCTCAATATTAATTCACAGACGGCCTTGCTGCTACTGGGAATGCTCCCAAGTTTTTCTTGCGCACGTCACGTTCAGGCCATCCATACGTGGCCGTCATTTTTTGCTCCTTGTTTTTCCTTCTGTCATACATGGTTGTGAACACCAGCTCCGGCATCGTTCTTACCTGGTTTGCAGACATGACTGCTACCACGGGTCTCTTAACGTGGTTCTGTGTTGGGGTAACCTATGTCAGGTTCCACCGGGGATTATTGGCGCAAGGGTATGACAGGAAATGTTTACCATATTCCTCGAGACTCCAGCCATATGCATCGTGGTGGGTCATTGCTTCGTCGCTGGTAACTCTCCTGGTAAGTATGCAGATTATCACACTGCTATCGAGTACTTGACTATGATCTCAGTTCAGCGGATGGCAAGTCTTTTTGAAAGCGAATTGGTCTCGTACGACGTTCGTGACGACCTATTTGCCTATCGTACTGTTTTCGGTATTGTATGCATCTGCGAAATTTGTGATGCGGGTGCCCCTGGTAAAACCGAGCGAGATGGATTTCAAGTCCGGGACAGAGAATTTAGATGTCGAGAGGTGTGACATCCCACATTATTTTTCTTTGTGACTGGGGTTGACCGTTCATCTTTTTGAGATCTAAAGAACCCTCGCCGAAAAATTGGAAGGAGGCGATCTGGATGAGTTTGGTATGTGTTCTTTTTCCCATCAGAGTTGTTTGCTTACCGCAAGAAACATTACAGGCGTGATGCGGTTCGTTGTTATACCAATACACAATGCGCAGCTAGCGCTGCTGCAGTCGGGTCCATTATTCATCTTGCGGAGATACTAGGACATATCTCACTTTCCTCACATATCACCGGTCGATTTTCTACTCGTGGAACATACTACTCATAGGGCTCAATGGCCATTAATCATCTAGTAGTGATATGGTGCCCAAATCAGCCGCCAGAACCCAGTGGGCAGTTCAAAAACTGCGTTCAATAAACATGAATAGGCCATTTTCATTAAATCTGGAATCACAGCCTCATCGCCTTCGACGTAATTTTTAGCAGTGGTAGAGATATTAAAATCAGCTGCAGCACCGATAAATGCTCACTAGCTCGTGTCAGACACGATACTATGAGGGGACACGGCGTATCTATGGATACCTTCGATTGTGAATATTGAATGTCGGGACTACGAGCGAGCACCATCTACAATCGAGGTCATGAGCGCTCATCAGCTGCTGTGCTGCAACCAGACTGCAGGTCTTCGTCGAGATCGATCTCTTGTATAACCCCTCAAGAACTTCCTGCAATACTATGATGCCACATTGCCATCAATACGCCCCTAACCTTCATCTACAGAGCTTCTTCTCCGCACTGTACTTCCACCGCAGACTTTCTGATCGACCCACGCCATAAACGAGGCATCAATAATCGTAGAACGGCGCAACAATATATCAACATCACCCACCACTCGCCATGAGGGACTGAAATATTCGATTCATGCGCGCTTGAAATATTATGAGGATACATTGGCGAAGGGCAGGTAATATCGTTTCAAGGTATCGAATGATATTAACCAGCGTGCATGCTTCGTAAAGTAGCCAAGGGGCCCGGGTGGCTATGATAATGTGGAATAGGGTTGGACTTCGAACTGAACTAGCGAAGGGTAAGATTTTCTAGGTCGAATTACGAAGACTGATTGAAACGTCAGGAAAGCTAGTTCTATCAATGGCATCGGAGGTTTGACCGTTTTGCGTTGCAGAGTCAGCAAATGACGGTCATCCACATACATGCGTTTCTTTTTAGTCTCACCATCATCTTCATGGCACGCAGGCGCGCGACCCGTATGAGAACTACGGTGACACCACCAGCACCATGTTCATGAGGAGCCGCACCGGACCATCTCGTGCACCACTGTTTCACCATCACAATATTATCGCGATCCTGGACTCTTTTGATTTCAATAAGCTCGAAGGAGTGAATGTTTCGTCGAATTAGACGTTCCTGAAGTGCGACAAGTTAACGCAGGGATCAGGGTGCAATTGCTGTGACTGTGCAGATGATGACTAGGTATGAAGAATAAACTCCTAAAAGATAGAAAATGGCGTGGAGGGTAGCCGTGCTATGGTGAAGAACTAATTAGTGGTGGTGCAGACAGAACATCATGACAAATATTCTTCACCCTTGTCGACCTCGTGGCTCAGCAACCGAGATGAAAGTCCTACTTTCCTGAACTTTAACCACATGTATCACTGTTATTATACTTCGCCACCGGTGACCCAGCTTCTCGTGACGCAAACATCGATCATAGCAGTGCCGAAGCGGGACGATCAGAATTCGACCTGACATTCTGCTTGTGGCATTCAAGCATTTGAAACGTTCGTCATCAACATATACCGCGGCCACTTCATAGTTCTTCATCTAGCGCGTCTGTGACTGTCTGTGGCGAGCGGTGCACCTTTGAGTCATGAAGTTCATTTTGCAAGCAGTCATACTCCACCGACCGTAAGTGAAAAACAGATTTGGTTCAGATTATGTAATTTCAATTCCTACTTCAAGCGGTACTAGTACTACTACGCTGGGTGTCACCAGCGCCGGCACCTACCCTAGCGCTCAGCGCTAGATAGTCCGTGCTGCCCTTCATATTAATATTGCCTTCTTGTCAGTAGGCAAGGGGCAAGGCAGGGGTGAGGAATCCGACGATTGCCGGATCCATACTCCAGTCTTCCAGAATCCAGTAAGCAGCGAAGCTCTCCTTGTGTCCTGTCTGTAATTACGATCCAGAGCCTCGATATGAAGTAACTTCGAACGTTAAACGCGGCTGCCAACTCATTCAGCCAGGGATCGCTTGTTTGAGGAAGAACAACGTGAGTTTTCTGCAGCTTCATTGGTACATGATAGTATCTCACACGACTCGGTTTTAAGACCAGGTGGCTTCTTATCCGCCTGCAACTTGGCGTGCAAACAGTGCTGCGCCATATATTGATGCATCCCAGTTGATTCCACAAGCCCACTGAAGCAGTTCCTGAACCTGTTCACGGTCACTAAGTACATCCGCCGATTCAAATCAGCGAAATGCTTTCATTACACAACAGTCCGTCACAGGACCTCTACTCGTACTGCACTATCAATATACACAGCGGTTCAACTCAGTGTATGGCATAGCATCACCCAAGTGTCTTTCATTTCCGCACACTGCAACCTCCTTCCTTGATGATCATTCTCAGACTTGGTCCATCTTGAAATGCATGAACCCATGCTTGCACGTCGTTTCTTAGAACCATCCAGGTGAAGGAGTCCTTGAGGTAAACAGCCTGAGAGCTACCAGGCATGCGCGCTTGAAATTGGACATTCCTCCACAATGCCAAATGAAAGCGGTCGACAAATTTACACTGATTGTTGCGATGCTCAACATCATATTACTTTCAACATCATTCTCATTTGTTCACTGGTTCACTGATGAGATTCACGATGCACAGTAACAATGTCTCACATTTTTGCGCCACTTCTACGGCCCCTGATCTCTCAACATGTCTACACACACAAGCCTGCGACATCCCAACTTGCCATACATTCTATACCTTTAAAGAGGGGAGCGGAATGAATAGAATTATGCCCTCAACTTAAGTTACCATGGCCCTCCTACCCTTCACCTCCGCTGCTATCCTCTTACTGTTATGCATTCCATTTGTTTGTGCATTACCTCCTCTCAATTGTACTAGTACCTCTACACTCGATGTCACCGGCTCACCATCTAGCAGTCATACTAGGACCTTGTGGGACATCATTTGGAGCTGCGCTGCAACTCTATTCGCATGCACGTGGACCGCAATTCACCCAAACATCCCGGGTATGGACGAGGGAAGAATAACCATTTTCTTTCGTCGCCTATTCATCATGGTTCTGGCGCTCATTGCCCCAGAACTCATGGTCACCTGGGCCACAATACAGTTTCTAAGTGCCCTTGACACTTTCAAGGCATTCAATGCGCAATTTTACCTGGCCTGCGGCGACCGTCCAGAGAGCACATCTACATTACTAGATGGAATTTCAGAATCAGATGAAAAAAACAGTTCACATCCAAGCGCTCTCCATGGTGCAGGTCACGATCCCAGAGGTTGGTCGCTTGCTCGGTCTTTGAGTGCGGTAACTAACTTCGTTCAACGGATGTCTCACAGAGTGGACAACGGTGCATGGGTTTTTCGTATGGATGGGTGGATTCATACTTTACTGCGATAACAAGCCACGAGTCGCTCTTACTCCCAGGGAACTCATAGACTTAATTGAAAATGAATACGTGGATATCCCTGACATCATGGAGGCAGACATAGAATGTCGAAGTAAGGGCGACGCACTATCCAAGGGAGTCGCCATTCTGCAGCTGGGGTGGTTCATCCTGCAGCTTGTCGCCCGTTACATCGAGCACCTTCCCGTAACCCTTCTCGAAATCGACACCCTGGCTGTAGTCTGTCTGTCCTGCATCGCCTGTTGCCTGTGGTGGAAGAAGCCTAAGGATGTACGACGCCCTTATCCTATCCATTGGAACAAAAATAAAGCAGAGGCGCTTCAGGATCTGTCATTCACCTATGAGTACGTGGTCAATATTCTCCCCTGAGATCATTCTTATTCACCCACATTCTAGAGAAGCAAATCCAGAATTCTCCTTGGATTGCTGGCATCATTATCTCCTCGTTCTCATTTATCCCTTGAGGAGTCTTATGGGCACTGCCGTGACCGTTTCTCCCGGTGCTGTCCGAGCACATCGGATTCCGTCTTTAGGTGGCTATAATAATGATAATCGTCACGATCGTAATCATGTCATTACACTTTTCCTTGGATGCTTCTGTGCCGTTATATACGGAGGACTGCATTGCCTGGGCTGGCATTATTTATTTCAGTGGCACACAGATCAGATGCTATGGCGTGTGGCTTCCATTGTGATGGCGTCCGCATCGGTACCTCTTCTTCTGACATTTGGCGGGGTCATATTGCTGGGTTCCCCTCATGACAGTTGGGTTGTGAGATTTGCTGTAGTTACCACCGCTTTCATATATATTGCCGCACGCATTACACTAATTGTACTTCTAGTGTCAAGCTTGCGATCGCTACCCCCTGGCGTTTACGATACAGTGGCGTGGACCACATTCGTTCCACATATTTAGTTTCCTCTTACATCACGATCATGATTATCCTCTTGCTAGAAGCATGCTTTGAATCCCTCGTCTCTTCACTGTTTCCCCGTTGTTTGACTAATAGAGCTTGGAAACCGGATTGTTTATTGACATCGTTCAAGTTCCTCAGCCTGACTATTGGTCGAACATTTTGATATTCGATCGATCCGCTTGCCATCAAGGTACCCATGACATGTTGACCAATAGACAGGGCCGAGGGGCTCGCAGCTCAGAGACACAGCAAACAAGGGTCGTGAGAGTGTCATTAGCATAGTGTTCGAACTACAGAACATCAAACTGGGTCTGCGCCGCTGTCTGTCTGCACCTCGACATTTACTTGCACCTACAATAGTCAATAAGGTCATATTGAGAGTACATGGGAGAGCTACGCACCAAATTTCCACGTTGGTGCCCTGCTTTCAGTTGGCGACTCGCAAGCATAAAACTGCATCTGTAGTTATGTGAGATGTAAGATACATTCAACGACGATGTCTACAGATCTCACCTAGAATTCCTGTTGTATGGTCGAAGATTCAGGTGCGTGCTCAAAGTTCTCCAAAAAGACGATTGGCATAGATCGATCGTTTGTAGGAGTGTGTTGCTTTCCGTTCCAGATTTGCTTTCTGGCATTGAGACTGAAGTAGTTTGAACTGCAGTCGTAAACATCGCATCGGACTTGTGACTCACGTAGCTAAAAGGGAATTTGCATGTACTGCTTCATCAGTATCCAAATGAGATATATTTACGAGAATTATGAATAGCTTACATTTTGCTACAATGAAGTGAAGACCTAGGAATATGAGGTTCTGAGGCATAACTTTCCACTGTGATATTTGAATGGTCAAGACTTAACAGAACACCACGGACTCGGCTGCTCACGCAAATCAATGTCGCGATGGTCGCAGTACTACAAGGTGGCTTCAGAAGATAGCTCGTGACCTACGTTCATATGTCACACCTTGTCATTGAGCCATTCTGAATTGTCCAGAACGTCAGGGCGTCGATGATACGGATAGTGCTATGAGACGAATAAATGTCAGCTGTGCAGTGGGAAAGCTCATATGATAACCTACTCTGTAAAGGTTGGGCGATTTCTGCGAAAGAAGTAGCACATAAAAGTTGTGATCATGATATCCACGAGTGTCGAAAGTGAGAGTCCCATCGTGAATATCCAAGAAAATACTATCTGTATGTTAACACTACGAAGGTGCACACCACCACAGATGAGAAATCACGTTGAAAAAATGCACTGTATGATTGCAATCTGAGCCTGCAGAAAACGAGTTTCAGTGGCTATCAATCATGTTTTCAAATATTGCTCACATTTCACTCATTGTGACTGAAAAAGTTTAAAGAATGTGCGTTATCGAAAGAACCACGAGTGTGAATGTTTGATAAATCACTGCTAGTCATGACTGAAGTGAAAACGTCAAAATGAGTTTACATTATTGCACTACTTACTAAAGTGTACCTACCTAAACGAACGAGAGAGAGCACAACCTGAAAGAACATCACGTTAAGTACATAGCAGACTTTTGAACGCAAAACCTACAATTGGAATCACTACAGTGAGCTTCTTACTTTGCACTACCCACCGACATCAGTGTGTGAAAATAAAGGAAGAGAAGCACGAACGTCTATAGATTCGGTACGCAAAGAAACTGAAGCGGTTGAGTCAAAATCATATTGTCCTTGTATGATATAGCCAACCTCAAGTTGGACGATGAAGGTGATCATAGCCTGATGGATATTCCAGCAGTGAGCGTTGTGCAGTTCCATACGAGTGAAAACGCACAGTAAGCTCTATCGCAGGCTGTACGAGGATGCATTAGTAACGACAGTCCAACATATCCAAAACGCGATTTCTCACACCAATACTCCTGATGGTGCATTAATTTTCCGACTGATTGTGAATAATGGTATCACACATACCAGGGGATTATGTCAAGTGTATCCAAGCCACTATCACTCGCAATGATGGAATCCCAGAGGGCGCTTGCCACAAGTGCGGAATGGCATAAATCAAGCAGCCTGACTTCCGTTTGTATTTGTCTCACATACAACAGCACGCTCGAACGTACCATATTACAATGACCTGCGTAAGATGATCAAAAAAATGCAAACTTGAAAGACAAAGTTCTGTACCAATGACTTAGTACGCCAACTCTCGTAAAAATACACCCGGCAGTACACGATGAATTGCATGTTAACGCAACCCGACAAGCTGTGAGTTACGTCAGATAGTTATCATATTCTTGCATGATGGTTGATAACGTGCCCGAAGCCCAGCAAGCCACCGATGGGCATGGCTCCATGGTCCAGAGCAATAGACATTGCAAAGATAATGGCTCGGAGCGGAGTAGTGGGAGAACGAAAAGACACCTGGAAAGCCAAACCCTGCAATATAGCTTATAAGTCGCTCAAGGCGGTAAGGAGGTGTTGCATGCCATATCACACACAGGACAGGCTCTCGTCTTGTTCCATTCTTGAGGAACGGACCCTACTTCGATTGTCAAATTCTTGCATAGGAAAAATTCGCGAAGGGAGGACTCCCTTAATGCCATTGGATATATATTTGCACACTGTAACTCTATCACCATGTGATCTGAACTGACGAGAAGATCGTATCATGATATCTTGAACACCATGACCGTGAGTCCAGGTCCTCTGAGTCGTGTCTGATCGAGTTCTTAGAGAACTAGTAATGTACGTTATGTTGTTTCTAGCAATAAAACGACACTCCAGTTCCTCCGGGGCTATGAGACTGCGTCAGCCACTGCGTCGCGGTTCGTCACGATATTTTACGTACGTGCTGCATTGGGTGAGAAGCAGGAGAACACTGGAGAATTTCAGAAGTGAGCCAAAGGTGTTTAGCCTATGTAGTCAAGTTCCCGAAAACCCTGATTTACTTGCGATAGTGGATTGCAAAACAAGGGTTGGACAGAAACTGATACGCTCAGCTCCCATAGGCGGACAGCTAAACCCTCCTGTTCGTCCCGTCATGCTGTGTACTTTCGCAGCATTCACAACAAATCAGATCCTGGACTCTACTCAACATGTCTGCTTCAGCTTATCTTTGGGCGTCGCTCAGACGCTCGTGAATAAGAGAAATATTTGGAACAAATAGATTCGCAAATTCAAGATTATGAATATGTGGATGAAGGCGCAAAGCGCATGCCGACCCGATCACGGATCTGGCTGGGGAGAGATACGTGTGAGTTGCGAGGGTGGGCGGCCAGCTTCGCATATTATCGATTAGTTTGAGAGATGCGCAGGTCGGGTCCACAAGAGCGTAGGTAGGCTGCGATGCGAGGCGCATCGTGATCCAAGAATAGCTGTGATGGTGCGAGAAAAGAAAGGCTTGACGATATATTCGTCCTGTGGTTCAAAAAGAAACGCTAACGGCTGCTCGCCCAAAGTAGAGACGGACTCACTTAAGCTTTTGAGGTGGTGGAAATGAACGTGACAGCATTGCCAATTGACCTTTCCTGATCGTTTGCCAGCCTCGAGGCTAGCGCTTCCAGATTGTTTAGTTTAGGATGTAGAGACCTGGGAGTAGATGGTCAAACCGTTCAAACTCCGCCATTTCTGAAAAGTTCAACCGACAAGCTTTTGTAAACGCTTAGGAGCTCTTGTGCGACGATGTTAGAAGAGCCTTACACCCAAGGAGGTCGCCTCCAGCTGCAGGTAACTCCCTTCAACGACGAGACATCTTCATTCACGTGTGCTGCTCTCATCCGCAAGGCATTTACCCCTTTCACAAAATGCCAGGTCTTATGCGTCGAAATCGAGGATGCCCCTGTCAGAGCCGGCCTCCCCAATCCACTAATAGCTAAAATATTTGATCCTCGTTTCAACTACGAGCGCAAAGACTCATTCCTTGCAAGACGATCTCCCATCCTCTGGTCCGCTGCCAATGAAAAGGCCGCAGCTGACCGTCGTGCATTCGCACCGGGTGATGACTTTAGTATCCCTCAAGGGGAGAGAGAGTTCTTGGATGGCTCGTTGTGGGAAGAACTCTACTATCGCCAGTACGAGGCTTCATTTGCACGTGAAGTCGAAGCCTACAGATGCCTTGGACACCTTCAGGGTTCTACCATACCGCGGCTCTATGGTTCGGGTCGGGTCATCTCGGGCCACGGCGAAGGTCGTGCCATATCTCCCAGAGTGCTTTTCATGGAGTACATCCCAGGCGAGAATCTCGCAACCATCCAAGATCCCCATTCAGTCCCTAGCTCAGCATACCAGGAGCTCGTAAAGGCCGTGAGCAGTGAGCACCCTCGCGTCTTTCGGTATCATCCATGCCGATATGCGCCCAGACAACATTGTTGTATCTAGCAGTCACCCTAGACGAGTGGTGCTCATCGACTTTGGGCTGTGTCAATTTCGTTTTGATGATGAATCTGACGACGATTGGAAAGAAGCTGTCATATTCGAAGCGGATGAGAGGGAACTCCAGCTCTACATGAAAAAGTTGGGCATTTGGCACCAGGAATGATACGCATAATGCTCGGGAGAAAGTAGGATGGCTTAATATTCCAAATATCGAGACCGCATCTAACCGGCCACGAACTTTTGCCATGGAGTAGGCATAACACGGTCCGTTGATAAACTGGCTCGGGTTGTAAGGTATTAGCAGACCCTAATATGATCATGCTCACTGCAATCATATGTCACTTCAACAAAGGCGGCAGAGAACAGCAGCAAATCCATAACTTACCGTGTGATTTACTTGCAATATTGGATTGGAAAGCAAGGGTTGAACAAGAAACCAATACGCTCAGCTCCCATATATAGGCGGACAGACTCAGTTGAACCCTCTTGTTTGGCCCGTCATACTGTGTACTTTCACAACGAATTAGATCCCGGACTCTACTCAACATGTTTGCTTCAGCTTATCTTTAGCTTTGGACGCCGCAATTGCAAGGAGGTTCGTGGATAAGATAATCATTTAGAATTGCAAATAGATTCACACTAAGAACAAAGATTCTACATATGTGCGAAGCGCATTCTGCCCCGATCGTGGATCTGGCCTGAAAGAGAGATGGTTGAGTTGCGAGGATGGGCAGCCAGATTATCAACTAAAGTGAGATGCGCAAGTCGGGTCCACAAGAGTGTAGGTAGGCTACTATGCAAGACACGCCGTGATCGAAGAGTAGCTGTGTTGGTGAAATAGGAAGTGACGGGTGGGAAAAAGAAAAGCTCGACGACATATTCGTTTCAAGCAGCTGAGGTGGACGACGTCAAGCGGATGGATAGGCTTACTTAAGCTTTTAGATTGTATTTGATTTCATTGCCGGGACTTGCCGATGCGGCTCAGTTCGAATAAGCGTCGACCGTGCTTCTTGCTTCGGCGATCGTTCAACGTTCATGCATCATGCAATGGAGGACCTAGGTTAGGCTATTCATGAAACATTGTGCAACCTTTCCGCATGTGATAAACGTGTATCATCTGAATGGATTCCCTGTACTAGCGGTGGGTATGGTAGCCTCGAGGCATGAGGCCTTGAAGCCTTGAGGACTTAGTCCTGACTAGTCGACTTGTTGTACGTGCGACCGCACTCTTAAAGAGAGCAGCTGATTGAGCAGACATACCATCAACTTCATCATGACCTTCTTACCCTTGGCTATCCTATTTCTGTTACACGTCCCGTTTGTTTGCTCCTCACTGCCGAGCATCAATGGCACCAGCCTCAGTACACTCGACGTCAGTGACCCTTTATCCTACAGTAACACCAGATCGCTGTGGGACATTATCTGGAGTTGCGCTGCGACTCTATTCGCATGCACATGGAGTGCAGTTCACCCAAACATCCCGGGTATGGACGAGAGGAAATTCGCTGTTTACTCTCGTCGTCTAGGTATCATGATGATGGCGCTAATCGCCCCAGAACTTATGGTTACCTGGGCTACTATACAGTATATAGCTGCTCGTGAAACCGTAAAGGACTTCAATGATGCCTTTGGTGCACAACTTCACCAGACCCACAGTACAGCTACGTTGCTTAGTGAGATTCCAACATCGGATAGAGCGAACAGCCCGCATCTGAGCGCTCCGCATGTTACAAATCGCGCTTTTAGAGGTCGGTTACCTGCTTGGTCCTTCGGTGTGGTGACTAATTTCGTTCAACGAATGTCTCGCAGAGTGGACAATGACGCATGGGTTTTTCGCGTGGATGGGTGGATTCATGCTCTACTTCAATGACAAGCCGCGAGCCACTCTTACACCCAACGAGCTTCAGCGCTTTGTTCGTGAGAGCTCTGTGGAAATGCCCATCATCGTGGAGGCAGACATAGAAGATCGAAGCAAGGGTGACGCATTATCCAAAGGCATTGTCATTCTTCAGTTGATGTGGTTCGTCCTCCAACTTGTCGCCCGTTACGTTCAGAACCTTCCAATGACACTGCTTGAACTGGACACCCTTGCTGTAGCTGCCCTGACCTGCATTGCCTATGGCTTTTGGTGGAAGAAGCCTAAGGATGTAGGACGTCCTCATGCTGTTTATTGGAGAACAACTGCCTCCCCACCGAGCAAATTAGCCTATGAGTATGTCGTGAATATTCTTACTTGAAATTATTCTAATTCGCCTGCATCTTAGAAAAGCACATAGAGAATTCTCCGAACATAAAAGTGATATTCTTTCCACTTGCATTTATCCCTGGCTGAGTCTTATTGGCGGTGGCCCATTCATCTCTTTCCGTGCTGTCCATTCACGTCGGGTTCCGTCTGCGGGTGGCTACAATCATGACAGTCTCGAACGCCATATCATCATTATACTTCTTGTTGGATGTTTCAGTGGGACAGTGTTTGGAGGTCTGCACTGTCTGTGCTGGAATGCTTTGTTTCAGGGGCACACAGAGCAAATAGTATGGCGTGCGGCTTCCCTTGTGATAGTATTCGTGCCAGTATCTATTGTCTTGTTGTCTATTAGCTATGACCGTTGGCTGGATCCTGTGAAGGATCCTTACGGTATTACCAGATTCTGTGCTTTATTACTCATGGGCGCATATATTGTTGCACGCGTTACACTGATTGTACTTATATTGATGAGCTTTCGATCGCTACCTCCTGGCGTATACGATACAGTAGCTTGGACCAAGTTTATTCCACACTTGTAATTTCCTTTTACTCATGTCACGATCATAACTATGGACCTCTGATTATCAGAGATGCGAGCACGATTCGGGATAAAGCCGGCCGTGTTGTACGGTTGTGAAGGAACAACGAATAATATTGTTCCAATATTTGAATGCGACCACAACACTGTCTAGACAAACTGCAGTGCATAAATCAAGGATGGGATGTATGCTGATGCGAAATCTATCAGCGCCGCTACAGTGGCGTGAAAGGGATGTGAGTCTTACTGGTAGGGGAGATATCATAGAGGAAAGTGGAAAATTCTTCCAAGACCAAGTGGTAACACCTCGCATAAAACGAAGCACACTAGCCATGGAGCACAATCGATACCTCGCCGAACGAGTCATGATCATTCAGATACGCGTTGAAGCAAGCTGGCGGTTAGAAGTTGTCTAGGTCGTGGCCGCATTTAAGTCCTTCAATCAAAGGAAGAAAGATAATCGTTGCAAACTTCTCTAACTCAGGTTCGTATTGTCAAAGTCGTGCCTGATTATGGTGAGATCTTCGCGATCAGATTCCCCCCACACTTCCGCAATATGAGACCAGCGCGGGGTGGTGAGCATATCGTCCAGTATATGTAATATGGTCAAATACAGATCATGTGCATGCACGCTTGAGAGCTAATTACTTCTCGGTGCATGATGTCTGTGTTGGAAGCACCCTCCCCACCCCGTGATACTATCTTTTACTGTATGAACGTGCACGTTATGATCTTAGAGAAAAATCGAAAAGCGATAGACTTACATATGAGTATTATACCTGGCTCTCCATTCTTCCGCAAAATCGACTGCGTCCTGTGAGCCTGATAGACGTGATCAGTGTGAGATCATCACTGAGGATCTGCTACTTGCCTTCGAGAAGCAGTCCTTAGCTAAGGCTGACGACTTGGAAAGTGACTGTGCTGTGCTAGTCGGGGACGGTACAGAAATACGTCTAACAAGTAGGCGTCTGTTTCGCGCGGAGGTCGAGGTCGAGGTGCTTGTCATGGTGTGCTTCAAGAGACGGCAAAGACTCGGAAGAGCTGGGAGTTCGTGCAACGATATCAGCTGGTGCAGGTGTCCGGTTACATCACCCCACACAAGCAAGAGAACACTGAGGCTACCCGTCAAACCAGTACATCCGAGTCAAGTCTCGGATGCGATATGAAATTATGATGGTGTACCCAAAACATGACGGCTTACTGAATGTATATATTATGTGTGATTGGTGTCGAAAAGCGCCCGGATTGTGGTAGTGGTACTCCTGGACTTGTCATAGTAAAAAAATATTGTTGCTATCATAAGCCATGCATCTGATGGTATACGAGGACACTCAGGACAGACTGATTTGAAATTTGATATCGTCGGGAGTTGCCGATGGCCTTTGATCGTGTTTGTTTGTCTCGATGTTGCGCATCCCGATCGTGGATGGCTCAGCTTCCTGAGACGAATACCCCTTCGTAGACCACAGTCCATGGAAGACCCTAGGCTAGCATTCATCGAACGTTGCGCAGCCTTTCCACACGGGAAAGACGTGTATTATCATGGATTCCCTGTACTAGTGGTGGGTATTGGTAGCCTCGATGCATGAGGCCTTGACCCGGCTTGTTTTGCGCACAACCGCACCTTTAAAGAAGGAGCAGATCAAGCAGACGTACGCCCTCAACTTTATCATGACCCTCAGCTTACCCTTGACTATCTTATTACTGTTACACATCACGTTCGTTTGCGCTTCACTGCCGAGCCTCAATGACACCAGCATTCGTACACTCGACATCAGTGACCCTTCATCCTGCAGTAACACCAGATCCTTGTGGGACATCATCCGGAGTTGCGCTGCGACTTTCCTCCCATGCACATGGACTGCAATTCACCCAAACATCCCGGGTATGGACGAGGGGGAAGCGATTGTTATATCTCGTCGCCTAGGCATCATGGTGATAGCGCTGATCGCCCCAGAACTCATGATTACCTGAGCCACGATACAGTTTTTAACTGCTCGTGATACTCTAACGGATTCTGATGATGCCTTTGGTGCGCAACGTCACCAGGCCCGCGGCGACAATCCAGATATGCGAGAGAGTACAGCTATGTTTCTTGGTGAAATTCAACATCAAATGGAAGGAGCAGTCCGCATCCGAGCGCTCTGCAAGTCGCAGGTTGAGGTTAGTTACCTGCTCTGACTATCGGTGCAGTAACTAACTTCGTTTAACCGATGTCTCAGAGTGGACAGCATTTGGCTGGACGATTCGAACGAGGCTATCGCATCTTTAGCTGTACTCGCCAGCCTTTTCATATATATTGTTGCACACATTACACTAACTGTACTTATATTAATAGATGAGCTTTCGATTGCTACCTTGTAGCATATACGATACAAGTTTCCTTTTACACACGTTTCAGCTGCAGTAATGGTCACGAACTTGTTGCCATTTACCAGAACCACTAGTGATAGATGCGAGCACGGCTCGGGTTAGTTTCAAGGTAAAGCCGTCCGTGCTCCATCTTTGTAAAGGAACAACGAATACGGTCAACCGGCTGTTAGAAGTTGTCTAGTAGGTCTTGCCCGCACAAGTCCTCCGATTTGTCGAATTGAGATGGTTTCCTTGACTAGGTCAATCGAAGAAAGAAGGATGATCGATCATCGATGATCGTTCCTTTGCATTAGAATTCAAGTCAGTGATAATTCTGTAAAAGTGACACACTTCGGAGGAACGCCTTTAAATGTCAGGACATCGCACACCTCACATGCTAGCACATGTCAGAATCTTGTAGTTATTATGTAAGAGAGCTTACACGTAGAGCTCCTCTCGACGACTACGAATTGCATTTATGAAATATAATGATTTGTTCGTTCGCATCATTACCCCGAACATGATCGATCGATCGTTGATTCGGTTACCCCACTTCGTTCGCACTGATATACTGTGATATGATTCCGCGATGTGTCAAGGACTTACAAAGTATGTACCAAATGCGCACTTCAGCTTTGTTGAGCTTCACGTATTAACCTCGCTAGCTCCTCAAAATCTTTAACGACAAGATCCACCTCACCGCCGTCCTTCTTGCTACGCATGCTCTCCCTCACCTCGCGCGAATCTTCAGCAGGGCGTGGTACATATATCGTCTTGAAGCCTACGCTGGCAGCAGCGAGGAGGTCGTATCTGTGTGCAGCGACCATTGCTATCTTGTGAGGAGGTAAAGAAAGATGATATGCCGCGGATTGGTAGACCTTTTTGTCCCTGCACAAACGTCAGACGAGGGGATAACGTACATATATAAAAGCGAGACCTACGGTTTGTAAGATCCGAACAGCTCGGACGAAAAGATACCATCCCAGGGAACACCTTGATTCTTTGCCTGTAACGCTGATTAGGGGAAAGGCCCGATGCGTAACGTGGTGACCCAATTACCAGATCGAGAAGTAATCTGAAGTTCCCGTTAGACAGAGCGAGAATGTTGACGTGGCGTTTGAGTTCTGTCAGCCCCGGGATGGTGTCCTGATACGCTATTGAAATTGAAGTATTAGTCGTGTTTGTCTCTGCACTTTCCTGAAGATTCGTACCATCCAAGTTGTGCCAGATCAAGGTGAGATTATCGCGATCAGATTCCCCCCACACTTCTGCAATATGAGACCAGCGCGGGGTGGTGAGCATATCGTCCAGTATCTGTAATATGGTCAAATACAGATCATGTGCATGCATGCTTGAGAGCGAATTACATCTCGGTGCATGATGTCTGCATTGGAAGAACCCTCCCCGCCCTGTGATACTCGTTTGCTGCATGAACGTGCACCTTATGATCTGACGGCAAGATCGAAAAGCGACGAACTTACACATAAGCATAATATCCTGCTCTCCATTCTTCCGCAAAATCGACTGCGTCCTGTGAACCTGATAGGTGTGATCAGTGTGAGATCATGTGGGGATCTGCTATTTACCTTCAAGAAGTAGTCCTTTACTGAGACGGGCGACTTGGCGAGTGACTGTGCTGTGCCAGTTAAGGACGGTACCGAACACATCAAATAAACAGGCGTCTATTTCGCGGAGGTCGAGATGTTCGGTGTTCGTCATGATCGTTGGTGTGTTTCAATGATATATCGATAAGCGCCAAGCTGGGAGAAACGGGATCAGTTGGTGCCAATCACATGTCAGTTGCGAATACTGATAAGACTAGCGTTGGACTAGCGCGTCCTGTCTTTGATGGAATAAAAGTCAATCCACAGGCCTGATGGTCGTTCGGAATACACACTAGTCTGATTAGTCCATCGCTGGTTTTGAAGCGCGTGTTCCCCATCACAGTCATGATAATAAAAATGAGAAATATAGCACTGAAATATTAGTCAAAGTCCGCAGCTGGACACGCAGTAACTTCCTTGGACTACCATGTAGTACAACTCGAAGTCCTACGGAAAGTCATGCCACTGTCAATGATTAATGTTTGACGTTTAACTTTAAAAACTTAAACGCCGTAAGCACGGGAATTGCCGATGGCGGACCTTTTTTGGAAGAGTGACTTTGCCGGGCTGCTCGCTATGGTCAACGACAATGAAAGGCTTTGAGCACCCAGAGCTCATTAACTGGGACGGCCCTCTATCATCCAGTTCCTATAATCCTCAGTCACACAAAGACGTACCTTCGACATCGCCCTTCAAGTCCACGAGTAACACGAATCCTACCCTTTCATCGGCATATCCTTCTAGTATATCATCACAAGACGCTAATGATTCTGGAGAAGATTCGGATTGCTATATTATTGATGTTTCATCTTCAATAGACGATTTACCTGACAAGAACCGTGGTTCTACGCGTGCTTCAATAAAGGTGTGCTCGCGTTTCTCCTGAATCATTGTAGTTTACTAAACTCCACTCAGCGCGCGTCATCTATTGAAACGCTTTCACCCACACATATGCCTCATCTCTTTCAGCCGTCTAATCTTGATACGCTGTTTCCATTAATCCAGCATACTAGTACTCACGACACCTCGGCTGCCGTGAGCGCGTCTTCTTCCCTGGATAGATCCATCATACTTACGTATTCTTCTCTACAGGATGAAGTTTTGACACCAGAATCATATCTTCTTTCCTCACAACACAGCACCCGGAACGTGCCAACTTCATCCTATGCCGCGGAGTCCAACTTATTCGACATGTCTATACCCCCTCTCTTAGCTCATAACTATGTAATTGAGTTGACTGATGATGAAGATGATGGTATCAAGATTGCCAGTGACCCTGACAATGAAGATGAGGAGATGGTCGTAGACGACATGCTTGTGAGTAATTGCATACACCACAATACCATTCCCGTCCCTCAAAACCCACTTTCTGACTATTAATTTCCAGACTGAACCTTTTTCCGTGCCTGATTCGTCTTCAGATCGTGGTGCCCATTCTCCAAGATCGCCCTCACCCGAAATGGGCGACTCTCTATTCACACCTCCACCTTCCCGTAAACCTCGCAGACGCATTGTCCTCGACTGCGTATCTGTGCCACCCTTTCGAAAAGACACGACCAGGGCCAGTTGCAAGGCGAACGCGACAATTAGCAAGCCTCAGCAGGGTGTACAGCATCCACCAGTTAGCCACGCCCTACCCGCTGCATTCGCTCAAAATGACCGGTCGCCATCACCCTCTCTCAGTCGCAAGGGAAAGGAACGTGAACGTGAACGCCCACCTCCAGCTCTTGCACGTCGGAAAAGGAAGTACAAGCCTCGTCTTCGAAAGTTCGGAGACGACGTTTCTACGATACCAACCCAGATTCTGGACGCTCAATATCCTGCTCTCGAGCTTGACATCCATGACCTGCCAGATTTGCTACCACATCACGATAATATCCTGCAATCGAGTACCTATTACATCTACGTCAAACGCATCCAGCGCCTTTACGCACAACTGCACGAAGGTCTACCGGAAATGATTGCAGGGATGAAAGGTCCTGCGGTCCCGGATGATGAGAAAGATGAAAAAGAATATGAACCTGTCTTGCCTCGTGTTCTCGCACCGCTGTTCCAGGAGAGACCGGATATCGAAGCGGCCCTGACACCATACTTGGCACGCGCGCCTCTTAAAGGTTCCTCTCGCAAAGGTAAAATTAAGAACAATTTAGAGCTACAAGATGTTCCGACTTCGTCCAAGTCTGAATTTGGATCCGCTGGTACCGTCCTTCCAACACAGGACCCTTCGTCCTCTAACATCCTCGACGACATCTCGCACTATACCGCACTGGAAGGGGATCAAATCCTGGACTTCAGCACGGAGATGGATCAGTATTTGAACGACCTCGGCGATTCCCCTCCAAAGACATATTCTTCAGGCGCTAAGTACACTCGGTCCGCACCAAATTCCTTCATTGGTTTCTTGCACAATACAACACGGCTGCCCCCTGACGCAGCATCAGTCACGCGAGAAGATGCAGAGGATAGTTTCTTCGGAGTACCTCCTAGCCCGAAGCTGGTATCTGACCTTTCTTCACTACAACTCGCGGATACGTACGCTACCAATTCATCACATAGCCTGGATGCTAGCTTCGATCTTGCTCTCCCTGAGGATGGCCAGTGGTCCCTATCGCCTACCATTGAGAAAAAGAGCATATCCCCTGAGAGTCTTTCTCCTTCAGGCAGCGCGGGTACGATTGATCCCTCGCTGCTTGGTGGTAGTGAACCCCTTCCTAAACCACCTTCATCTCCCTTGCCTCCATCAAGAAGCACTCAAAACTCTAAAAAACTACCAGCAGGTCCCATCATATACGTGCGCAGACCTCCAGGGGTGTCTGCTTCGCAGGAAGCCCCAGCGCTCTCGGACAAAATGTCTGGCAAGTTACGAGGAAACGTTCAGATCAAATATCGCACCAGTGAATCGGCCTCTGTTGCTGATGAAGGCGACGTGGCCAGGTTAACGAGAAAGCTGGACGACGGGGAGGTTAAGGATGACGCGGGGTGGACTGCTGAAGCTGTTTCTGCTCCACCTGCACAACCTGGGACTCAGCCAAGTCTCAAGTTGCGGATTCGCCGACCGGGCACCCGTGCGGGCTCTGACGGGTCGTTTGCGCCGTCGAAAACTTCGAGTTCGAGTTCTCCTGCTATATCTGCAACTCCACTTCCAGAAACGAAACTTTCCAAGGCTCGTGCACCTCTTCCTCCAGCTCAAACCATGCTACAGGACGATGGCGAGCCTGAAGTTGTCAAGACTTCCTGTCACCAATGCAGAAATACGAACACCAGACCCAAGATGCATTGTTCCAAACGCCGTCCAGACCGGTCAATCTGCGGGAAACGGTTTTGCAATAAATGCATCCTGAACCGGTCTGTCGTCTCCCTCTCCTTTACTTCATCTCCTTTCCTCATTGATTGCAATGTCTCCCCGTATGATTCCTCAGGTACCCTGAGATGGTGTTTTCCGCCAATAACAAGAAGTTTGTCTGTCCGGTCTGCCTTGATATCTGCAACTGTTCCGTATGCTCGCGGAGACGCGGGGAGGAGTATATTTCCATGCGTGGAGGCGGATTTGCGGGATCTCGCACCAAGTCGGGCATTTTGCTTGTGCCTGATGATTCTCATGTCCCGGATATTCCAATGACACCTGAACCGTCCATAAGTGAGCCACAGACAATGTTCTGGGCTCATGTCTATGGTATTGAAGGCGAGCGCGTCGGACGTGCGTTTATCGACGATACTAGCGCCTCTGCCTCTGCCCCTGTCCGACCCACACAACCTGCCAAACAACGCGCCCAAAACGTGCAATCGAAACAGAAAGTAAAAGTGAAACTGAAGAAGAAACCGAAGGTATTCATTGGAACGCCGTTACGCGAGTGGAAGATCCGCACGGTCAAGGACCTCGAACCCAGCGCTGTAATTCCGCCTCTCGTCTCGGAGGAACGCTCCATAGGGAAAGGCAAGGGTAAAGCTGTCGAACGCCCACGTGTTTATATCGGCGACGCGAAGTGGTTGTACGTGCCATTTACGCGTATGCCTGTGTCGTCGTGCTCTTCGCGGGCGTCGTCGCCGGACTCGGATTTGGAGCTGGACTCGGATGGGACGTTGACGCCGTTGGAGGATCTGGAGGAGGGGATGGGGTGGCCCCAGCCTGAGGTGGGGGAGTCCGTGACTGTGACGTGGGGGTCGACGCGTGCGCAAGAACGGAGTGCGTCTAGTTCGTTGTCGGCGGATGATTTGGTCAAGGCTATTGGGGTTGCTTTGGCGGCGACGCGTGATGGCACGGTGGAGTGATAATAACCCTGTGGGGTTTTTTTTTTCATAATTGATTTTGTTGTCTATAGGGACGGTGTACGGTAGTAGGCGTTCATAGTACTAGTGCTACTACTACTTAAGTACGGTATGCTCCACATTGGATTGTGGGATTCCGTTTAATATTACAAGATGATGCTTTAGAACGTCGGAAAATATGTGAACGGGATATACATTGAGTTCGATGGGGATTCGAACGATGTGGGATCGATAACTGATACGGTATTGAATACTTGCTTGCTGTGCGTGACCTGGCAGGACGTCGATATTAAGCTACACTTAGCGTTATGCAACTTTAAGCTTTATATACTAGCCGTTGACCAGGTGTCTTTATAGACTGTTGGAAGTGCGCATCGTTCGGTGAACAGCCAAATAAGATATTCATATTCATACTATGTAGAAAAATACAAGGTCTCTAGGGCCAAGCCCGATACTTGTGCACCTAATTCTTCCTACTAGTCGTCGCTACTTGGAGGCTGGCTACTCACCTGTATTTCCCCTGGTCATTGCGCGCTGCCTGCACTTGATTTTCGATGGTAGAACTGTATTCTTGCAGCGGGAATGCGTGAAGAGCACGGAAGACGACGTTGGTGGAGTCCAGATGTACCAGTGGGGATTACTGACTCGGAAGAACTGAAGACGATTCCTACGACGTGACACACTGTTATGAGGGACCACAACGCTTATTCAACCGAGCTTCAAGTTCGTGATGGGCTGGAACGTACAAGGACAATGCAAAGGGTTGGAGACAAGTGTTTCTTGGATGCCGTGCGAACATACAGTTTTGAAAAGCATGTGATAATAACGTTCATCGTGTGGTTCAAGTCCTCATCTGGTCGTGCGTGCTATGACTCTAGCAATGAAATCACGACACTCGGCCTCAACCACAGCCCTAAACTGCCTCTTGTGCTCCAGACGCTTTCTGAAATCGAAGTAGAAGGGGAGGCCATGATATGTCCAGGGCAGACTACAAAATATTGGCCTCCACGGTTTGATCCACGATCACTACACCTATTTGATTATTCAATTAGAAATGTCAATCAATGCTTAGCCTATTGGCGCTCGAGTTCAACATAGCGGCCAATAAGCATCACCGGCACCTTCGGCCCTCGAGGCTTGCCGCGGTCACTGTATTTATATCACATTGCTATCCAACTTGCTTCCCATTCCTCTTATTCAAGGCCTGATCCCTAACTGTTTACCATGAGCAACAGCAATCAATTGAGGGACCCGAACCCAGTTCCTCCAGACACCACAGCAGTTACTCGCGGAAGCTCGGTACGTCGCCCATGTGCGCTAGTTGTTCATCGCATTCTCACATACTGACTCTGATGCCCATCTGTCCAGGTCCAATCGCCACGCAAATTTGGTCGGCTTCTGAAGAAGGTCAAGGATGGTGGAACGAAGAAGAATCCTGTAGGTCGAGCAGCCGAGTTGTATTGGGATCAGGCTGAGATCTTACAGAAGCGCTCGAACATCGAGAATTTGCGCAGCCGCGAGCCTGTCCTTCCGGATATTGATCATGAAGACGCCTTGTCGACTCCGAATAGTCTCCAGGGCACATATTTCCAACGCGCCAGGATATTTCTTATTGGGAAGCTTGCGGATGTATGGGCCCATTCCGCTTGGTTGAAACCGTCACGTACTCAGGAGTCATCGGTGTAGATGGTCATAGCCCAATCGGACCACGATCAAGCGGTCCATCGTCTTCTCCACAAGTTGACTGAAGTTTATGACTTCATGATCCAGAACGAGACGCTTGGCCAAATTTCATCAATGCAAGGTATTATTGGACAGATCTGTCAGCAGGTCGTTGAATGCGCTAGCTTCATTAGAGATTATTCAGAGACCAAGAGCTTCTGTGAGTCCTCGAGCTGTTGCATGTTCCACATGCTCAGTCTTTCACTATCATGACAGGGAAGAGACTCGGGAAAGACATTTTCACCGAAACAAATAATGAGATTCAACGGTACAGCGATGCGTTCGATGCCATCATGCAAAACTTACGGGACCGAGTTGCTCGAAACGTAGCTATTCACACCCACCATACAGGTAAGGATTGTACTTGCTTCTGACGCAACAGCTATACATTTCTTCTCAGGTGAATTACTGGATCTCAGTGGTATAACTTATGCAGAAAACGCGGGGCTAGATACCAGGAAACAGTGTCTCCAAGGGACGCGCACGGAAATACTCTCCGAGATCACAGATTGGGTGAACAGCACTGGAGACGATGTTCCACACGTGCTGTGGCTATCTGGCACCGCAGGCAAGGGCAAATCAGCCATCGCCCACACGATTGCTAACTGGTTCAGCGATACGGGAGGTCTTGGTTCATGTTATTGCTTTGACCGAGATCGAGAAGCCGACCATCGCCATGAGAAGATATTTTCTACCATCGCGCGCGACCTGGCCGATCGTGATTGGAGGATGAGGCGAGCGTTGACAGATGCAGTTCAGCATAGCAACGCGCTCAAGGCTACAACTGACATCGTCCAGCAATGGCAGAAGCTTCTGATGGAACCAATGCAGAAGCTCCCAGATTCAACCGTGGGCCCTGTCGTGATCGTGATGGACGCGCTGGACGAGAGCGGGGCAGCCAAGACACGATGCGACCTTCTTCGCATTCTTTCCGGTAAACTTCAGAATTCTGCCGTTCCTCAAATCACGGAGCTCCGAAAAAACTTTCGGTTTATCGTCACCTCTTACCCGCTCCGGGACATTCAGAATGCGTTTGCGGGTGCTCAACACATTCGAAGGATTTCCATGGACGACATTCCACCAGAAGTCGCGGAACGCGATATCTACGCTTACGTGTCGAAGAAGTTAGAGGGGCATTCGCATTTTGGGCACAAAGAGTTCACAGCCCTGGCCAAGAAAGCTGATGGTCTTTTCGAGTGGGCACGTCTTGCTTGCGAATCCATCGAAGCACCTCCTCCTGGCTTATCTTCCTATCAGTCGTTCGATGTCATAGTGTCGCGCGATCCTGTCGAACGGGGGCACTTGTTGTACGATATGTATGACTTAATTTTGAAGCAGATGATACCAAAGGATAGACACACTGGCCCGGAGTCTCAGCAAACACAGTTAGCGATGTTTTGTTCTGTGATGGGACAAATTCTTGGCACCGCCGAACCCCTCCCATTGAATTCCCTGAATGCCATGCGAAGCCATTTTCCCGATTAAAGCGAGCGTTACAAAGTGGAGGTCGTAGTAGAACACATGGGATCCCTCCTCAGCGGTACCACCGACCCATCCACCCCAATTCGACCCCTTCACGCATCCTTCTACGATTTCCTGACAGACCAATCACACAGCGGAGAGTTCTTCGTCGACGTGCCGAAGGTTCAACGAAACCTTACTTTCGCCTCACTTGGAGTGATGCAAGATGAACTTTCCTTCAATATTTGCGACTTAAAATTATCCTATCTCCCCAACTCCGAAGATCCCGGTCTGCGAGAACGAGTTGCAAAGCGCATCCCCCCACATCTATCCTATGCCTGTCGATTCTGGCTTTCACCCGTACAAGCCACTGACTTTAATCCAGAACTCGCCACAGAAATCAAATCATTCTTCGACCATGAACGATCGTTCTTCTGGTTTGAAGTACTCTGCCTCATCAATGCGCTCAGCAGCGTAGTCCCGGCCCTTCCACTTATTGCCGAGTGGTTGAAAGTGAGCACATGGTTAATGAGTGTCAGATGACATGCTTGCTAATGCGCAATCGCAACTACAGGGTCACCCCGGATATGAGAATACCTCGTCTGCTGCAATGAACATTCAGAGATTCATTCAAGTCGGCAGCATCATCTTGCACTCTCTTCGTGTAGCATCTGGACTTGATGTCAACTGGACGGATGCCGTCAAATCATACCGATACATGATGGACAATATCAGTGAAACGGCGAAGGCCAACTGTGTCGAATGGTCCAACGGCAAGCCTTCAGTTGTGTCACCTGAGGTTATAAATCCTCACCCGCATTTCACTCAGCTTTCAAACAAGAATGCAGCGCCATCGTTCTGACTGACGGAGATGATGCTCTCGCTACAAGCGATTTTGACAGGGCTATTGACTTATACTCGACCGTGATCGATCTAAATTCTCCATCCGATGCTGTCTTTGCAAATCGTAGTAAGGCAAAGTTGGGAAAAATGATATGGGAGGATGTGCTTCTCGACGCGCAAAAGGTGCGATGACATCTATGTTTTCGTAGCCTTTGTTGACTTCGGCGATGCGTAGGTGACCGAACTCAATCCTTCGTCTCACGTTGGATACCATTTGATACATGCAGCGTTGCGTGGCGCGCAACGTTACGATGAAGCCATCGAAGCCTTCAAAATCATGTTGTCGAAGTTAGACTATTCTCCCGAAGCGCGGATGCGAGGTAAGCCTTGGGGCACTCTTGCATGATCTCGAAACGCCTATCTCGTTCTGCAGACCTGCGTCAGCAGTATGTGCATCCATATGAAGCAGAGGACGCTATTGAAAGAGTTGTTCGGACTGAACTCGAAAATGTTCCGCTACGTCTACTTAATACCTCCACGGGTCTTTTGTGCGATCGAGCGGCACAAATAAACGCCTTCAAAATGACTGCGAAGTACAAGGAACTTTTGTCATTTACAACAAAACATTCCGACCTCAAGATGGACCGCATTAAGGGGTGGCAATGTACTTCCGTCGCGTCATGCTATCACACAGGTGGGAAGAGAAGGAGGTGCTGCTGCCCGACATCCAATATAAAGATGTGCGCGAGTTGAAGGGAATTTGTGGCATCGCGAAACTGCAGTCGTTCTGCGAAGTCGCTCGTGATGGTGGGTATCGTTGGGCGTGGATGGACACATGTTGTATAGACAAGAGGAGTAATACCGAGGTTCAAGAATCGGTCAACTCCATGTTCGTCTGGTACCACCATTCAGCGCTCACCATCGTCTACCTATGCGACGTTCCTCCTTCATCTCAGCTTGGCGCACTGGCGAGGAGTGTTTGGAACGAGCGGGGATGGACCTTTCAAGAATTCGTCGCTCCGAAAGTTGTTATCTTTTATCGGAAGGATTGGTCTTTATATCTCGACGATCGCTCTCCTAACCACAAAGAGTCCCCTGCAATCATGAAGGAGTTGAAAGATGCGCGGACCCTGGTGACCTTCCGTCCAGGTATGAGCGGGGCCCGAGAGAAACTGCAATGGGCATCGAAGCGCGTCACCACTGTGCAGGAAGACGTTGCGTACGCATTATTTGGCATCTTTGGCATCTCCCTACCTGTCATTTATGGCGAGAAGAAACAGAACGCGCTCGGGCGGCTCCTGCAGGAGATCGTGGCTCGATCGGGCGACATCACTGTCCTCGATTGGACTGGAGAACCTTCCGAGTTCAATAGCTGTCTTCCGGCCCATATCACCTCTTACGCCACTCCCCCACGCACCCTTTCACCCTTGTCTGAAGATGATATTCACACGCAAGTCTCTTCGCTGCGACAAACTGTGCATACAGATCTAGCCTTGAAATTGTATGACCAGCTTGAACAGCTTAGAGCTCCTCGCTTTGCAAACTGCAGACTTCAGCTGCCTTGCATTTCATTTCGTGTCACGGAAGTCAAACGGAGGCGCGGTCTAGCCCAGCAGACTCCCATCACTTATGAAATCAAGGCAGAAAGACTTCACGACCTGCTGGTAACCACTGAAGAGGCTTTGTTACGGGCAAAGCTCACTCGGCGGACGTTTTTACTCATCCGTCCATGGGATCGGCATCTCCTCGGGGTACCTGACTTCGCAGACGACACAGAGAGCATAGGAGACTTTACCGAGCCCGGGTCACCGATGGACGACTCTGACGAGTCACTCGGTGGTTCGCTTGTTGAAGAGGAACCTCGCTCACGAGCGTTGCGGCTAATGGTTCGCCTCGGACAGCCTTTCGACGCATTTTTACTAGTGCAGCAGCGTGTCGGAGAATACAAGAGGATCGCGTCAGACTATAACATCATTGCACAAGTCAAAGACATTGCATCGGTTGATAACATGGACGTCGGTACGGTAGAAATACTCTAGGTAAAAATTGTTGACATAGCCGAACCCGTTGTTATAAATTCCCTGAATGCCATGCGAAACCATTTTCCAGATGAAAGCGAGCGCTACAATGTGGAGGTTGTGGTAGAACATATGGAATCCCTCCTTCAAGTAGCGGCACTACTAACTCGTTCACCCCAATCCGACCCCTTCACGCATCCTTCCGCGATTTCCTGACAGACCAATCACACAGCGGAGAGTTCTTCGTCGATGTGTCGAAGGTACAACGAGACTTTGCTTTAACATCACTTCGAGTGATGGAACATGAACTTTCCTTTAATATCTGCGATTTAAGATCATCTTATCTCGCGAATTCCCAAGATACCGGTCTACCAGAACGAGTTAAAAAGTGCATTCCCTCACATCTGTCCTATGCCTGTCGATTCTGGCTTTCACACGTACAAGCCACTGACTTCAATCCAGAACTCGCCACAGAAATCGAATCATTCTTCGACCATGAGCGACTGTTCTTCTGGCTCGAAGTACTCTGCCTCATCAACGTGCTCAGCAGCGCAGTCCCGGCCTTTCCACTTATTGCAAAGTGATTGAAAGTGAGCACATGGTTAATGACTCGGAGTGTCAGATGACTGACATGTTAGCTAATGTACAATCGCAACTACAGGGTCACCCCGGATATGAAGATACCTCGTCTACTGCAATGGACGTGTGGAGATTCATTAAATTAGCTGGCATCATCTTGCACAGCATACCCGATCTCTATGTAGCCTCCACGGTTTGATTCACGATCGCTACAGCTATTTGATCATTCGATTGGAAATGTCAATCAATGCTTAGCCTACTGCCGCTCGAGGTCAACACAGCGGCAAATAAGCATCGCCTCAGCCCTCGAGGTTTGCCACGGTCAAGGGTATCATATTTATGGTTACGTGTGGAATGCTATTTTTCTGCTTTGCAGTATCTGTCTAGGTATATCCGACTCACCGAAGCACCGGTAAACATTGTGATGTTTCTTGCTTTTGATGTATAGGTCTCTACCTCACTGAAGCCTCCGCCTGGATGGCACTGGCCATGTTTGATATTCCCAAGGTTGCCCCTGATGTTGATTAATCGATTCCTCATCGACATCCATGATAGGCATGATGTATGTCACATATCATGCATCTACCCTATCTTTGCAAACAGAAATACGAATGTCGTGTATTATGGTATATAAAATGCGGTAACCATCCAAGCGATTACCGTCTCCCAAGCCCACTCAGGCCCCATGCAACCTTCGCCTGTACGAAATCAAATCCGCCCAATATCCTCAGCGTCAAATCACGGATGGACGCCCAACTGACTGGCATCCACCAAGCATATGATTCGTATGGAAGGTTTCCGAGTTTTAAAAGTGTCTTGGTGAAGCCGATGACTTCTAGCGCTCGTGCATGACGCGCCTCTGCAAATTCCTGCAAGATGGTATCGTCTACATCGGGATTCTCTGCAGACGCTTGAATGTGCTTTGTGACAGCATGTGCGAGGAAGATCGCGTCCCTGATGGCCAGGTTCATGCCCTGCCCGCCTATAGGTGAATGTATATGGGCTGCGTCGCCGACTAGAAAAATGGCGGCTCCGAGACGCGTGAAGGTACGGTCTGCAATGGCTGAATGGGTTCTGAAACCTGACGACCAGACCAGCTGGTCGACTTTGACAGGTCTCGGGTTAAGAGACGGATCCGATGATATACACGCTGGCCCGTATGCGTCGACCACTTTCTGGATATACTCTTTTGGTGGAGCACGGGGAGGCTCTCCGTTCTTTATGGGTATGGAACAAAGTATACGAAAGGTGGATTTCGTAGTGGGCTTTCCATCTCCCAACAGCTGGGCATTGAAGTGGTTGCCAAATGGTAAAAACATGAATAAATTGCCCGAAAAGACTTCGGCGTTAAGGTGGCCCTCGAGGGTGACTGGACCGACAGGTTCGGGCTCGAACGTGATATCCGCAGCGACCATTTGAGCCAATTCTTCATTGACTATGTGTGGGCCTTCTGGGTCAGAGAACTCTATACCAGCGATGGTACGGATCTGGAAATGGTCGTCAGACATTCCACTAAGCTAAGTTGGGGAGCATTGAGGTCTCACAGTTGAGCGGGCGCCATCTGCGCCGATAATGTATCTAGCGCTGATAACTTGACCGTCCTCAAAGGACACATCAGTGACGCGAGAGTCCTTTTCATTCTGTTTCATTCCTACTACCCTGTGTGGACGCTGCACCTGCACACCAAGGCTCTGCAACTTCTGCATAAGTACAAGCTCGGTCACACATTGAGGGATGAAAAGCGCGTAAGGGTGGGCGGAATGTTTCTTTAAAGGGTCAAATTTGACCTCAAAGAGCTGCGAACTACGGGATATGATTCTGATGCTCTTTCCCTTGATGCCTTGAGACAGCAACCCATCTACGACATCGATGCTTGCTAAAGCCTAAGATCACAAGAACATCAGTGGGCCTTCTTATGAGTGCACGGGTAGCTTACCTCGATGGTTGCACAGTGTATAGCGACGGCCCTCGATGAATTGGATCCTTCGCCTACGGCATCCACAATAACGAAGTCATGGAAATTGTTGTGAATGAGAGTAAGAGCAGCTGTGAGACCTGCGGGGCCTGCACCAACAATAAGCACGGTCGTGTTCTCTGGGAGAGACATTCTCTGCTCGGAGGATTTTGAGAATGAGAATAAGTATGAGTGAGACGATGGATGAGCTTCACATGGCTCTTACACCTGTTATTTAAGGCCACCAACACACAGGTTATCTAAGTGATCCGTAGTAGCGAAGGATGATTTGCTATCGCGCACGGACTGCAACGGCCATCAGTAAACCGATGCAGTCCTTGATATCAGTAAACCGATTAGTCCTTGATATTGTAGCCGTGCGAATTGTAGAAGGGTAGAACTCTGCCACTGCTAAATATACCATAAGAAATCTGATTTGTAGCTACATAACCCGGAGATCTAGAGTAAGACGAGCAGTGCACAACAAGGTTAATTATGATGTTCTTCTATTGCAGCTGACCAGGGTGGCAAGCCTACTTATGCCAGCGATTGTCATTTTGCCTTACTTACGCTTTACAGCCTTTACTACAACTTCATCCAGGACATTCTTGCGGGAGGTACCTTTGGCACTTGTCAACTAATGTAAGTAACAATGTCCTGACTTGTGGCCGTGAAGATTAACAAGGGACGACAGCGCACACCCTGTTTCATGATTCTCGTTTTCCGTCGTCTATGCATCGGATCAAACTACCATTTCACATCTTCCCATAGGAAGAGCCTTTTGCGCTTATCAACTAATCTAGAATAGCACTACGAAATCGCGACCTGTCACCATGGCAGTATGTATTGTTATTTTCCTCATCTTGCGAGGTCAGCGGCATCATGATGCACTTGAGACAATGTCTCGTCACTCATCAATGTCGGTCCCAAGGTTGTCCACCGTGACTGTCCTCAAGGTCAGATCTGACAACAACTACCGGGCTGTGTCGAATCTAAAACACTGGTATGCTTGATTCATGCCACACTACTACTACACAGTGCATGCGACACCGTACTGAAAGAACAATCCGATACGAGTCGTCCCAAGGACACATCTGACATCAAGAGAATGGTTACTGGGCTCAATTGCAAGGCGCACACTAGCAGAGATTGGGCCACGTTAGTTCAAGTTGCAGTAAATACTGGTTCGTGGTTTGATTATATTGTCAGGAGCGCCCCCAGTCATTTCGGCCAACTCAGCTTGTGGGCCATTTCAGTTTCCACACACGGTATCTTCTTGTCCAAATTGTAGGTATTCGCATCATACTAGTTCATTCGGTTGAGACTATATTTGCAGAATTGTGCTCGTTTAGTAGTATATAAGATAAAATCTAGGAGCCTGCGTGAGCTTGAGCCAAACACTCGCCTCGATATCACACACCTATGTTTAATGTCTCACAGAGATCATCGTCCCCAAACTTCCTCACCAAGTCCGAACTGAGGCAAAATAGATTCCAAGTTCCGACTCAACTTTGTTAGCCTTTTCTGATCCGTGCCATTTCTCACGCAACTACCTATCCTTTGACCTCATATTGAAGAGCATATATCATTGGTCGCAGCTTACTGCCACAGTTGGCTTGGCCGTGATTTTGTTCTAGCGCACATTAATGGTGAGGCATCTCAGACTTACATGCGGTATCGTCCATGAACTCCCCGCGGCCCATCGTCTCCTAAGGTGAACTTGAAGTCTAGACAATGCTTGGTCTAGGTCATCCAGACATGCCTTATCACTGCGCGACGCTTCTGGCTGATCCTGTACCACCATCAGTGAACCGGTAGAAATTTGAGAAAGACATATATTACCATACATAGTACACAATCACCAACATCTGAATAATCCTGCTATCGACCATCACATTGTGATGCTTGACTTTATACAGGAAAGAGGAGTTTTGAGCTAATGTCGACAGTTTTTCAACCTGCCAAAGACTCACGGATCGTCTAAACTCAGGATCGAGGGATAGGCGGGAGAAAAGCTGACGGTTCATCCCAATGCATTATGGCTGCCACATCCTGAACAAGGTCTACAATAGCTAATATCAGAGCTAAAGCCAGTACCTTGCAGATACTATCGTTTTGTGCACCGATCGAGAGAGATCCATATTAGATGCTGATTCGGTTCTTCGGACTGACTGCTTTGAATGATCCTTAAGAAACTTTGTGAGGGACTAACGGCCACTCCATAAAGCTATTCTAACTTCTCATGAGCGGCAATTTTTGTGTAACGATCATCCCAAAAACCATTTGTATACTACTTCTGATCTTCCGTCCGTCTGCTATGAGTACGCAGCCATGGCAAAATGGATATCATTGGCTAGTTCTTGCAAAATTGCTTGTGTTGTGCGTCGCCGCTACTTTGTCACAACACAGTCACTCAGCCAGAAAGTCGAAAGCAGTGGCTCACGGTTCACATCGGTGCCCGACTTACCGTTTGATATAGGTCCTATCCATTGTGCTATCGTTAGTAAAAACGTGTATCTTAGCCTTACTTGACTGATTGTTGTTTGCGTGGTCGAACAATGAGAATATCCGAACTATCCTGCATGCCATGAGCGAAGCTGTGATTTCGATATATGTCACAGCTACTATCGCTTTGCGGTTCCAGATTTAAAGGTCATCACCCTCCATTCGTCGGTGAGGTTGTTTGTTTTAGCATCTTAAGTTAGTAATTGTTTTCCATGCCATCCGGCAAGCCGGCGATATCACTTGCCAATCCTAACAATTAATATGCTACGTTCGGTAATCCCTGGCATTCAAAACAAGATGACCATGGAAACTGGAATTTGCAGAGATCAATGCTATCATGCTATATTTTGTGATATTGCACGTCTATACTTACCCTCCAGGAAGGCTAGAAGGTGCAGATATCATTCCTGCTGAGCTGTATTTTGTGACCTCGCACCTTACTGCTTTTTGCCCTGAGCTGGTCGTGAGAATTAGACGGTGCAGATATTACCACTGTCGAGCTGGATTTTGTTACTCACGCTTCTCTGCTTGTCGCTCTGAGATGGTCTTCGGACCTGAAGGATACAGATATCGCCTTTCTCACACTGGATTTTATTGCCTCGCATGTCTGTACTTTCTGCCTGAGATGGTCGTAGGGATTGGAAGGTACAGATGTCACCGTTGTCGAGCTGAATCTTGTCACCTCTCACTTCTGTGCTTTTTGCCCCAAGATGGTATTGGGAACTTGAGGATACGGATATCGCCTTTCTTGCTCTGTATTTTGTTACTTTGCACATCTGTGCTTTCTGTTCGAGATGCCCATGAGAACCACACGTTATAGATATCACCACTGTCGAAGCTGTATTTTGTTACTTTACACTTTTGTACTTTTGCCATGCGATTGGAGTGAATACAAGTCGCACTGCATTTCCTCATTCTGTCCATGAAGTTCACAATATCTCGGGTATTTGTATGGATACCAATAAAGCTCAATTATCATTCAAATCATCTACCCGAGCTTCACAACATGGTAAACGATCAAAACATCAAGTCACTAATGTAATCTAGTTGAAAACGAGAGTTGAACTAATCAGAATCGAAGAGGGCATCATCCTCTTGCGCCCTCTGCCTTGCAAGAGCGTTTACGGACATGCTGGACTTGGCTGCATCACTGAGTTCCGCGCGACGACTTGTTCCGAAGACCTTCCTGGTAAATGAAGATGTGTCAGCTGGGGAGAATTGAAATTAAAGGTAACGCACCTTGTCCACCACGCAAGGAGGCGGTCAACTTTCCGCTGGGCTGCTCGGCCAGGAGCCTTCTCGAAGAAGTCTACAATGATATGCCAGAACTGTACATAATCAAAGTCACCATCGACTGAACGCCATGAAGTCACCGAAGAAATTGCGAATCGTAACTGCGAGCGTGACATAGTATTGGTGCTCAGGAATCAAATGAAGAACAATATCACTTACTTGGCAAACCACATATGCGATTGAGCGCGGTGAGACCTTGTGCATCTTAATGATCTGCGCTACATGGGTCTTGACCTTCTTGCCAGAAAATTCCCTTTTGGCGCGTCTGTTATTTTCAATAATATTGGCACCGTCGCCTTCACCGTCAATCTCTTTTGCGGAGGAAGGAGAAGTAAATATGGATTTAAAGGCCTGCCGAAAGTTGGATTTTCGTTGAGCTACTTGGGTACAACGCACCTGGATCAAAAGGGTACTTTTGAAGAGACCCTCCTCGAGATTATCTTGATCGGCGGTGTACTTTTCATACAAGAAAGTTGGCCATGACATTTCGGTTACGATGCAGCCATCAGCACGATCCCTAATTCCCGCTCTGATGCTAGTGAGAAGTCAGTATGGCACAATAAGGTCCCGAGTACCACAAAGCTTACGTTGGATTATCCCAGTCCAATTCAGTTGGGCAGAGTAGTTTACCGCACGCATCATTAACAAATCCACGGCTGTACTTATCCTCGTAATCGACTGGTGGATTGGGTTTGAATTCGCGATTGACCCAATCGGGGACAAGGCTCTTGAGCTTTGAGGTGTCGTCTCCACGAGCACTATCGGCCCCCTGCCTAAGCTAAACAGCGACTCAACACAAAGACAATCATTTATATCGCTGAAGCATACCTTTTTTAACATTTGCACGTATTCCTCGTACTCCATATCTGAACACTTTGGCTGAAACCACGGGAGGATGTTGGTAAGGGTGATGTATCCCGTGTGCAATCGATCCTGACTGTGATGACAGACCCGTAAGTAGCGCTCGTGATGCATGGATGGACTTGGGACTTACTCGATGGTTACCTCATCATCGTCTGCAACGTTGTACCTCCTGTCGTTCTCGGTTATTAAGTCTTCGATACTGTCAAACAATGTGACTATTCGTCTAATAGCTCTTCCCTGCGAAATAAAGTAGTTGGTCTCCCTACCAGTAATAATCATAGTGAGTAAATTGGAAGGACTTGAAGGCGCACAAACCTTTGTTTCACCATGCGCCCGGCCTCGAGCACTTGCAGTTTCTCTTCTAATGCTGCAATTTTCCGCCTCTGTCGAGCATTTTCGGATGTCGCCACCGCTATGGACGTTGTCACTGACACGGACTCGGAAGGTTCGGATGGTGCTGAAGGCTGTGAGCCGCCCTGCGTCTGAGACATGATGAGTAAGGCAGGAATATAAACCAGAGGGAAGGATATGGACAAGACTGACTTCATGTACCGTCCACTTTATATGACGGCCGTCTAGTAAGTACTGGCAGAACGGTTCAGCGTCGGCAAAAGTAACTAGTAGTAGTACATACCTAGGAACACATCAAAAGCTACTAGCACGATAACGTTAGTACTACTAGGCCGACGAAAAAAATTACTCAATGCGGTACTACCGCTGTCTTGCTGCAGTTTCGTCATATAAACTCGGATCCCGTCGCAAACTGCGACTATACTATGATGATAGAGCCCAGAGGAGGCATAAGACAGGTGTGCATGGCCGTGTGCCGGTGGGCAGCCTTGAGTCGGAAGTTGTCAAGGTCACGGACAAACTTTGGGGATGTGAGTCTTCTCACACGGTAAGGCTTCCATATGTGGTAGTAGTAGGAGGCGTAAGGTTGACATTTTCATATTCATACGTTACGCCCACGCAAGGCTTCCATATGTAGTAATAGGCACGGGACATTTTCATATCCATATATAGTAGGCACGCGTAAGGCTTCCATTGTACTAGGCACGCGTAAGACTTCCATATATAGTAGACACGGAACATTTTCATAAACTCATGGAATTTCTTATTTAGGCAGCATTTCGTGCCATCACATCGTAGATCGGCGGCGGCCAAATATAAAACTCAAAAAACCCGGGATTCGGCACACATGGTGAAATCAAACCACGCAATCATTGATTTGACAATAGTTGTAACGTTCGATGGGCCCGGGCCGTCCTCAAAATAACAACTCAGCACAGCGCTACTCTGCTACCCGTTCAACCAGCTTCCGTCCAAATTTGAATAGCATAATTAAGCCTTGTAAGGAGAAGTACATCAGCTGGGGACCTTATCAAAACGTCAACGAGCCAGGAACATGAAGCAAAAATAGTGTACCAGGCAGCTTGACCAACAAAGCCAGAAACATACACGCATCTCATCGTTGACCAGCTCAGCAGAGACCTTCAGTAAAGCGCCAAGGCACTAATAGTATATCCATGCCATTGTGGACATTTGACGGCCACAGGGCAGAGAAGCACAGAAGCACGAGCGCAAGAAGCTCTTTCGCCCCCATAACTGGCAGATCCCTTAGTGGAGTGAGGATAAAGATGATGATCGATGCGAGCGGTGTGCGATCGAGAAGAGAACCAAGCCAGATCTTGAGGCCACGTGCACCTGCCCCTACATCGTCATCTAAAACCTTGTGAAGAAGGGACTAGTACCGCGTACCAATTACCGGGTTGTTGCTGGTTCATCAGTTGTCAGGAGTAATGGCTGCACCCCGCATAAGCCAAGGCACCTAGGTTTTTGACTTGTCTTTGAGCAGTCACGTGCGTATGAATTCAGCAATAACTCGCAGCTCGTGCTTATTTGAAATGTGAATAGTGGCAATATCGCATGCCGCGCAAGCGATTTGTATACAGGTATGATGTGCGTGACTCCATCACCCGAGTCGACGAACTACGCCTGTTGTTAAACCTGCACTCGACAGACAGTCAGCACCCAGCCATCATACAGCACAGAACAGATCTCACCTTGCGCATACAACAGTCGACACAGCCTGGATCGCTACATACAACCCCCTGGAAGCCATACTCCTCAAATATCACCTGCACCATCTTCTGCCGGTTGACTTTAGGGTTCATAGGTGGCTCCGTGAGTAGCACTTTACCGCCACGCGGGCTGACCTTGAGTTTCTCGTCGAAAGTGTAATCCCAGAGGTGCTTCATGTCTTCCCAGTTGTGCACTATACCGTGTTCCATGGGTTGCGTGACTTGGAGATAATTACGGTTCTCGGCGGCTTCATCGCCCACCATGATATCTTTGATCACTGCGGAGCCCACGTGCTCCTCTGCGCGCAAAATGGGGTGGCCTACGACGGAGGGGAATACTGGATGTTTGGATGAATCAGTGTGCTTTGGTGGGGCTTACGCACCACGCTCTGGGAAGTTCGATCCTGCGTAGCCTACTTTGACGAACTGCGGGTGGGATTGAGATAATCCAGCACGTCAAGAAGAGCTTAAATAAAGACTTACGATATACGATGTATCACAATCACTGAGTCCTTGTCGTCCGTGGTCTCATTAGAGATATTCCAACATCTACCTCCGACCGTCAAATTCGTCGCCTTCGCCACCTTCAATAAACACAAAAACTGGCTATCGATATGGCCAAAGAGCCAAGTACCGCGCCCACAGTCGCACCGATGATAATGCCTGTTCGCTGGCTGGTAGTCGAATTTACTGTGCTCGTTGAGGAGGGCAAAAGGCTCGGAGGAGAACTGGATGTGGGTAATATTAGTGTTGGAAGATAAGAAGAGGTCGCACTATTGCACATATGAATGGATCGTGGTATTTGGCATACTCTCTGACAAAGACAAGAGGGTGCTTACCTGCTATTTGTGACGTTGAGCGTGATCGACTCGACGTCAAAACGGGTGGGAGAAAGTCCTTGGAGAAATGTGATGCCTAATGTCGATGTCTGTGACTCAGGCAGGTTATCAGCGATGAGAAGCTGGTTGATGTTGGTATTGACCTGATTTGTAATTGTAACGATCAATAGCATGAGCACAGGCGTCAATGAAATGAAATGCGACACACCTCTAAAGGTCAAAAACAATTGGGGTACCAAGTTCCTGGATTGTGGTATCGGGCCAGTTGTAGTAGTAACAATTACTGGTGTTCCATTAGTGCTAAGACACCGTGACCCAGCCCGTCCGAATCAGCCTGAAGGCCAAGTCAGCTAAAATGTGATGAATTGAGAAGACAAAACTTACTACGTTTTCAGTGCTGCAGTTCAATACACCAAGTGCCGAGTGAGCTTATTATGATACGTCTTTCGATGCATGAGCAGAAGGATACATGAATGACGGTCAACAATAATTTGTAAAGCAAGTTTGGATTGTCGCGGCAATTACCGTAGCAGTGGCGCAGATTCCTCACGTGACCTACGGACAGTGCACGAAGGCCAACCATCACTGAAATTCAATTTTTGCTATCAAGTCTTATACTGCTACATTGGAAATCCATTGCCAGTTTCGTGACACGGATAGGACCTGCTACTGGTTTTGACTCCATCACCATGCACAGTCTAATTTGATCTCGCACGGTGACATGGCGAATGCACAGTTTCGAAATCATGCAAATTCAGATATACTAAGAGCGAGTTCTGGAACCTTATCTAGTACAAGCGTGCAATGGTCGCGTCCCTAGAGAATACAGGTATCCAGACGGCGAAGGTAAGAATTCCTAAATATAGTTGCCAGATGAAGTTTATTGACTGCAACTGCTCTAGTATTGTAATGGTACGCGGACTTCATGCAGGCATTTACACCATTGTCATCCTGAATATGTGCAGTGGCCGGTCTAGGAGTTTTGGTAGGTCTATATACAAATCACGGACAATAACCCTCCTTATGCTTCCTAGATTTTTGACTATTTCTTAATGCTCGAACCTGAAGTGAGCATTTCTTCATAGAGTTCGAACATCTCTTGACGAATGTCACAAGATTCGATGGACATGGAACAGGTGCTGGAGCGTCGCTCGTGTTCTTTCCGTAATCTCACGCTACATGGCCTTTGTAGCAGCTGGCATGACTTCATATGGTGAGCAACTACCTGTATCTCCTGGTACATGACATTGACGAGTGATTAGCTATCCTTGCTACACGAGCGAACGTGAATGTTAGTGTGTCTTGTTTACGTGGTTGTTGTATGAACTGAAGGATGACGAATACAGTGCTCGAACTTCAGCAGGGCTTCGAATGGTGATCGATATCCTGAACATTCAGCGTCTTGTCACTGATTTCACTACAGCAATTCATACCATCAGTATTGTAGCTGCTGAAGGTTCGCTCCATTCCTGTAGTGTCTTCCGGGCCTTATACTATCTATCTCTCATAGGTGTATGGTACATAGTGTGAGTGACTCGGAAATCTGGTTTCTTCAGATCCCGTCAGCATGATTCTTTTGCTACCGCATATATTAGATCTAAACTGGAGCGTCCTTGTCAATATGACCTTGTCTATTTCCTAGCTGGCACCTCTCCTTCGCTTCCAAGTTGGTCTGCACCCACCATTCGACACCAAAATCCTACGCACGGAACACTGACACATGATCTGAGAACTCCAAAAGATGACTATAAAACTGCTTGGAACGGACACAATCAGGTATTACATCAATGTACATATGGAGATCTAGAGCTGGAGGAACTGCGAGGAAACAATGCACTTCTAGTAGTGATCATAACATACTATGTGTGACCCGTTAAGAGATAACATTCGTTATCGAGCAATCCATCAAACATGGACCTTTCTGTGGGATCAAATCGAGAAACGTGATCTGCAATGTATCGAAAGTACTGAGCATTGTCCGGAGTGTCAAGCTGATCCTCTACGAAAATGCCTGTTTTATATCGCTTTATTCCCCACCTACATGTTGTTCCTCCGAGAAAGAAAGTGTTCGAAAGCCGCAGCCTCCATTTATCTGTGCCATCGAAGATGTAGCGACCATATTGTTGCTCCGACAACATGATCTCCAAAATGTTAGTGATCGCGCGATTTGCGAGGGGTACCAGGAACTGCTGAATGACCCGTCCCCCGTGCGCAGCTGATGCGAAAGATTGAATCGAAGAGAGAACTTAAATCAACGTTGACATACCTCCAAGAATCCGTCAAGGAATGAATCGTTTAGTAGTAAGGACTCAACCCTGTCAATGCGAGCTGATTGGGTTGATTGCCTGCGCTGGGCAGTGACCGGCAGGGCTAGTTCATATGCGACGAAGACTACGAGGCGTCCGCACGCCCTAAAGGTGTCGATGATGGTGGTCGGAACGCTCCTGAGCCTGCTGATCTTGCCTTTAGCGTCAATACACTTTCTCCATTTATTGAGCTCCGCTGTTTTACGTCGATGAGCTAGGAGGCGGGAATATAAAAAGGGAATTACTGTTTGAATACTGAGCGACTGCAGTGTCAAGCGCGTGATTCGCCAAATGCGTTAAAGTTTCATCGGCGAGAAAAAAGGAGTTTTCGAATGTGAATTTCACCATGTGAGCGTGAGCGTCTTCCTTCACTTGATCGATAAACTGCGGTGGTAAGATGACTACCTGAATGACTCGCAAAGACCCTGGTTGTACGACACTCGTACATTTTGAGTTGGACCGTCGGCCGGATGCTGCTGTGTGATACTGAGGGCCAACTTTGCGCCCTCGGTTCATCTTCTTATCAACAATATTGAGGGGAATGTCAAACGCATGAGGTGGAGCCTCAATAGCCGGAGGCAGATTAACATGTGACGATGAGCTAACATGTTCGTGGGCGTCCGAATGGTGGATCGGCCACAGGGACAGATTTGGAGGGTTCTGAAAGAAACTGGGAGGGTTTTGGATTACTGGGGCTTGTACTGGCAGGTCAGGCTGCGGCCGCTGGCTTCTGCCGTAGTTGTTGTGGTCATGGTAGGGATCGTTGGTGACATTAACGTTATGGGCACTTGTGGGCCTGTAATCGCGATCATAGGGATCTCCGTGGTGATAGCCAAGGTTATCATCATGATCACCGTGAATATGTAGCCGCGGGACGCTGGTACTTGACTCGTTCACGTTGGACTGGAAGAAATCAGCTGTAAAAGAATCAACGTTGGAATGACTGCTGCTGCCCACAGCCTGAGGCGGTGGCTGAATGGCAGTCAATTGCTTGGGTAGCTCTCCCCAGAGTTCAGGCGCCGATGACCAGGATCTGCCAGTGAAGGAGTCAGACTGATGGTGATCATCCATGTTTAAGTGCCAGCGGCTACTAGTACTAGTGAGCTGATCACGAGTGAATCAGTGTATGAGTCGCGGTAAGCTGCATAAGCAGATGTACCGTTCAGGTTCGAGAGGTGCGACAGCCTGAGAATGTAGAAGTACAGATTAAATATGGGAGATATCACCAGTATCAGTATACTAGTGTACTAGTCACGGTAGTACTAGCGGCGACTCGGTCACAGTGACCATGTTGCAGTAGCCAGACAGTCACGGTTGGGCGCAGCATCTCCATTGGCTGACCGACGCCGTCAGTATCATTCCTATCATGGTTATTTAGTCAAAGATCAGCACACGACTTTTACCTTTACATCGTTATTCAATAGCACTTACTGCCGCGAGGCTCTTGAGGCAGTCTCGATAGAAGGTACTGACTAAAAAAGGAAGCCTTACAGATTTGACCCGATCAACCCTGTTTACCAATCAAAAGACTTTCGCGTTGCTTTCGCGCTTGCACAGGATTAATTATATTAACAACAGACTTCCTTTTTTGGTTTCAATCTTTGCAGTCTAAAACGGGCATTTTTTTACGATCAAAGCGCAGGTTCCGTTATTTCGTTAACTTACCACTATCTGCCGCAACTCGAGAATGTTTTGTCTCCGTGTGAAATGTGAGGCCTAGGGTTTCGTTGGCTCAAGTGCCCGTTTAAGAGTGTATCCTAATACACCTTCGATTCCATGACTTTAGAGCTACAGAAGACAAATGAAGGATCGGACCTAACGCGCCCCGCGAGAACATATCTACAGCAAGAAGTCCTACATATCACAAAAGTTCCATAAATAGAAAAAGTTTATCGTACGTAGGGCGTAGTAGTATAATGACACCCATCTGTTGCGCAGGATCAGTACAAGTTCGGTAATAGAAAATAAATACCATAATCACTTCAGTCATGAGATTTCTCCACGTTTCTACATGCGGACCGAGAACCTGATCTGCTAAAAGGATCTTCATCCGAAACCATGGCACTTAAATCCGAGTTTGCGGGACTTGCAGGCAAGCGGCCTTCTCCTGCGTGCGAATCTTGCTTACGAGCGCCGACCTCGTGGGTGTCTTCATCACTCATGGGCAGATAGTGCTCACG